CCTGTCACCCTTGAAACTAAGAGTATGTCTGATAGCAATATAATTAGATAAAAATGATATTTTCATGAATAATATTCCTTAAAAAAGAAAATTTAATCGTACGTTACACAAACCAATTCGGGCTCGACAGTAAGTACTTAGATATAAACAAAAGTATCAAAGTGATAAACTCCGCAGTGAGTCTTGCCACTATGGCCGCAAACTTGTGGTAAAAAGTTGCACGGATGTTACCGACATAACGAAGTGCTAAGACTTATAAGCCCACGATACGATTCACACTTCAACATTCTGAGATTGTTGTCACTTGCCATATCGTTAGTCGTCGTAGTATTATATTATATGTATTTATATATTTCATTATTAAGAATTGTTGTTGATTTTTTGTGCAATAAATGTACCAACCTAAAACATTATGTTGTGTGGTCCCGTCATAAAATAGGCCACCCCTTCCTTTCTCGTGGATTTCATAAGAGGCGCGGACTTAATAGGAGAGGATGGGCAGCAACATTCCTTTCAAAACATCACCATAGCCTAACTGTGGTTGCTCACCCGCTCTATACGGGTCCGCTCGCATAACAACCCGAAATCATTCACCTATAGATACTTAAGGTAGGTAGGCGCTATTTAGTAAAAAATATCATGGGCATCACAAAATATATTGCAATACCCATATACCGGTATTGCTATACATTGCCACTCCTGATGAAAAACATACCTCCATCCTCAGAGAATGTTATCCTATCTAACTAAAAAGACATAATTCAAATAATGTTAATTGTAAGTACGTTTGAATAGTTTCTTTTATAATTCTAATTGCCTTATCCGAAAAGCAGTTTCATCTGAGAAGAAAGTGAAAGAGCCTGCTGTTGCTGTTTTCAAATAAGTATACAATTGTACACATTTGCTCTTTAGTGTAAATATAATCTATCAAATACAAAAAAATCTGAATAATACAATATAACACACAATTAGAGTTAAAAAACAAAATAAATCAATCGTAGTGACTAGAACAGGCCAATTTCTACTAAAAGATTTCATTCAGGAGCATGACGGTTGAGCCACTGATCATTGCATTCATCTAAAATCGAGCATATGAATTACTACTTGATAACAAAAAAAAAACCATTGTGTACTGTATGTGGCGATTTCGTTACAAATTATATATATTTTTACAACACAGGCGGCACACGTGCATGCGGCTAACCTGATAGTAAGTGACTACCGCCGCCCATTATCACCCACAACACCAACGGCATTGCAGGTGTGCTTCCGGCCTTTTAAAAAGGAATGTGTTCTTTTCTTGAAAGTTATGTTATATCTAATATAAATACATTTAGTTTTACATTTTTTTTATTGCTTTCCTATAATATAGAACTAACATTATAAATTTCCAGCTGCTGAAACTTTGACTGTACGTCGAAAAATCAGTACTATTGAATAATTACCCTATCCGAGTTCTTCTGCTATATGACGATAGTTTAAATTAAGTGAGTACAACAATTTCATGAATTCAATTATAAATTAATAAATAATTTTGAATTTTAGGTCAAATATAATATTTATTATTTAAGATTACTTCTAATAAGAATTCAATTAATTCAATAAAAATATATACCTATTTCTTACAGCTTTATCTTGAGCGTTAATTGTTTACTGACCGAAGTATTTTAGAAAAATCATATTTATTAATGATTTTTTTAAAAGTTTTTTAATAACGAAATAGAACATTAATCTCGTAATAACATTCTTACTAACATACGAGTATCGTCGAAACTGGTTTGGATTTTTTTTTATACCTCTGAGGTGGCAAACAAGCATATGGTACTGATGGTACACATACACATGGTATGCATGACATACTGATGGTAAGCGGTTACCGTAGCCTATGAACGCCTGCAATACCAGAGGTATTACGCGCGCGTTGCCGACCCTAAAGAAACCTCTTTACCCCCCTTTTGAAGAACCCCATGCTGTAAGTCTTGGGAAAACCTCGGCAGGCAGCTCATTCCATAACCTGAGTGTTCGTGGGAGAAAACATCTCTGAAACCGCGTTGTACGCGACCATTTAGGCTGTAAGGTATGAGGGTGAACTCCCTGTCGATGGCGAGCCCTACGATGATAGAAAGTGGCCGTAGGCATCATATTGAATAATTCCTCTGAGCACAATCCGTTGTATAAGGGGTAGAACACGCAGAGTGAGGCAAAATCTCTCCTAAGACTTAAGGGTTCGATACCGCTTGCAAGCCTGGGATCATCGACTATTCTCATAGCTTGGACGAAATAAGTATTGTAATTTTTAAAAGCAAGTAAAAAGTAGAGTTGTGCCACCATTAATGAGCATAATAGGTATATCCCATGGTTAACATTTTAGTTAATTGTTTATTATTAATTTACAGATATGCAGACATTGCTACGCTTTGATATAAATGATGTTATATCGATTCAAATTTTAATTAATCACAAGTTTATTCTACAAATGTGCTTTGAGTTTCGTAGTGATTCGAATGACTTTACGAACAACATCCAGCTTTTTATATGACTATCCGTCAACTCTACAGTTTAATAAATTAGTCCGTCTACCGTACCGTTAGATATTTGATAATTAGTGATAATAAGTCAAAATATCAAAATGACTTTTGTGATCTTCATAACACTATAGGCATTATAATTTTAACCAAGAATACATGATACACAAACAATGGTTAAGGCTTTTTCAATAAACTATTCCGTTTAACAAATGTTTAAATGGTCCTTTTTCCATAAAAATGCATTAAATAATAAATCTTTTAATTCCTGTTCTCTCCTTCGATAAGCAACTACTTGTTTCATTCTAGATTTTCGTATTATATCAAAATAGATACTTTAAATATTGAATTAGTCTTAATTCGGTTAAGTCTACACTGAGATTTATATATAATAACTCTTTATAAATTTGCGGATTTAAAGATTTCAAACACCGAAAATAATTATAAAAAAATTGAAGTAGATAAATGAAATAAAGAGAATTGCTCATGGAATAATAACGTAGTTCTAATTAATTAATGTAAATAAAACTAAAATTGTACGTTCAAAATGTTACAAAAAATATTATTTTTGCAAATTTCCTTCTAGCAAAAGTTTGAATACATACACAAAAATTGTAAAATCGTTTATTCAACTAATATTACTTCATTTTATTTATTAGATTAATTCATATTATTTATTCGGTGAAATAAGAGAATAAACTAATATGTATGCGCAAATACTCCGCTGCACTAATTATTCAAACACTTCTGAAGTCCATTCATTGTTCCACTCGATCCCACTTAGAAGCCGCCGTTTGTTCCGTCGCATACCTACCTACATCGTACAAACTTTAGCCAACAATATTATTCTTATTACTTTGTCCCATTATACAAAAGTTATTTTATTGTAGATAAATACTAAAAAGTGACTCAATTCAGTATTTTATTAATTAGATTTTAATATTTAAATGATGAGCAACCCTTATTCATTTCCATGTCTTACTTCCATCCAAATAGGTGCTTAATTACTTTCTTCTAAATAAAAGTGGAGTTTATCAAGTTTATTTATTTTACTCTTTATTGCACCATTTCATAATGATTGAGAGTGTTAAAGAATAAAGACTATTTTTACAATATAAGTCGTTCTATAGATCACTCATCAGTTATTCGCCGTCGGTAAGTAAAATATCCATGCAATTTAGCACATATAAATGAGACGGCTAATCTATATTATGATTTCAGTGAGCTAGTCATTATCAGACTAGAACAGGAATGTGGTTATAGGAACTTTATAATAAAACAATACAACCCTACTGAATTAGGGCTCGTTTATTAACTCGTTTATTAGCTCGTTTATTGACTTAACAAATAATTATCTAACAAATGCTGATCAGGATGACCATGGAGCCACAAGTTGTAAAAAATATATTTAAATATAATTATTGTTAGTAAAGTTTTAATCTTAACAAGTACATTTAACTGAAAGTATTACGTTTTAATGTAATTTTACTCGCTCCCAACGTTCGAGAAATATAAATGAAATCACTTTTTCATTACCTCCCGGAAAACTAATTCTATGTCTCAATTCAAAAATTAAATGTAGAAACTTATTACAGCTATCTATACTATTATCATTTAAAGGTGAAAATAGTATCGACATTAAATATATTTTGGAGTATGTAATATAGATACATACATAAAAGGTGTCGGAACAAATACTGTTTGTGTGAACATAACGAGATACGGATTAAAAGAAAGCAGATTAAATAAAAAATTTTAAAACAGAGATAACGAGAAAAGTTTGTCAGTGATATTTGAAAGCTACCGTTATTTGTATAATGAACTGGATGCCTGGACAGTCGATACAAACAAACATGAAACAGACTGAGCTCTTTTTATCTCAATACTTCATTAATTTAAATTATATAAATTGTATCAAATAATATTGGAAAATAAAATATAGAATATATGAATGATAATAAAATGCGAAAAAAAATATGTGCACACGTATCACAAATTTTAAGTTTAAGTAAATTTAGAAAACATTACGTCGCCCAAATAATGGAGGAAGACAAGGCTGATAAATAAGTAATAGACAATAAAGAAAAATTGCTAAACGTTAAATGTAAAAAAAAAAAATTTACGTGCTTACCCTACTGTATCTGCCTGTGCTTACAATTCACCAATATTTCATATTAAATGAAAAAATAAGTTTTAAAATTATTATAGCATACAAATACGTGAAATTTAGATTCTAAAACTTATACAATTTATATATCGTTACTAATTTGTAAATCCTATTATTAGATTTTTATTTTCTGTCTTATTTTACATAATAGAAAATGCGTAGTGCTTTTTAAAGTATTTATCTATTGGTAAACTATACTGTGAATTAAACTAAATGGGTATAAACTTATATCAATTTCCGATAAAATAGAACAAATTTCTATTATCATAAAACTATTGTTAAAAAGTAGAAATTAATTGGTTGCTCACCTTTGACACGCAGAGTTTTGCTTGCGCCAACAACTTCAAAACTTTAGGAAAAGAAAGTTCGCGATTTTTATCAAAATGTTTGTACACCAGGAGACTCAAATACAACTCACTGAAGCAGATAATATGAAATGAGTGTCGAATAAAATATATTAAAGATGTACTTAGTGGATTTTATCCGTCGCCGAGTCCTCTGTTGGAACGTTTGGGCGCGTGAAGTTGTGAGGCATCGAGTTCGGCTCGCGTGCTTATATCTTGCAGTGAGAGAGCCTCGCGCGCATGCGTCACGATCATTCATGTCATCTCTTCTCAATGACTAGCCCACAAACGTTATCATTTTTTCCATAGTAATATGTCAATAATTAAAATGTACATCTAGTCTCTGTTATACTATATATAGTAATATAATAAAGAGGAAAGATTTAATTGTTTGTTTGTTTGTACTGGATAAACTCAAAACTGCTCAACCGATTCATTCTTTTACCTATCAAAAGCTACATTATCAGCGAGTGATATAAATATATTATTTTCGAACATTCTATCTATCCATGCGAAGCCGGGTCGGATTGCAAATATGTTATAAACTAAATAGATTAGTAGATAATTAGTCCATTAATTTTTTTATATGATGACAATTGAATGGTAAACTCGCATGCCCTATTGGTATACGCTGATAGGGTCGAATAAACGATAATAAGTGAGGATGAAGTCAAGTTAGGTTATCGGCCTATCGTAACGAATTCACCAGAAATGACTAAGATGGTTTCCAAAAAAGATCACGTAGAAGTCGACTTATTAGGATACATGCTAACGAAAATTCCAAATTATTTTACTGAGTTAGGTGTTATTTTGTTAGTCAATTAGAATTATTTTGTTTAATTTCTCCACCATTAGTACGCGCAACTCCCAATACCGAAAAATCGACTACTTTTATTTCTTTCTTTATTCTTTATTGTACACAAAACATACTGGTAATTACAATTCATTATAAACATAATGTACAAAGGCGAGCTTATCTCTAATAAGAGATTTCTTCCAGCAAAACCTTTCCATGTTAATGTGTTATTTTATAAATAATTATTTTATTATTAGTAGAAGTTCTACGACCTTCCATATAATCATCAATGTCCAACTTTTATTCAGTCCACGCTCATATTGCGTGTTTCATCTCCAAAACGAGGCACCTTCAAGCAAATAAATAGATCACTGCTCGGAGCCTAGTGTTGGCCATTCGAGTTCCAGACTTTTTTTTTAATGGGTGAAAATAGAATGGTAACCACTACGCTATTGGTATACGCTTGCGGGGTACCAGTAAGAGGTGATAACTGAGGATGAAAGTAGGTCAGTTAGCCGATCGTGAAAAATTCCACAAGAATTAATCACGATAGTTTCCAGAAGGATCCGCGTGGAAGTGGACCTGATAGGATACATTGCTAGCAATGGAGCTGAAAGACCCCATTACTAACAATCCCTTTCCCCCCTGAAAGAGCAAGTCAGTTCTTTTTTTTTTATTTTTTTTTGATGGATACCAGTAAAGGGTGATAGATGAGAATGAAAACAGGCCAGTTAGCCCATCATGATGATTTCATCAGGAATTAACCATGATAGTTTCCAGGGAAAACCGCGAGGACGTCGACCTGGTTGGGTATATTGCTAGCAAGGGGATTCTCAGTCTCCATTACTAACAATCCCTTCCCCCCCGATTCCCAGACTTGAAATGAATTTCATTCTACTATTAATAATACATAGTACCTAAACAATCTTTAAATGTTGGCACTCACACGCATACTAATAGTAGCGGAATTAAATTATTGTTTCATATTTGCTATTCCCCACGACTTTATAAGCTTTCGGCTTTTCTCTTATTCCAGCAAAAATAAAAAATATCTAAAATGACACTAGCAAGTGGTCAGTATTTTTCATTATAAGGAATCCTCTGGTTTCAATTACCTGCAAGTAACTTTTTCTTTTATATTTATCTTACCTTTTACAAGTACATTTTATATTTATTTAGTATCTAGGCACTGAATGTATGTATAGTAAGATAATGCAATCGAAATCTTTTTTTTTTTACAAATTTCATTTAATTATATTTCAATCGTAAAACTCTTTCTTTTTGATTGTATTTATTTTTTAAGTACTTTCCGAAATGTCATTGCTAGTATAATAAGTTAATATAAGAAAATAATATATTGATCTAAAAGTTCTTCGTTCTTAATAAAAAAAACTAATATAATTTTTAAGCAATAAGGTTTTTTTTTAATTCCCCTACCTGTATTTTAAGAGGCCATTTCTCATTTGATAATTTTGCAAAATTATTATTTTTTGAACCGTCATAAACTAAAATTATAATAATAATTAAACCTAATAGAAAATTAGTTCATATTGATCCTTAGTATAAAGATTACGCTGTAATATCAAATTGAAATTTTTATTTTAGAAAAATGGCGTCTTAGAATCTGCCCCATTATTTTCACATTTTCTAACCCGATTTTCATAAGTAATTATAATTGTAATCGATAAGGTTTACTTCCGTATTGATTCTATATTTATTTTATAATTTTCCTTAACTTTTTCTTCCTATTTATATCTGTATTATATAAAATTATTTTATATCATATATATTAGTATATCCATATATATTAAAAGTAATGTTTATGTATTATATGTGTATTTCTTATGTATAATACGTGTATGTATAATTATTTTAATACGTTACAATAATTATGCCTCATTTTTTTCACCATCACTGTCCTTCATACGCTTTCTCTTCTTACCTAATAATGAGCTAGTAGAGAATGCTATATGGCTTTAAGCAACTTGTACGAAATTCTATTGTGCAAAAAATATATAAATCGGTGAGATTTTATTTTTGGTATGTAATAGATAAACTCAAAAAGTCATCATCATCATCATATCAGGCTTTAACTGTCCACTACTGAATATAAGCCTCTTCATAGTGGAGAGGCATATGTTCAGTTCAGGTTTTACTACGCTTGGCAAACGGATTGGCAACCGCAACCGCAATTAAGCTTTGGAGATGTCTTAAGAGGGACACTGCTGTCCATCCCTTACTCTCCTTTATTCACCTCTAACGACACCCACGGGAAAGAAAGGGATAGCCTTATTCTGTGCCGGGACTACATGAACAAAATAAAAATAATGTCCTTTACAGAAACTTATTCTATCTTTTTAAAGCTAACTGTCTCTTGTGTTTAAGTAAGTCACGTAATATCCATATTACTAGATAAAGCTTACAAGTCATAATATTTTTCTATCCGATTCAATTGTGATATTATTTCATATAATTCCATGATACTTACGAGAAAGATTTTGTACGAAAGTCGTTTTCGTGGATATTTCTATCCTACCGATATTATTGCCAAACAGCTGTGCTAGTTATATTTTGAGTTTGTTGAATACGCCGGCATAACTTTTAAGAACCTACTCAAGAATGGCAACACTTGAAGAGCACCGTGGATATTTTGGAATTTCCATTATGCTACTCGTATTTATGTATATAGACGACGACTATTACGAGTACTTTCATTCATTACGTAGACCTTCTGTTCATTATTTCAAGATGTATCAAAAATATTTATTTATAAATTATTTATTTATTTGCTATTTATTACACCACTGAAAGTATAATACCATATATATACTGACTTTTGTACTTCATATATATATATATATATATATTAAATTCAAGCAAGAAGCTCTACTACTAGGATTCTACTTACCTAGTAATAGAGCTTGTTGTTTGACCTTATTATTTAATGAAATGAAAATATTATATAAATAAATTTAATAATAATTACTTATGTAAACAATAATTATAGTACGGATTATACTAAACTGGCTGTATTTATTAGATCGGTACATACAAATATATACAATATTACAACTATTTCAATCCAAAACAAAATATTTTTCTTTAAACATAACATTCTATCTTTGCTTTGTATTTCTTATTATTAATTACTGGACACATATCTGTTTACAACTAATTAGAACGTATTAGCTCTTTTCCGTTGCCTCGCCCACGTTGATCGCGTTATTCTCTGCTACGCAATGGAGAATTTTTTAATTTATAACTGTAACCGGATAAAAATTTTCGTAACAAATCTCGAAAAATCCCCCTTTAGTAAGGATCATAGCGACAAACACCACCGGAACAGCAAAAGGATAAGGGATAAGCCGCGCCTAGCAAAATTGTAGTTTCGGCAGTGTACTCCATCTCGTAGGACATAAATATGTTAGTGTACAATTGACTATCTTCATACCAATTTTATAGTTAAAAACTTACACTGAACTCGGGCTCTATTCACCCATACGATTACTTGTAATAGCCACTTGGGTATCGAGAAATTCGCGATTAAAGTGATTTATGGGACTTCACTTAAAACTTTAGTAGCTTGAACATGTCTGTATTTAATAAGTTTTATATCTACTTCCACTATAAGGGATACATTGACTGTAGATAAGTCTAATAAATCACATAGGGGGATTATTTTAAAACGGACTTACACTCTAAAGTCTAAAAGAGATAAAAATAGTCAGCGTACGAAAATATTAATTTCTTTTAAAGACATAAAAAAATGTATTCCTGACTCCCGTTTATTCTGTGCATCTTCGGAGTCGGTGATTAAGAGCTCTACAAGCACACCGTAAAACCCTAATTTTGCTTTATAACCTGCTCGTGCAAATGAAAATGTTCATAAACATAAAGACAGCAATGGGTCGATATTATTTACTTTAATTATACAAGTTTATACCTACTATATTCCTCTGAGTTATTTACAGAAATATTAGAATGTTACACATTAATTCTAATATTAATTTAAAACACTTTTATAGGAATATTAGTAATTGCATGGTATATCCAGTTAAGGTATTACTGGATACCAAATTATTATCCAGATTAACTCCGAGAGAGGTCGCCCATTACCGAATCCCCGATCCCTATGTACGTTTTCTAAAACATCTTACATTGAAATAACCAGCCACAACTCCCACTCTTACACCATATCTTTTACAATACGAACTGCTAGACTTTAGAACTAAACGTTGCCAGAATAGCGCAAACTGTTCATACCTTCAAAGCTCAAACAAAAAGATTTTACAATACACTTGACAGTTGCGTTAGTTATATGTGTTATAGTTACCTTATATTTATATGTATTTATTTATAATTTTATTTATCTTTATTCTGTTATTAATTCTATAGCCGCTAATATTATAATTTATTATTTATCATAGGTATGATTTTTGCATCACATATGTTATGCTTTATATATAAACCCTATAGATAAATACTTTCTCCTTCTGAATTCTGTATTATATATATAGAATGGGCAAAAGTATATACATATGTATAGAGTGTGTACATTTCATTCAATGTAGCGATATAGCTGTTATTTAATAACTAAATATCTAGACACTTTGTATTAACTAAACTGTGTATTAATTAAATACCAGTAGATATTTACTACTCTGCATTACCAATTGTCAAATAAATAACTATTTCTTTTCTTTGTATACATTGTATAGTTTCTCTATTTTCGACAATAAACTGTTATTATTGTTAACTTTGATTTATATCAAAATATCAAGAACATCAAAAAAGGCCAACTGTTAATAATTATTTTTTTCTATGCCCATTGCTTTATAATACGCTTGTTTATCCTACAGCACGATTACTTATAACGGTTACGCGTGCTTCGTTTACTGAAAAACTCCTCAATCATGACGACTGTACTATTCACCTACTTTTTATTGGTTTTACAAGTAGGAAAATCGATGATTACTGCTGGCAATGACCTCTCAAGGATTTGTGAAACTAACAGTAGTTCAACATGCAATTAAATAGGTGACATAGAGGAGATGTCAAATTACGTGTACATATAGTAGCAACTGTACAAATTAGTTAGCTATATTATTTTAAAATATAATAAGGCAATAAAGATAGAACAAACTTTTACCAAAGAACTGCAAGTAAAAATTGTTTTGAATTTAACACCTAATACATATATTCAAATCTTCGCCTTGTGGTCTAAGCCTGTGCTTAGACCTATTCTATAATAGGCCATCCCTTCCTTTCCCGTGAGTGTCGTAAGAGGCGACTAAGGGAACATAATGGTAGAGGAATGGGCAGCAGCGTCCCTTACGCCATCACCTTAAGACATCACCAAATCCTAACTGTAGATGCCAACCTGCCTGCCAAACGTAGCAACTATTGACAAAGATTTATGAGGGAGACTTATATTCAGCAGTCGACAATTAACGACTGATATGATGATATTGAAATATTAAAACATGAGTATGTACTTATGTACAAGTATCTAATATTGCAACCACAAAATAGATAACCTCTACAAAATATAAATAAAATGGAAAAATATATTTCCATTGCAGAAGGACACTGTATTGCTGACCTTACCTCCCATATGAATACAAATGTATTACACTTGCAACGTTATTGTCTTACAAGTACTTACAGCTGCTACATTCAGATGAAACTGCTCACTACTTATACTTTCTATTTGTTGACAAGCTGACATAAATAAAACGTATATTAATATATGTATTTTTATTTGGATGGATGAATATATGGATAGAAATATATATGTATTATTACAATAGCAAATATCTATTATTTTGATGATCAGTGAATTAATGACGAAAACCTCTTACTACTATAATACTACTAGTTCTCGGATAGTATTACAATTATCTATGCCTAAACTGGTGGTCTACCATGAAATGAAATTCCTAAATTTCGGGCTTAATTTCGTGTTTTTGTTCGTATCAAAATGGACCCAGTAAATGGAGCTTGACATTTCGTTCATCATAAATCCTATTGTAATAGTCCAGAGGAACGATATTTTAACCTTTTTAATAATTTTAAACAGCATGTATTATGTAATTTTAACATCAAATTTCTGTTTCGTTCGTCCCCGAAATTTCGGAAAATACTTCATGGTAGGCCCTCTGATTTGAGTTATAATTATAATAAACTAGAATAACGAGATCTACAATTTGGTAATTTAATTAAATTCATGTAAGTTTACCAAAGAGAGATTTTGTACAAAAGTCATTTGCTTGGGCACCTCTGTCCCATTCGTATTTATACCGTGAAACAATTGTGTTTGCATAGCTGTGTTTTGGTTTGAAAGGTGGATATGACAGTGAAATTACGGGGTACAGAAGTATAATACCTTACTCCTCAATAATGGCAACGCATGGAGGTAACATAGACGAAACAGGATATTCTGTTATGTCCATGGTACTGTTCATGTCTATAGGTAAGAAGTTACCGCTTTACATCAGGTAGGTCGTCAGTTTGTTTGCCATTCTAAGTTGCATAAAAAAAAGTTTTTATTTTATTTTATAATATCTAGAATGGTATTAATGCTGACGGCTCACCTAAACCACATAAAAAGAATATAAGTAAAAAGCCACTCTGCCGTCTACCTAAAGTCCTAAATATTTCATGTCTCTTTAATTCCTTTATGAGGCAAACAAGGTAGTAATTAATATTTTTATAGGAGCGGGACGTCCCAGCTCATCAATATTAAACCTCTGTTATGTCGTGATCATCTATCTATCGGTCGCAATAAATTTTCGTGGAAATTTCCTTTTCATTTGAAATCCGGTGCCATGACTTCATTTATTAGGTACCTAAATAATGGGATTAGTAATATATTATAAATATTTATTAACCAAGGGACAATGATGTTATAATAAAAGAAAAAAAGGCAAATACGTTACAAACTCGCTAAAAATGAATTCTCCCTTTTAATTACTTGTTGTAAAATGTGGTGAAATGTATAAAGGTAAATTAATAAATAAATTCCTATGTTGAAATAATTTCATTTGTTTGTTGTCTGAAGGATCGTTTTTAAACAAACGTAGCGTATCTTCTTTGAAAAAATATTGAATGGCGACTGAAACTTAAGTAAACCTATCACTGGGAAACGTTATAGAATACCTATTATTGGAAACGTTGCCACACGTTTCATAGATGCGTAACAAGTAGACGTGACAAACCCGAATTTAGTCATTACCTTAAGATATTACAGTCGAGGCCGGAAAAAAAGGTATCTGTTAGCTAAGCAGTATTTGATGGACAAAAAAAAAGCCGACAAGTATTAACTATATTTGGAAAAGTATATATATATGCTACATATATAGATAGATAATTCCCTCTAGATCAGATAGGCCGTCAGCTTTGCCACTTTCAATTACATAAAAAATACGTTATAACTCCGTGATGTCTAAAATATTCAGACATATTTTTATACATAATAGTAGAATTAGAAATGTGTGTAGTTTATATTTGATAATCGAATTATCTAGTTAATTTATAATTCAAATTGTAATATATTTATTCATTAATTATATTAGCGATCAATATATAATACAAATACTACACTATAAGTTATGTTTTAAGATTAACTATAGCTACTTACTTTCATGGAAACTATCAGAGAGGTAAAATGTTACTCTAGATACTTGGCACTGCCCTCATTGTTTTTCGTAAAATGAGTTAGTTAGAAAAGTTGCTAGCCAACCTTAATTTTTATTTGCATTTGGCCTTTCTGTCGGATTATGATAATCCCGCCATTAATTGTACCTTAAATTTAAGTAAAGAGGATTTAAACAATCTCGTAAACTTAAACAATTCCTTCTAAAAACAAATTCTTACTACCTATACTCGTATAAGATAGGTGAATAAATTTGCAGGAGTAATAAACCTACTTCATTAAAAAAAAAAGAAAAAACAATTTGACGCCTTTTAAAATAATAAAATAAATATTCTTAGTTTACTAAGCTGTCAAATAGACTATATAATCATAATTAATAAAATGTAGAACAGTAAATTTTGTAATAGACAACTTATTTACCAAGGTACAGAATTGACTTCATTAATTTACCTTTATTACAAATTTTCTAATAACTTTAATATGTTAATATTATAATTTAAGGTTAATACATTATTCATAACTTATTGCCCACAGCCAAAAACATTTAACGTATAGTAGCAATTTTTCTGTCCACAGCAGTAATATCTTCATTTGCATGATGAATACTTATGAAAATTTGAATACCTCAGCTTAATTTATCTAAACTCATAGGTGAGTTCTTGATGAAATCGTCGCCTTTTATTGGACAACTTGTAATTGTATAAATTATATTTTCTAAGCAACTTCAGAAAGAATTCCCAATGTTATACCGAATGGTATTATTTTGTGTATATATATGTTACATGATCTCATCGTAAATCAAATTCTGAACCTTTCAATATTGTTATTGTAATCCATAAATTAGATACTAATTAACCCTAGTTAATTTCATAACACTAACATTAATTATTATGTTAATGTACATAGTTCTCAAGCTATGATACCCTATATTGTAAGTCTTTACTAGTCAATTAATGTATAAATAAAGGCAGGCCCAAACTTCTAAATTGACCTGATCGTAAATCGACTTTGAAATCAGTAACAACATACCTACCACTGCACCGCAGAGATATCTTTTTAACAAATGATCTGCTAACAAAGGCCTCGTTTCTGAATAATTTTATTTAGTCTTTCAAATGTAATTAATACTTCATTATTCATTCCCCGCTTAAACTAAGCAACATGGAGTCTTGTCCCTCGGACTAATTGTATCTAATTTATTTTAAAGTATATTCATATTTTATTACTATTAAAAAAACGCAACAGATAAATACATACAGAGAATTTTAGAAAATCTGCTCGTGTTGCACACTTACGAAAAGATATCACATAATAAAATTTTGTATAGGAGCTTCTTTTTGATAGGCACTCCTTATATTTCTTTTTTCTACAGGTACCGTAACTTTTAGATTTAAGATGTACTTTATTATAAAAAATATTATTGATAGGAAATGAAATGTTTTGTTTTTAAAGTTTTATTTACTTACTATACTTACAGTATCCAGTAACATATTATTTGCCTATAAACCAATAGGTAGTGAAACATTGTGTGGGAGTGTAGAACAAATTACCATTTTAATTGTGGACGCCAGAACGTTTTTGGTGCGTAAGCAAGCATTGACAGCGCAATGATGGCAAACCTCTGGAAAATCACCGTCCTACTGATACTTGAATATGTATCTTTACAGAGTATCAACAATATACACAGCCGGGTGAAGTTACGCATTCATCGACTAATTCATGTATGTACCATGCGAGAACATTTCATAATTAAAAATCGATTATAAATTCACGATTACGTAGCACGATTATTTCCTAATCACTGAATGGGCTAAGGGCAATAGATAAAACTAATTCAGTATTATTAGTTTCTAAATTGCTCTGAGAGTCTGAATCAATTTTCACTCATTAGTTGCTTTTAGGTAATACATGTCAAAAAGACATCAAATAAATCGAACGACATTTAGCAAACGCATACTGTTTATAAAAGATGTATCAGTTCAAATAAGAAACTTTACACGAGCATATGTGAATGTATCTATAAAAGGCCGCTTATATGTAACTTGGACTCTGCAGGGTTACTACTCATGTGTCACTAACATCCAATCGCGCGAATGACGAGATTTTAATCGGTTATTGTAATTTTCGACAGCCTCCCAATATTAAATGCGTTAAATTGAAGCACAAGTCCATCACATCATAGGACACTATTTATGTGCCTATACATATTAAATAGGGTAAGTGACAATAATATGTCCAGTCACTTTTACTTATAAACCTGACATATTAAGGTGATTCTCACCAAACGACTCGCATCGGATCGGATCGGAACGGATTTTACAATTTTTAAACGCTATTAAATCATATACACAGTATTTAAAGTCTATATTACCCAGCCACGCACAGTAGTTTGGCCGCGGACATCTTCAGCGAAACGCGATCATAGCCTAGACTTTACGACACGCAAACGACTCCATTCGCTTGTCGTTGTATCCGATCGCATACTTTCGGCTGCCGTCGCGTGCGTTCAAAGCCGTCACTGGCCGGCATCGCCCTTTTTTTCTCCTCTTTGTTTTATGATTATTTTCTTTATGTTCTAATGAAATAGTAAAAATAAAACTGTTTACTAGGCGCAGAAACGTACCTATACGTTCGCAAGCGACAGTGCGAAGCCTATCATATCTGCCGAATGAACACCTGTTCATATCCTTTCCGATCCAATGCGATGCGAGCCCTTTAGTGGAAAACATCCCTTGTAAAATAATAGATACTTTTTACAATACATACCCACTCTAAATATAGTTAGATTTTCTATACAATAAACTATTTAAGTTTATTTCTAGTAATTATTGGAATTTAACTCCAGTACGTAATGAATCTTGTCGTGTACTCGTATATTTATTTTACATCAATGTAATCTCTCATGACAGATCCTCCGAATGTGCAGATTCTAAATCATATATAATGATACTCAAAAATATAGTCTTTGTCTAGACATATAGCCATCGCGGAATATGCTTCACCTTACGAGACATATTCGTACAATAAGGGGGTTCTTTTTATGGGTACCCGCCTGCCCTATTAATATACACTAGCAAATACCAGTGAGGGATATTAGCGAGGAATCCTCCGACAATGGTCCAACTAAACTGACTTGACTACATTCTCATCTACTATCTCTCAAAGTTAATCTACGCTAAAAAATATATATTATCTAAAGCAGTTTACCCCTTTTTTAATTAGTTTGCAGGGCATCAAACCACGGTATGTGGTAATTCACTAGTATGACATCGTGTATAAGAAACAAATCGATCGTCAAAATGACACTTGATACTACAGGCTTGAAAAATCTTCGTTATGGCAACAGTCAACTAGTCTACACAGTATTGACACTTCTAGTCATTTTTGGATTATACCTGTTAACTAAGAATTGGAAAGGCTTCACTAGCCCAGAGGAGGTGGACCTAGGATACTTGCGTATTTCGACATATGCTCACGCTTGTCGAAAACACACTCGTACCCATAAGCATGAATGTTAATTTGGCATTAATGTTGATTCTAACATCTAATGTAATACACAAAACTTCAAAGTTATTGCAAATGATAAATGACAAACGACCATAATTAACAATAGAATTAGATATTTTTTACTACTTTTGAAGCACTGTTGCCAATATTATTATATAATTTATATTTTCAGTTGCATTTTATTTAATTCGTAAGTAGAAGAAGGTAGATGACCTTCTACCTGTATATTATTATTTAAAAAAAAGGTGACTGAGTGATCAACGCACAGCCTAGACTGCAGAAAGAAGTTAAATTTTTGCACAGGGGTTTTCTTTTTTATGTAATATAAGTGAATACTAAAAAAAGATTTTTTCAAATAAAAATAGAAAAATAAAAATGTATATTAAAGTTCCTTAAACTATTTTTCACACTACCCTCGCGAAAGTGACAATCTCGAAATTATCGCAGGAATCCCTGGATACAAGTGGCATGGGATCGTACTATGTAGCAAATATGAAGAAGATGATATATTCATAATAAGCTTCACGCATTTTTTTAGACCTTCATTCCTTAATAGGTATGACATAACAGAGGATGAAAGTAGGTAAGGTTGATTTCATTCCTATTTTATTGAATATAAAAATCAGATTCAAACATTATGAATAAGGGCACCTGAGTAAATTAAACTTCAGCACCCAGGTCACTAATTTCGTGTCGCACTACGTTTAGGTCCGCAAAACAGGCTGATTTACTCTGACCCGTGTGATGAATACTTGTTGAAGCTAGCCCGAAAAGGTATCCATTTTGGATGAGCAGATCACCAGCACGTACTGGACATCGCGCTAAATCTTTCACGCAAATTATATGTTTCTTATTTAAATTTTTAACTGGTGGATTTGAATCATATTGATTAGCAAGGGTTGCTGGTTGGCGTGATAATGTTTTGCCCATATGCAGAGGTCTTCCAATTATGTAAGCTGTCGAGTTCCAGTCTATTTGCTGACCAATCCGTATAATTTTTGCACAATCAACAATGTTTTCGTAAATGTATAGAAGAACTAATGTATTACCTATTACACCATCGTGTTGTATTGGTTCGACGGCGTCAACAGAAAATCTCTTTTTACAGCGAGGTCTGTAACAATATTCAAAACAGATGTATACACCTAAATTAGAATTATTCATTTCAACTACCTCAAAAAGAAGAACTCGACTTATGATGGCTTGAAGCCTAAGGCGAGAATTTTGCTCACGGCGCAATGTCTAAAAGGAGCTTCACTATGTCAATTTACCTGTCATAATAGCTATCTAGATAATATAAAAATGAAACGACTTTGCCAAAGAACAAAAGTAACTAGTGTAATAACATTATTAATTTAACTTTATAAATTTATCTATAAATAGCTTACTCAGCAAGACTTCCCAAACGTAGAAGTATGGGTCCAGCTTTTACACACATTCCGTTAACCAAAACCGCCGAAGAACTTATGACTGCCCCTACACATAGCAGTTGGTGCGTTGATGCTAAATGTATCCTAGCAGTGAAACTGTAGTCGTCCATCTTTATAAGATGACATTTAATATCATTATTTATTATTTTAGAATATTGGAACCCTTTGTAATGTATACAGAGATTGTTAATCACGCACGCTGCTATTCCCGTAAATATAACTGTTAATAAAGTAATGATGCCTACTTTACTCTTGGTAGAACGATCATCCCAGGGCGTATTTAAAAAATTATATTTAAATTCATACTCTTCGACAGTGTCTTGCTCAACAATTATTGTATTATTCTCCTTAAGATCTTCCATTACAACTTTGAAGTTTTATATGAAATCGTGTTATTAAGCAAAAATATAAATTATTACAAAACCACATGGATGTTGAAAAACATCCATTTGGTCATGAAACTACATAAAACAAATTCTGGTTGCATAGATTCAATAATTTTAATCTTAATAGGTATCTTAAGTTTTAATTCTGATTTAATCAATTTTAATGGAAATCTGTAGGCTGTAAATATTGATAGATTAGAAATATTAAAAAGGCGCCATGAATTTCTAAAATTTAAATTTAACACTACAGCGAAATCTTTAATCTAATGACCCATATGAGATGGAACTTCTAATTTTTTAAGTCAAAGTTTAAGCCGAAATTATTATAAAATATGTTTATGATGATACATAAAATAGTAAATTAGCTAAATTACTCAATTAAAATATTGTGTTAAGATATAGGTTTTGAGAAATGAGGCCTTGGAAACGACCCATTTGTTTGCTCCAGCTAGAGAGGCAGGATAGTTTTTATCCCGATAAAAAAAAATTATTCGGTAGGTAGCGAAATAAGGTGTGCTAAGTCAATTAATAATTCTATAAATATCTAATTTACCTAAACTTATTTTTTCGTTAATAACTTCTAATTAAAGTAAATAAAATTATGACGGACCTTTTGATAAAAGGACGGAACTCCGTTTACAAAATTAACACCTGGTATGTATAATATATATACCTATTATAAGAATATGTAAAGTGATGAATCTAAGACTTCAGGTCAGTACTAGGTAGTTAGATCAGTTTTCTGAATAAAAATATACCTATAGTCTTGATTGGTTAGTGCGATTAACACTCGGTTCAATGATACCTTATAAAAGCTGCAAATTATTCCAAGCAATATCGAACCCTTAAATATAAGGAGTTATTTTTTACTTACTACTGCGTATTATTTTTAAGAACACAACTAGTTATGAAAACCAGTTAACTTACAAGGAAAACGTAATTTTAAAAAAATATTTGACTTAGTAGCCACGGCTCATCTTCTGCAATCGCACTAGTTAAAATCGACATGAAGGTCACCTCCATGGTTACCTTAGACTCTAAATAGGGACCATTAGGCAGAAGTGGTTTGTTAGTAGATAATGAAAATAGTGGTCCCGTTGTTAACAATAGGGGTTATATTGTTAACGCGACCACTAGCTTAATTTCCATGCAATCCACCATGCTTAATTCTTAATGAATTCGTCGCTATTAACTAACTGACCTTACTTCATTCTCCTCTATAATCCCTCATTGATACTCTGCTAGCATATAATACCAATAGCACAAACATGGTTACCATTCCATTATCATTCCTAAAAAATAGTGCCCTTCAATAACTTTTCACAAAAATTTTCTTCTGCTGAGACTCAAAGAATAAAATATGGGCTTTCGAAGTTGTCTCAAGACGTGTTTAAAATCGATAATAATAATCAATAAACTTATTCACGTAGCTTATTTTGTAATATGCTCATGTAACAAGAAAAGAGTTATAGAGATATGGAGAAATTAAAATCTTCCCCATATTTTATTTTTTCTATTTACCTAAGAAATGTTATAAACAAAAAAGTTTTCGATGATTTGTGTTTTAATAGGTTAAAAACCTACATAGTTGACTTATATTTCTTTGTCTTGTATATAATTAAGGATAACGCCTGTAGTACTGTCTCCTATGCCTAAATCATATAAAATATACGTATAACCATATTAAGATTTAGTTATATGAATACATTTATAGTTGTATCAATTGCTTTTCCTATATATTTATAAGTATATTCTCATATGTACAAGTATATCCTTCATATCCTATAAATATCCTAAACCTAATCCTTAACCCTTCTAAATTCGTTTGTGTTAGGTATTTTTTTACTACTATCGTTTCCCCGTTTTGTTCTTGGCAAAATACCCTAATATCGGGGTGAACGCCACAAAAGAAAAAAAAAAAAGATAGTTGTCATTCATATATTTGACAGTAATATGCAATGTAATGTCATTTAAATGTCAATTTTGTAACTTTATATTTTTTCTTTAAATATGCTGCTAATTTAATAAATAAACAGAACAAACACCTTTGAGAGAATAAATAAACAAAATGCCTACAGTAGTACTACTCGATGTCTCTTTGTCGATGTCTCGACCGGTGCCTACATCAGACACAACCGAAAATCATACTCGTCTTACCATTGCTTCGACTGCTATAAACACATTTTTAGATTATTTAAGTGTTCATGCAAAATTGGAATACGTAGCTCTAGTTACTTACTCATCCCTATATGAAGGTAATATTACAAAAAACTACCCCTAAAGGTATCCACCAAACAAGTACTTACGACTTCATAATATATCTATAATATTTGTAAAATTACAGAAAGAAATTATGTATATGCAAGTTAAAATACCTAAAACAAAAAAAACTTATTCATAATTATTTTTTTTACAGTATCTGTCCCATTTACACGTGATTATGACCTGATACGCAACAAACTTCCTCTTCTGGAAGAAGGTGACAAGACATGTATAGAGACGGCTTTGCTTGGAGTAAACCAACTCATACTCAGTGAATGGGGATACCAAACACCTGTACAAACTATAATAGTAAGTTTCTTTTGTAATTAACATAAGATACAAGAAAAATAAATTACTATAACTTTATACATCATTTATTTTTCTTGAATGAATAATATTCAAAAGTAAAAGAGTAATAATGCTAAAACAACACACATAGAAGTAGCTGAATGTATATGGTTATGAATTACAGCAAGATTAAAAGGAAGCTTATCTTAACAGAATTGCTAATTTACAATGTCTGTAGTGAATATATCGTAGTTGAACACACAATCTCACTTGTGGGTAGTTGGGGGTTTAATCGCTACACAAGCATTTACATAGGGTTTATTTAAAGGGGAAAGATTATCTGGTACCCACCCCAAAATTGTCTTATACTTACCTCAGAATAAACAGAGAGAGAATAAACAGATGTATTTACATGTCTAAAAATTCATATAGCCAAGCCCCTTGCAACATAATCTTAAATATACCAATGAGTATTTGTATCCAATAAATTTAAATAATTATATTTGTCAAGTGTTTTCTGTAGATAGATAACATATGTATACGTACTAAAAACATGCATAGTTCTAGGATTAGGATTAAATTGTAATATAAAAACATATTTAAAAATATTATAAATTGTTGTTACATCATAAACAAGTTTTAGACATTGTTTTTTATTTATTTTAATCATTAAGACTTATTTTCAACATGACAATTTATTTTTCAAATTCTAGATAACAGATGGCAGCTGTGGAGTTGGTGCTATTGGCAGAACTCGCATTATACAAGCATTGCCTTTGCCTCCATCTTATCCCACTAGAATACATGTTTTGCCAATAGTATCTCCACATGATCCTTGTTTACAACAAGGTAATATACATATTTTTTTTTATTTTGTATAATATTACATAGTCAAATATAAGAAGAATCATAAGTAAAAGTAGAATCATAAAAACATATTTACTTGTTTCAGCAATGCCACTATATCAGAAAATTGTGGACTTAGCTACAGGCACTGCTAACAGTTCAAACCTTAGCATTTCATGTGGTGCTATATTTTGTCCAGACCAGTTATCTGTACCTGGGGTTAGTAATATATATTTATACTACTGAAACTGTCAATCAAGCTAATGACCCAACTAATAAAACTGTTTTTTTTTTTTGATGGGTGAAAATGGTAATGTATCCCCGCCTGCGCTAATGGGATATGCTGGTGGAGCACCAGTGAAGGGTGATAGATGAGAATGAAAACAGACCAGTTAGCCCATCATGATGAATTCATCAGGAATTAACCATGATAGTTTCCAGGGAGAACCGCGAGGAGGTTGAACTGGTTGAGTATATTGCTAGCAATAGGATATCAGTCTCCATTACTAACAATCCCTTTCCTCCCTAATAAAACTGGTTATCTTATTCTGTATACAGCATAAATATCACATATGCATTACCACTCCTTGACAATAATATATACAATGCCCCAAATAAGAGGCTTAGTGTAGAAAAATCCAATTTATATTTACCACCCCATGATATATCTCAATGAAGACTTAAACAGTATAATAATATGATCAAATAATAATATAAACTGTATAATTAAGTCTGTTCCTCAAAAAAAAAACTTGTTCATGTTTACATAAAAATTAAACTACTTATTAAACTAATTTTGATAAAATTTCTATGGGTCCAATCAGTAAGTATATTCTTTCAGATAAAAAAAATTCTAAATCCTTACAAGTGATCGAGTTTTGAGGCAGTAGACTCAAAAAAATGCAGCCAAATTGAGAACCTTCTTTTTGAACTTAGTTGAAACCTGAAAGTGTCAGTATAGATAAATTGTAATTACACAAAATTGTCATGACTACACAAATATCAACCATGTGGATAATTGCTAGCTCCTATTTTCATTATTTATTCAGGCAATATCAGCAATGACCCGTCTCTGTGAACAATACTATCAGGAATTCTGGTGTACACTCAAATGTGGCCAATTGGAATCCAGAGTACAACTATTTCCAGCACCACAAGCAGCTTTACATGACGGCCTTGTTGCAAGCTACACAATAGCACATCAACTGCATGTCGTCGGCTTCCTACATCAACAGGACCTTGGTAAAATATCTATTATCTTGAAAATAAATTGAAATTTACTTATTCCTCGGTAATTCATCGTAACATATATAAAATTAGGAAGACAGAAGTAGGTAGGTAGTTCATGTTATATCAAATATTACTCAAAAGTAAGAGTTGAAAAATATCTGGCTACTCCATCTGAAATTGTAACTTAAGTAAAATTTGTGTGAAATTTAAATTTATTCCTAAAGTAATTATTAATAACAGATATTATTAATTTAAATAAAAATAGGAATTTTTCATTTGATCGGTTTCAACCTTCAACCGTAAAATTGAAATACCCATGAATTTTGTAGGTACACCAATAGCGATAAGTAAACATCTAGTGATACCTCAAGCTCAAGCAGGTAGTGCGGCTAACAAAGAAAATTATGAATCAAAAACACCAACAAAGGTAATAAATAATAAAAATATATAGTTTACTTAATTCCTGAGTTAAATCCTTATAGGATTTAAAAGCAATAATACTGTCAATATTATTATAGGAAACTTCCAGTACTGACGGATCAGCCACTGAAGAAGATATGTCAGATCCAAGCAAAGTACCTAATTTCTGTGTTCTGCTCCATGGTGCCTTAAAGGTAAAAATAGTGTTATTTATTTTTATTAGAACAATGTTGAATTTTAAAAATTAACTTTTCTTCGATTCGAACTTACATAAGTATAATTTAAATATATGCTATTTTAAAAACAGGTTGAAAGCATGACAGCAATAGTTCAGTTAGGTTCGGACTGGTGGGGCACGCTGACAGCGTGGTGCGAAGCGTCCAGGGCTCGCCGCTCGTGCCTATTGCTCAGCGTGCTGAGGCCGGGAGTCTCCGCTGCGCCTTGGCTTGGACCTTTAGATCAACTAGGCCCTGCTGACGATAACACTTCACCTGGTAAGCAATTTTTTAAAATCAATATGATTCAACTGTTAAAATGATAACATGTAATTTTTTGGGAAAAATTTTATGTGTCATTAACTATATGATTATATGTACATATGTATATAATTTTATAGCAGAGCCGTTCCCTATCCGGTCGTGGCGGTCGTATAGCAGCGGTGGGTCGGGCTGCGCATGGGCCCGTCCGCATGCTTTACTCGCTGATGTACAAAAAGTTCTGCGTCATGCAAGAAAATTACCCGATAAAACCCAACATCTTTATAAGGTACTTATTTAGTTACCCAAAACACTAAGAAAAATTTTGTAACTTTAAAAATTTTGTATATTTTAATATATAATATATCTTTATATAGAGTAGTAAAGTCGTTTAAAATTGAATCTAATTATTTTGGAAAAATATTTTACTTACTTTTCCTTAGTATATACGTGACGCGATATCTTCACTAATTCTGAACCTATGAGAGATAATGGTCTCAAATAAATTTTGGCATGACTGAAATAATAAATTCTGTTTATAAAAATGCTGCAAATGATTTAAAAAAAACGAGTAGGTTCTTAATTTAATAAAATATTTTGTGTTTACGTTACACAATATCTGTACCAATTCCAAACAAGATTAGTAACTATTTCTTATAATAACCAAAAAAAACGTATATACTTGATTTAATCTATTCTGTTTTGTCATTACAGGAGCTGAACCGCCTTCGTAGAGCAGCTATCTCGCTCGGATTTTCCGAACTTCTTACTTGTGTGGGTAATGCTTTAGAGCGTGAATGCGCTGCGTTACCGACCTCAGCGCCGCCGGAATGTGCGCTGCAGTTAGCACATGCTGCCGCTGCATTGCGCGATCCACGGACAGCATTAGATATCAAACACGTATTACAGCCACTCGCTGCAAATTTTACTGTCACATCAATGTCTCATTAAATTCAATTCACAGTGGAGTTATGCATGCCATAAAATATAAATATTTGTAAATAAAACTAATTTTTATAAGACTTTCTAAACTATTAAACTAAGTTCTTATTCTGTACAAAACTGATGAACTATAAGAAATAGATTGAATACACCATCTGCATCTGCATCTGCATTTTATTCCCAAATATATACTAACTATATGCCTAATAACAGTAAGTAAATAAGATAAAAAATAGTGGAACTAACAAAAACAAAATATTGGGCATTAAAACTTTAAAATTTTGATTTAGAGAATCTGAATTCAAAATGACCTGAATAGTTGTATAACAAAATTAAAAATATATATATATATCATATATATATATATATATATATATATATATATATATATATATATATATATATATATATATATATATATATATATATATATATAAACTCAATTATAAAAAAATTATCTAATTGCATTATTTCAAAACGGCTGTCCCATGTTTTTTTTTTTTTATGGCGGGTTAGCCGATTAATTTAAAATGAAATTGACTGGCAAATCTAGATTGGGGATACATGAGCATGAATGATGAAATTCATCCCATAGTCCGCTCCTTAATTACTCAAGTCATATGTGAATCTAAAGATCATTTGCTTTTCATCAATCCCTAGACGGATCATCAAAGTAATTAAAAAAAAAAACAGTTTGACAGATATATCACTTATTTTAATTTGCAACACTTTTGAACATTTACTGCGCATTGCCAGAATAAGTATTTTTTCCCATTTCTGGGTAACCTAAATCTTGACTATTAAAAATTTTTAAAAAAATGTAATTCTTAAAAAAAATATATAATTAAGGGTTTTAGTTAGTTAACTTGATAAATGTTCTAATATTTAAAAGAAATACAACTTCTAAGTCGTATATATAAGTAGTAAGATTATAAAAAGTTAGCAGTATAGTGGTGTCCGAATATAATAAAAAATTGTCGCTATTTAAATAATTAGTAATTACTAAGTTTATACTTCGACTATTATATAAGTAATATTCGTATTAGAAAAATTTTACTAATTAGTAACTACTAATAAATGTCTAACTTTCCCTTTATTCAGTACTTTTAGAATAAATGGTAGTGAACAGACGACCCAAAAAAACACAAACATCTGTTCAGTAATGGTCACTTTAAATAAAAATAATAATAAAATTAATTTACTTAGCCATTTACTTAATACTAATATTTTTAATAATATGTATCAAAAGTTGCTAATTTTTACTAAATCTACTAACTTGGCAACACTACTGACCATTAATAGCTACGTTCGAACCTAAGAACAAGGAAGTTCGAACCAGCTTGTACATATCCCTTTATAAAGTAATGATTTAATCGATTAATAGAAGCAGTTATAGTGTATTAATAAAATTTATAGTCGGATGGTTTTAGATATATTCGAATAATTCGAATTAATTGTTCAGTCTAATAGTAGTCGTATCAATAAGTTCGTGTTCTAGAAGTAGTAGTGATTTATTCGCAGTTTGTAATCATGAAAAAATCTTTTGTACTTTTTTCAACAATATAAAATATTATTTGAAAAAAGTAAAAATCGTTATATTTAGCAGAAAAATATTTCAAATTTGGGAACAAAAGAATACAAATCTGGCAAGTTTGTATTTGTCAAAAAAATGTATTTACTTGAGAAAGTTGAGAGTTAAATTCAAATTTAATTTATTTTTTATGAATTAATCCAACTAAATTATTTCTATTATAACACTGAAATGATATAGAGTCCCTTTTATAGCCGATGAAATCTTTATACTGTTTTTAAATCCAAACATGACGCAAAAACTAACACTCAAATTGTTAGGAATCGTGTTTCTTTCAAGTTTACCCTTTTTATTTAGTTTACACGGTGACTTTGTGTTTGATGATTCCGAGGCTATTATTAAGAACAAAGATATATTATCAGAATCATGGTTTGACTGTTTTTATAATGACTTTTGGGGCACAAACATAAAGAGCAATCTAAGTCACAAATCGTATCGTCCTTTGACTGTTCTATCGTTCAGGTAACTTTACCAGTATTTTCTACCTAGTTTGTGACTGGACCTCTTCATTTGGATCATAATAAACACAACTCTTTAAGTGAAGATTAAAATAAACTAAACATTTCAGGTTGCAATACTTTCTAAATGGGCGAAGTTTATCACCATTTCAATTCAAAGTTGCCAATTTAGTATGTCATATTATATGCTGTATTTTGGTCTGGCAGGCGTTTGAGAGCATGACAAAAACTTTATGCATACCTGAAAAAAATAAGTATATTAACACTGCGTACCTAGCATCTGTAGTGTTTGCAGTGCATCCTGTACATGTGGAAGCAATATGCGGCATAGTAGGTCGTGCTGATATATTGGCGGCAATAACATTTTTTCTATCCTTTATTGCTTATAATAAAGCAATAACTACTCAAAGAGTTATATATTTGAGTGCTGCAATATTATTAGCAGCAGTTTCAATGTTGTTCAAAGAGAATGGTGTGACAGTATTGGTAAGTAACCACTGTTATTCCAATACAGTAATAAAATATCAATTTTGAACAATGTAATAATTTTTAATGTATATATGTTGTTATGTTTTTATAGGGTTTCTGCTTATGTTATGAAATAGTTGCAAAATTGCAAATGAAAAATATTACAAAACAAAAAAATAATTATAAATACAAATATTTACATTCCATGTTACGAATTGTCGTTACCATTGTATCTATAATTTTACTTCTTTATGGAAGATGGATACTTATGGGTAGTGCTAAACCTGACTTCAAACCTACCGATAATCCTACTGCTTTCTCTGAAAACATTTACACAAAGGTACCTATACATTACATTATTACCTTACATTTATTATTTCGATTAAATTTCTTCCAATCTAAAATAATTGTCATTTCAGGCTGGGACATATAACTACATATATTTCCTTAATTCCCTTTTGTTTATTTGGCCCCAATGGTTGTGTTATGACTGGTCTATGGGCTGTATACCCATAATCAGAAGTACTTTAGATTATAGAATAACATTGATAATATTAATGTTTACCTATGTTGTACTGATACTAATAGCAATATTAAATAAACAAAATAAGGAATCATTTAAAAGGTGAATATACCTCAGGTCTCCTTGTGAAATAAGTTCATATTATTATACAATAAACAAATTTTGAATGTTTCTTTTCAGCTTTCTCATATTAGCAATAGTTCTAATAGTAGTACCATTTTTACCAGCAGCAAACATATTATATCCAGTTGGTTTTGTTATAGCTGAGAGAATCCTATACATACCTTCTGCTGGTTATTGTCTGTTGTTGACACTTGGTGTAAACAAAATAATTGCAAGAGGAGAAACAATAAAGAAGGTATATATTTATGAATATTTAACTGCTCAATAATTATGGAAGCTCTGTTCCATTAATAATTATGAATATATCACTGAACTATTCATCTTCACCTATTTAATGGTATTTTTATTTAATAAATTTAACCAATATATTTTGTTACAGATGGTATTTATATTCTTTCTTTTATTAATATTTATTTATTTGCTCAGATGTTGGCAAAGATCTTTTGATTGGCAAAATGAGTATCAGTTATTTATCAGTGGACTATCAGTATGTCCACTAAATGCTAAAGTTCACTACAACGTAGCAAAAGTAGCAGATGCTGCAAACCAAACAGAATGGGCTATTGCTGAATACAAGGAATCAATAAGGTATTTGTTACATACAATATTGCATAAGTGTAATGAAAATAAAAATTTGCATACATGTATACTGTGCAGATCATTGCTGTATGCTTTCTAACTTATTCATTAGACTATGGCAAACTATACATTCAAGTGTTCTCAGTGAAATAAGAGTGAACCGAGACCACAACAATTAGGCCTATAAAATCAAATGCCTTTGATTGAAATGAAATTGATTTAAACACCATAAAATCAATTTCATTTTCACTCTTCTCAAATATTGAGGAGTTCTATTATTTAAAATTCAAATTATTACTAATATTCTAATTATTTTTCATTCTGGTTTACATAGATGGTATAGAATATTGTTCCATATCCTTGACAAAATATTACTGTTTGTAGTTTCCTGAACATTTGACATACTTGGATTTAGCTGCCTTTAATTTTATAGCCCTCAATAAATGAAACTTCTGACTATCTAATACACGCTAAAAGTTATGAGCTTTCCTATTTGTTTACATTTATATTTCTTTTATATTGTTTTGTCTCATAAATACAAAACTGTACAACCTAGCAATCTTTTTTAGATTATACCCGGAATACTACCAGGCATTGAACAACCTGGCTAATTTGTTTAAAAATCAAAAACAATTTCCTGAGGCGGAAAGCTATCTTAGAACAGCTCTTAAATATAAGTATGTATAAATTATTTATTCTATCAATTAATATTTCGAACTTAAGTTTAAGATTTAAAGTATAACATAAGTATTGAAAAGAAATATGAAGATATGTATAATAATGTTTTTGTTGTATTTTTTCCTTCTGCCCAACTTTATGTTTATTTTGTTTAACAATAAAACAATTTCTGAATAAATGGGAGAAAAATATTTTTAGGCAAGATTTCTCAGCTGCATGGATGAATTTGGGAATAGTACTTGCTAGTACTAATCGATTTACAGAATCTGAAAATGCTTACAAAAATGCACTGAAGTATCGAAAAAATTATCCTGATTGCTATTACAACCTGGGAAATTTGGTAGGTGATAATGGAATGTTTTTAAGAGCTTTTACCTTCTTCAGGTATCAGCCCTAAACTGATTTCTCAAATAAAGTTTTTCTACTTTTCCTAGTTACAGAAAGAGAAGAATCATTATCATTAGTTTACAGAGATTTTCAAAAATGTTTGATTTGGGTTCAGCTAATATAGATTGAATAAGACCATTATCTAATTTATTTAGGTTAAAGTGGCGCATGAATTCTTCTCTTTCCTTCGAGTTTATACGACATTTTAACACTATATGTTGCAAATCATCGATGGTATCACAAATTTGACAGTAGGGTAACCAGGACTTTCCAAAGTATGTGCAAAGTTTTTTATACATAGCTGGGGTACCATTTTGATTCCATAAAACCGAATGTGTGGATGAATAGTTTTAATACCAAATACCTTTTTCTTTTGAAATTGGTGCCAATATACTATCAGGCAGGTTTACCATATATATATATATATATATATATATATATATATATATATATATATATATATATATATATATATATAAGCTGGGGTACCAGCGAGGGATGATTTTACTAACCATAGCATTGTATACGAAATTTGTTTTGATTTAATTTATAGGTTTTTTTCCCACCCCGTAAGGGGTTGCGGACGACCATGCTGCTGTTGTCGGTCTTTTAGGAAGGAATATGCTTTATTCTTGAAGGTTTCAATGTCGTAACTGTTTGAATATCAAATAATAATTAGTTATACCTACTACCTATCATATAAATTAACTATGTCTTAACCTCCGTCATTGTATATTAAATCTTTTTAAAATGTCCATTGTAAAATATGTACAATACTTATTACTTATAATACCTTTTCAGTATCTGAGTATGAACAAAACACAGAACGCTATTGAAAATTGGACGCAAGCTATACATTTAAATTCTAAGCACGTCCTAGCTTGGATCAATTTGCTTGCTTTATTAGATAACACAGGTAAATCTATATATAATATTTGTAAGACTATTTACTCAATTTATTAAAAATCTGAATATGTGTATAGCTGTGCACATGGATTCCATCTGATCATAAACCTATTTTAGCTATTAAAGTGTTTTGTCTTTTTCTTTTACACTAATTTCTAAATTTGAAAGACATGGACAAAATAATAGTTAAAATAGGTTCATAGAACGTTTTAATTTTTATGAATAAGGAGGTCCATTTAGGACATTAATTGGCCGGGGTAAAAGTACCCTGTATCCTTCTACACACAAAATACTGTCTATATAACAATTAGTATAAATACTTTTATGCATTTAATAGAGTTCTGATTATTTTGTGTAACTGAATCTCTTTAATTTTAAATATTAACAATAATATTTCTTTATTAAAGATAACTATATTGTATTTAATATAGCAATTGCCAAATTGAAGTTTTATTGAATATCAGAAACGTAATTAGCAAACAAAGCTACAAGTATATTATTATTTTTAGAAAATATAGAAACAGCAAAAGAATTTATACCGAGAGCTATTGCAGAGCTGCCAGATTCGCCTTCAGTTCTTTTTGCAATTGCCAACATTTACGGCAAAATGGAACGATACACTGAAGCAGAGGAACACTTTTTAAAGTCGATCAAATTATTTGGTGATCGTGTACAAGCCATACATTATTCAAATCTTGGTAAGTTTAGAGAAATTTAATATTTTAACGTAATGGCGCCACTATTTTTACTACTAAAATTTTAAGTGTAAAAAATACATATTTCAAATCACGTTCGTTAGGGAAAGTAGTTCAATTTCATGATTACTATTCTTTAGGTTTTCTTTCCAAGACATCTTAATATCGTTGTGCACGACGCACCTTTTTAGTTTCTTTTTTAAATTTATTAAAAAGATGTTTTGTTTGTAATTTGAAGTGTGTGTCAGTTTCGGTTTTGTTTTTGCCTTCGCTTTTTTACTCCGTTGGTTTGATATGTATATTTTTTATATTATTATATTATCTTTCTAAAACACCGTGTTTCCATACCAGCATACAGTCCTTTCGCCCACATTTTAGCACGAACCGTAGCTGATGAGCGGCTGCAGGTCGATGTGCTGCGAGCACTGACTGCGATCGGTGGTACGGTGGACACCGACGCCGAGGCGGCGGCATCAGGGTGCGTTTTCTCTCCCGATGGTGGTAGGGGCAACGCTTTTGCCGTACGAGTATTTGCCGAACTCAGTTTACGACCCGACCGTGTTTCCATTTTTTTTGAAAATTTCGAATATTGATTCACTGAATAAAATAAATTATGGGAGAAGGACCAAAAATGTGGGCGAAAGGACTGTATGCTGGTATGGAAACACGGTGTTTTAGAAAGATAATATAATAATATAAAAAATATACATATCAAACCAACGGAGTAAAAAAGCGAAGGCAAAAACAAAACCGAAACTGACACACACTTCAAATTACAAACAAAACATCTTTTTAATAAATTTAAAAAAGAAACTAAAAAGGTGCGTCGTGCACAATCATCTTAAGTTAAAAAACCCGTGTCACTGTGTGCGTTGTATAAATGTAATGTAAACAGCTATGTATTGTTGGTTTTAACTTAGAAGATAGAATAGTTTTTATTTCGGTACGTGGCGGTAGCGCACAAAACAATATTACTGGGCTAACGGGTGATTATAATAACCATTGAAAATTAGATGTGCCTGGAATGTCGCGTCGTAGTCATCAACTTAATTTATATCAAATACGGAATAAAATCATAAATTATTCATGACTAGCTTTTACCCGCGACTTCATCCGCGTAACCGAGATATGAGAGGTGAGACCGAAATATGAGACAAACGACTGCGATAAAAACACTGTCACATATCGTATATATATACGAAATTTCATAGAAAGTGGTTAACCTGTTAAAACACTAAGAAGTAACAAACAAACACCTTACTAATGTAATAAAATTGTAACTACACTATATCTATATATAGAAGATATTTAAGTAAAAATAACATGAGGGGTCTTAAAAAGACCAATAGATGCCATAACAATAATGTTTAGAATTTTTGTCTATCTCTCTGTATGTTTGTTCAAGCATCATGCAAAAACTATTGCACCAAATTGGATGCGGTTTACACAGTTATGTTCCTGAAGGTCTAACTTCAAATTGGGTATGCGTTTAATCTTGGTACTTCTTCTAGAAGTTGTTTATTTCATTCGTTTTCCTACTTCTGACATCCAGACGTACGAAATAGCAGGCAGAAAGCTGGTTTATATTATATTATAATAATAAGGATTTATCTTCGTATTTGATACTAAAACCATATAGAGGAGTAGTTCGTCAACATATCAAATTAACAAAAATTAATATCCAATGATCCATTCAACTGGTGTTGATGTTTTTAAGTTAGACTATTACATACTCTACTATGATAAACTTACTTGGAAATTTTTCTATGATATACATACCTAACAAACACAGACTCGGCATCTATTTCGACAATTGCCACTTTATTAAAGCGCCTACATTTTAAAATAGGATCGACTATAACCATATAAAAGAGAAGCACATCGTTTGTGTATAGGAGGAATACATTGATGAAAATAGTGATGGCTTAATATTAAAAAAAAAAAACAGTTTTGTATAGATAAATAGAAATAGTTATAGTTCGATATAGATATAATGAACTGTTCTGTTTTCTTTTATGCAAGTCAATGTAGTGTCATTGGACGGTCGTTTGATAATTGATGTATGTTCTTAGCTCAATTTGTCTATGCCTCCATAACAATTAAAAAAAAAATAGTTGTAGGCTACGTATTTTATAGTACTATCATTTGCATAACAAATATATAGTCATGCAAATGATAGTACTATAAAATACATATATATAGTCTTATAGATATATTCTTCTGTTTTATTTTGTTTCAGGAGTGTTATATCATCGTTGGAGAAAATATAATTTAGCAGAACAGATGTATAAGAAGGCTTTAACACTTAATCCTGTATTTGCAAGCGCTCATAAAAATATTAAAAGTTTACAGAAACTTAAAAATAAATTATATTAATAAAAAGCTTCTTTTGTGTTATTTTCAATGTACAACCATAGACATAGTTTGATGGGTTAAATTATTTCATTCCCATTTTTTAAACCTATTTCTAAAATGAAAATTAATTTAAAAATTAATTAAAAACTGTATTTTACTTAGTCATTGTATTGTATATTGTTCTTTAAAATAAGCATTTCACATTTGTATGGGACAAACATTTTAATTTTAGATATTGATAACGACATTTTAATGATACTGGAATGGTAACCCCGCATGCACTAACGGTATACGCTTTTTCTTTTAATGGATGAAAATGGAATGGTAACCCTGCCTGCGCTAACGGGATACGCTGGCGGGGTACCAGTGAAAAGCGATCGATGAGAATGAAAACAGGCCACTCCGTCATGATGAATTCATCAGGAATTAACCATGATAGTTTCCAGAGAACCACGAGGAGGCCAACCTGGTTGAGTATATTGCTAACAATGGGATTTTTAGTCTCCATTACTAACAATCCATCTCCCTCAACGGTATACGCTGGCGGGCGATCAGTGAGAGATGATAGGTAAGAATGAAAAGGTAGCTCAATTAACCAGCATAATTACCAAAAGGGAGACTTTGTACAAAAGTCGATTGCTTGGACACCTCTGTCCCATTCATGTTTCTACCGTAAAGCAGTTTTTTTGCATGGCTGTGTTTCGATTTGAAGGGTGGGATATGACGTGAATTTACTGGGTACAAAGGAATAACACCTGAGTCCTCAGGAATGGCAACGCATGGGGAGTATCATGGGCGAAACGGTATACTCTGTTATTTCCATGGTATTGCTCATGTCTATAGGCGACGGTTATCACTTTCCATCAGGTAGGCCGTCAGCTTGTTTGCCATTCTACGTTGTATAAAAAAAAAACCAATAAGTACTGCGGGGAGATTGACTTCACAGAGTATATTGCTAGCAATGGGGCTGGTAGTCTGCATTACGACGACACCACGTCTTTTTACCCTCTGGAGGGCGGCAGACTAGATGGGCGTTTTTATGAACAATATCAGCTAATATTATTTATTATAATTTGGAAATCGATCACAAAGTAATTAATAATCACGAGGTATTTTTTAAATACCTATAACCTATCGGCTATTCAATCGATTTTTGAAAATTTAATAATGAATGATTGATTATTATTATTTATTATACACTGTATGTGCGTGTATAATGATATTATAATAATCATCACCCGTATACCAATAACTTGGATCCCGGCGTAATATGTTTTCTTCATTTATTCAGTCATTACCGCATCCATTCCCGACATTAGGTACGCGGAGAATCTTATTTCACTCTTAGAGCCATCTATATACATACTGAAATCTTTTATTAACAATTGAAAGAAAGAAGAAAGAAAGAAAAATATTTTATTCAGTGCAATGTAAAAAATACAATATAAACAACAAACGAAAAAAAAATGAGCAAATAAAATGTACATATAATTAAACTTAATTTACCATAATTAAAAATAAACATAAAATAATCATTTTTACATCCAAAAATGCACTGAAATGGCTCCACTCAGCTTTAATGTATGTCCTAGGTTAAATTTTTAAATATTATTCAATGTTTTCTGATTGAATCTGAATTTAAAAAGTGCACTGCTAAAGAATTAAAACGTTACTCATAGAATAATATTCTTATTAAGCTTGAAATTTTGGATTTTGAAGGCAAAAATGCATTTAAAAAATTTAGAAATAAAATATGAAGTACCTAGATGAAATTATTTTAATGGCAGATTTATACGGAACGTATTTTATGATTAACATTTTAATTAGTTAGTAAAGCACTTTAAATAATCTGTCGGAAGCAATGAAAAAATTGTTTTTTAAAAATATAATTTCAGAAATTAATGAAGTCATAATTTTGAATTAGGTATAAAGTATAAAGAGATCGTTCAATCATTATCATATCAACCGTTTTTTTTTATGGAATGGTAACCCTGCCTGCACTAACTGGATACGCCGGCGGAGCACCAGTGAAGGGTGATCGATGAAAATGAAAATAGGCCAGTTAGCCCATCATGATGGATTCATCAGGAATTAACCATGATATTTTCCAGGGGGAACCGCAAAGAGGTCGACCTAGTTGGGTATATTGCTAGCAATGAGTTTATTAGTCTCCATTACTAACAATTCCTTTCCCCCTCATATCAGCCGTTAAGCGTACACTGCGGAATGTAGGCCTCTCCCATAAGGGGATTTTTGCCAGTGTTGCCATACTTGGCAGGTGGGTTGGCAACTGCAAGCTTTAACCGGTAGGCGTTGAGGTTTTACGAGTGATGCTGATGCCCATCTCTCGACCATCAAGTTTCCTTAGTAGCCTCTTACGACACCCACTGGAAATGGTTTCGATTCCAAGTAATCATAAAACTATTTACGAATACCCATGATGAATATTAGACAAAATTGATAGATCTTGGTTTGGCAGTCATATCCTTTACTACTAGTATAGGATTATATTATCTGTGCCTTTACTATCAGTGCAGATTCATTCTTTGTTTGATTAAATCATTCACTTTAGACAGGTATTCTTTAAACAAAAAACTTTTATATAAAACTATGCAACCAATTAATATAAAATCTTACACTATAAATTAGCTTAAGTTTTTATGATATAATATTGATATCAATTTTTTAATATATCCTTTAATAAATAGTGTTATTTTACTTTTAAAATAAACTTACAGCTATAATAATATAATTATTGAATATATATAACAAAAATACGCCACAGTCTACCACATATAATTAATGAATATTGAAATTAGGTTCAGTCTAAATAATTAAAGAGTGGGAATACACACGCTACTATTAAATATATCGATTTCATTATCCTTATTACATACATCGTTAAAAGGTGTGGAAGCTGGTATTATAAAACAGTTACTTCTGTACTGGGTGCGGGTCAATACAATATAAAAAAATGTAAAGTGACACAAGTTAGTATTTTAATGCGAGTAAAAAAACTTTTAGAGAAATTTTACTTTAGATGGACAATCAATCAGACTCCTGACTAAGTTTATCAATAATATCGCATCGGCCAGTCTCCTTCTACAGTAAAGAGGTAATATGTGCAAGCGTTTACAACGGTTATTGTAGTCACAATATGGAATTGTAAACTGTTTATACAACACTATGAATATTAATTTATTTTGTCGATACCTCCAAGTGATTACATAGTTCATTTTCTAATTTTGTTATTATGATAGCAATGCCGAATCTCAAATAACGTACTTATTCTTTTCTGTTTGATACTTTGTAATATAATGTAATTTTTTTACTTTTCCAAACATTACAGTATAATATCAAAAATATAAATTATAATGGATTATACACCAGCAGTGTCTGCAATTCAAGGCTTATTTGTGTCTGCAGACAATGTTTATTCATTTTCTAGATTAACAGCAAAAGGCGGTAGGTGTATTTATTTTTTTTAGGTTGTATATATTATATTAAAATCTTAAATTTTTTATAAACTCTTTATTAATAAACTTTATGTTTAAATTAATATCATCATGATTCATCAACTATATTTTTTATTCAGGTAATGAAGAAAAATTTGAATACATAATTAACTCTGTGCTTAAATTCCTCGAAGAAGGAAATTACATTAATAAAAATGGAATCATAGAAAGCTCAGTAACTAACTTAAGGCCTATAGTTTTCTATATAATATTAAATGCAGACTTAGAAGCATTAAGGGACATTACAGATTTTGATGAATTGGAAATATTTATCTGGGCAGTACCCACAATACCAAAATGTCTTATGTGTGAATTGTTTTGGAAACTTCATTTAGATAGATTTGTTTATGAATTAATTGCATACTGCAGTCCCCGGCTGAGCTTGGAATTAGCAGCTACATTTATAGACAATATTAAATATTATAGTCCAAATGAATATCTAAATAAATTGAAACTCGTTACCACAGCAACTCATCAACTCATATGTAGATTGCACCTATTTAATTATAAAGAAAACGTTTTATCATACAAATTAACTGGGGCCTTAAATAGTTTTCAAAAATGCTTGAACTATTTTACCAACCCTCCTAAAGCAGAAAAATTGAATAATCTTACTAAAGATGAATTATATAAATATAAAGGATATTGTTTACATACAATGCTTCTAATAATAAAAGAGTGTATGGAACAATATACACAAATCCCAGAATTATATCCAAATGACATAGGTGAGTTGTATGCAATGACATATGAAAGTGAGCCTAGTATCAATTTGGTGACCTTCACTGTATCTGATAGCCCTAACACAACAATATTGGACTGCTTGAAGAAATGTTACATTGCACTTCTTGATAAATTTCAGCAGCTTGTCATGGATGTAAGTGTAGATATATTTTGTGCTTGGAGTGAATTTACATTAAATGGTAGGAGTATGCAACAAAAAATTGGGCAACTGTGTTATGAAACTCGTATTAAATTATTAAATGTTACCAGCATATCAGATCATCCGGTTATAAACATGATACAACAGATATCATGCAAGCCAGTTCACTGGAAAGACTTAATGGAGACATCTGATTCTGCTGCCATCATTGAAAGCATTAATAATAATAGTGAAGATAAAGCAGCTTGCCTACTAGCCTTAACACATAAAAAGAACTTATTTCAAGATAATAACTTAATCAAATGTCTCATTTCTAACTTGGAACACTTAAATGAAGAGGCTTGTTGTGAACTTTTTAAAAATATTGAAAATCATATGTATTCTGATCCAGAAAATAATGAAATATTAGAAGAACTAGCAATCAAATCATTTCAGCGCTGCAATATTTTAAAAAAACAAGAAATGCTTGCTGAGCATTTCAGTAACAATATATTCATTGATATGACTGAAAATAGCGAGTTTAATTCCATGTTAATGGAAATATTTAACAAACTAATTTTATCACCAGAGTCTGATATGAGTGATATACTTACTGTTTTTCTTCAAAATCCTCGACGAGTTTACAAAGAAATATTCAACCTAGCAGCGGAAAATATTCAGCAAACTAATATTATGCTGGAGGTCATGAAAGTATTATATAAATACTCAAGTCATTATTACAATTCTGACACTGAGCCTTGTATAGTTCTTGTGGTGCAGGAATGTTTTGACAATTTTGTGCAGCCTAAAATTGAAACTCTATTAAAGTTTTTGTGTAATTTAAAAAGTTGCAATTGTATAACAGGGCCAAAGTTACTTCTTTTAATTATCATGCCAAAGTTACACAAAGCTTTGATAGATAGAGATTTAGAATGTCTTTATATACAAAGCAAGTTATTATACGAGGCTTACAGTCTTGAAGAATTATTGGAATATAGAGCACCATTACTGGCCATGTTGGCTCAAATGCTAGATGTTGTACGTTGGAAGATAACCACATTTGAACCAGCAGCTCCAAAGGCACTACAAATTATTTTGCAATTACAAATTACATTATTTGATACCTACTCATCAGGAATACCTGGTAAATATTAAAATACACTAATTTAAAAAAAAGATCTTATTGAATAAATACTTATTTCGCATATTCAAATATATATTTACCTGTTCTAATATTTTAATTTATGAAATATAATATAAATTATAATTTTAGAATTATAGAATATAAATTATAATTTTAAATTAAGTCTTAAGTATTTTTAAAATTCAAACAAAATGACTATTTCTCAATACAGATAATGAAAGCAACTGGTTAAAAAGTAAATTGAAACATATGCAGCCACTAAACATGTATTATTATCGAAAATTATGGAACCCGCCAGGAAACAACTTCCTTGAAATAATTTGTGGTAAGCAGATACATGATGAAATGGACAAAGAGCAGTTAGCTACATGGTTATCACAGGTAACTTTTAATTAGCCATAATTAATATTATTTAATTCTCTACAATATTACAATAATCTTTTATTTTTCAATTAATCTCAAAAATTTGGTTTTCAACTGCACTTGATCCTGTTTAGTCTTTTACTAATTCTGGAATAATTGGCAACAGTTCTTTTTTTCTTGTGAAACCTAAATTTGTTCTTTCAAAGTTTATTTCTGAATTTACAATTAGTTATACTTTTAATGGATGTATCTATATTTATACTCATATGTAAAACTGAGGCATAAAATTAATAATTTCCAGGAATGCCCATGTCATCCTTTATAATGGGAAATATGTGCCCAAATGTAATCTGTAATTTCCATTTCACTGTTCAAGTCTATAGATGACAGTTGCCACTTTCCGTGAGGTTTGCCTGTTGACCAGACCTATTTGCATATGAAAAGTAAAATATGCACATTATTATTGTGCTTCTATGTAGTTTCTTTCTTTTAAATTAAAAAAAAATTACATTAAAAGAAACTACACAAAACGAAGACCTAATAATTAAAGACTATATTCCCCAAAAACCTGCTTCAATTATGACAAAACCAGGTATTTTGATCTAAAAACTAAACTACTGATACTAAACCAGTTTTATAAAAATTTCTATGTTACCAAATCAGTTTAGAACATATGGAGTTATGGGGTAACAAATATAAAACAATTACAATTACAATAGCTGAGGATTAAAGCAGGTTGGTTATGCCGTCGTGATGATTTCTGGGAACTAATCACAAGGATTTCCAAAATACCCGCAATAATAATAATAATCTCTACAGATTGAACTGACGGTGCATTGTTAGCAATAGACTCGATTACTATTTCTCCATTTCCCCTCGGACGTTTATTTTTTTTAATAGATGATAATGAAATGGTAACTCCGCCTGCGCTTACGGTATACGCTGACGGGGTACCAGTGAGGGATGATAGGTGAGGATGGAAATACAGATCAGTTAGCCCATTGTGGTGAATACACCAGAAATTCAGCATGATGGTTTCCAGGGGAACTAACTGAAGATCTACCTGACTGGGTATATTGTTAGCAATGGGACTGGTAATCCACATTACTAACCCCCCCCCCCCCCCGGACGTTATGTTATGCCTCCATATTCCGTACATTATCATATCCCACTCTTCAAACCAAAACATAGCCATTTAAGCACTGCTGCTTCATGGCAGAAACACGAGTCAATTGTCAAATTAGCTGACTCGTTTTTTATCAGTGTTCTGTATACATACGCACACACGTACCTTGACGTATTTTAATTACGTAATAAACTAAGTTAGTTTTTGAGTATTAAAAAGGCACAAAATTTATAAGACAAATAAATACAGAAGTTATTAAGGAATCACTCATAATTATTTATCACGTAAAATTGTATGAATAAGTTGTCTCGCTTTTCTCATTTGTATGGAGACACTCTATCTATATAGATATAAATTAATTAAATTATATAATCTAAGGTGATAATATTGCATTATTGCTAATGGTGCAGACTATTTTCAATATAGTGTTTCACATTACACTTAACAGTTTCCTCACAAATTATTAATAAGCAAATTATTTCGTGTAGATCCTTTGTTCAACCAACCAGCATGAGTGGTCCGATATGTGGGATAGTTTAACTGTATTCCCACAAGAAGCGATGCTGGATATATTCCACGACGCCATGTCATTGCTCACTATAGCTGAGAGAGCAAACAGTACACAGAAAACATGGCAATGTTTGCAATACTGTTACAGAAACTTCATTTTCATAATAAGGGTATGTATATATATATGTTTGATCTAATTTTTTAATTATTTTTTTTTGTCCACATTAGAAAAAATATATAGCATTCTCTTCCTTTGTAAAACAGAAGTATAATTATGCAACTAAAAGTTATTAAAAACAATATAGAGTTTTAGATAAATAAATGTAATCCTCTGAAGAATCCCCTAAACTTATCATAGGATTTCGTATAACATAAAATTGAGAGCGTCAAGGCCCATCGGTATACTTTTTTTAATGAGTGATAATAAAATGGTTATTCCGTCTGTGCTAAAGTTATACGCTGGCGTAGCACCAGTGAGGGACGATAGGTGACGATGAAAACGGGTCAGTTAGCCCATCGCGACAAATCCCACTAAATTTAACTACGATGGTTTCCAAGGAGAACCGCGTGGATGTCGACCTAATAGGGTGTATTGCTAGCAATGGGACAGTGAAATCCCATTACTAACAATCCTTCCCCCCTCCCCCCATCGGTATACTATTTCAAATTATAAATTACAAAAGTTGTGAATGCGACATTAAAAGCTCATTTTAATTTAAATTTTTTACTGACTCTGGCAATAGAAAACACCACTTAGGAAATGTAATCAGAGTGACTGTGATAAACTCGCTTCCTTCACCCAAAAATACTTCTGAATATGTTATGTTATATATATGTTAGATTTAGATTCAAACTGCCGCAGCAAGTACAACTGTTTACAGGAACATAATTCCGAATATGAGCATGCGTGTGTATATTTATTTTCATACCATGAAGACCTAGAACATGGCAAATAATTCTGTTACATTTTATAGCATTCGTTCACGTATTACGTAACTTTATTGGGTTAATTTTATATTTTCAAGTATACCTAAACAGTACGTCCAACGCATTATTGACAATAACGCAAATATTAGGCCGCTGTCTGTTTTTAGTAGGTATTGTACCTATTATGAGTAAATTTATATAAATATCAATTACTAACATCTTTTATAATAATATTGTAGAATGCAATAAATAAATTGAAATTTTTACTAACTGACCTAGCATAATTATTTTGCCTTCCGCCGCCTACTTAAATCCGTTTTTTGTTCTTATTAGAATAAACTATTTCTCAAGTTGGAGTAATAAGTTGTACAAAAGACATTAATCAGTTTCGAAAATTAGTTTATATAATATTAGATTAACATACCAAACTAAGTTATACCATACCTACGAAAACCATATCAAAATTATTCTTATGATTTTATTTTAATAATCAGGTAACCTAAATATGCGCATGCATTTTTCATTTTCAGTACAAATTCTTCAAAGAACCTTTAAGTGATACTCAAGTAACATCAGTTATTAATAAAATAGAAATTACGACAAATCTTATGGAAGAGAGCCACCTCGAAGTTCTTGGAACAATTTTATTACCTCTGTTTGCGTATATGGCTGAAAGGAAGAATGATTACTCCATAAACTTATCACAATATATACACAACAAACTGAGACATTCCAAGTTTGCTGATACAGTGAAAAAAGCATTTACCAATGGTGCTATCTGAAACTGATTAACTACTATATTTGTTGTTGCGATAATTACATCAATATGAAAACTAAAAGTAATCCACCGATTTATGTTGAAAATTAAATGTTAACTTTTTTTCTCATTTTTAATATCTTTTTTGTTTCTCTTATTAAATACCACTCTATTTGTACAGTACCTCACCAAAATAGTACAAAAATGCTACATATGCTAGAAAATGTTATTGTTTCTTTTTTGTATAAAAATTTTGGTGGGTACAGTATGTATAGTCTGTTTTTTCTTATTTATAAAATAATAAAAAAAATTGTAATAAAAATTATTCTTTTATTTATAAAATTATAAAATCATTTATAATATTTTTAAATAAATTAAGAGGGATAAACCATAAAAGTGAATCGTTTAAATTAGTACTACTAATATCCGGTGTAATGAATTAATTCAATGCATGGAGACCTGAGGGTAACACGGCATAAAACTATTTATAACTAGTTATGAAGAAAACAGCTGTCTCTTACTTAATTCATCACAAGTTAATCACAATTTTTTATTATACTTAGAATGGCAAACAAACGTGTTTGGTAGCGGTAATCGTAACCTATAGAAGTGAACAACACCATGGACGTCACAGAATACACTGATATCCATGATACCCCTCATGCAGCATACAACTTTTATAATCTCTCTCTGGTCATGTGGCTCTTGTGATATTTGTGTGCTACTGCATAAACTATCTATTCTTATTATTTTTTTTAAAGCTTCCATAAACTATTTATTTTACAGCCAGAAATAATAAAAACAACTAAGGACTGTCATCAACTATAATACGTTATGTCCCCGTTACATAAATGTATATATATAGCTACTTGTTTTTTATTATACTCATGGAGCGTTACGCGACCTGTAGCACATCTTTATATCATGTAGGTGTGAATTAGATGCAGCATTGAATAAATTTAATGTTTATAATGTCTTCATATAAGTATTCATCGTGTATATATATATATATTCTTCAATAGAACATCTATTAATATATATAAAAAATATGGCTTATTATACGTAGTTATCACAATAAGAATGACTATATACTTATACATATGATTTTAACATTAATTATAACAATACAATCGTGGGCAAATATATTTTGCTTCATGCAGACAGCTACCAGCCGTTCTTCCCATCTTATAATGTGATTTAACGTGATTTGTAAGTAATTCGTGTATTAAATTTCCCGCAATAATATCCTAGTTGTTGGCACATTTGACAGTAGTCCATTTGATGTTCTTGTTTGTTCTTTCTATTCGATGTTCTATCTGAAGGAAGTAAGGCCCTCTGAAACAAAACAATTTGGAATAGGATAAGATAACATTAAATTTGAATAGCCATATTTTTCTTGGATTAGTTAGTAGGGTTTACATGCGACGTTTTCTGCTTGACCGCGATATGTTTTTCTTTAATGGATGATAATGAAATGGTAACAGTATTTTTTTTTCATCGCAGGGGACAAACGAGCATGCGGCTCACCTGATGGTAAGTGACTTTCGCCGCCCATGATCACCCACAACACCAGCGGCATTGCAGGCTGTGTGCTGCCGGCTTTTTAAAAAGGAATATACTCTTTTCTTGAAGGTTATGTTGTCGTATCGGTTCGGAAATACTGCTGCTGGAAGTTGATTCCAAAGCATGGTTGTGCGTGGAAGAAAGTGCCTTGAAAAACGCACGGTGGAAGACTGCCACTCGTCCAGATGATTGGGATGAAACTTTAGTTTGTGGCGGGTTGTAAATGCTGGAGGGGTACCTGTGAGGGATGGTATGTGAGAATGAAAAGGCAGATCAGTTAGCCCATCGTGATTAAGACACCTCTAACTCAGCACGATGAATTCCGGGGGAACTACGTGGAGCCTACTACGTCAGCCTGACTGGGTATATTGCTAGCAATACGACTGATATTTTGCATTACTAACAATCCCTTCCCCCTGGGATGTATGTTTTTTTTATAATAATGATAATGGAATAGTAACCTCGCCGGCGTTCACTATTTTTTCTGATATAATAAGGCAAAGCGTAGGTACTAATCATTGTACATACTTGTTTATGAGGATACACATGCTTCTGGCAGTTCTTGCAAGTCTGGTAAGTGTTATGCCAGGACAAACGGCTAGACCAGGATCGGCCACATGACGTGCATCGGTACTCGCCAAAATATGGACACCTCCATGGTTGAGACTAAAGAAATAGGCATCACAAAACAAAAAGATTAGCTAGCTGTAAGTAACTTCACTATAATTAAGTCAATAAAAAATAATTTTATTATGATTTCAGCACCTTTATCACAGGACCAGCTTAATTTGCAACTCTTTAAACTAACTTTAAAATAACTGTATTGGTTTTTAATCTTTAAAAATAAAATTCACGTAATTTGTATTACGAGATACACGTAGAACTACAAAATTTCAATCGTGTTATTTGCATTTTTCTCAAAACGAACAGTTTTTACTTATTCGTATATTAATATTATGATATTTTAGATACCTATAGATGGTATATAATCTACGCTAATTGGTAAGGCTTTTACTTGATTATCAGTACAAGAAAATAAAAAAAGCAAACGATATTAATGATATCAAAGAACCTGCCTACCGAGATTTGTATCCAATGCCTCAAACTCTGCAGTGGAATATTTTTTAAATATCAGTGAAGTAGATCTTTGACGAAGTGTGTAACCTAATAAGATAATAACGGCTTGAAAGTTTTACAAAAGAGTATCGATAGATCAACGATATCTTTGTACCCATAGATATCTATGAGCGTAACAATAACAATAATTTTAAATGCTTAATTGGGAACTCACCAATTCCTGAACTCTGTTGGCATTGTGGAGGCAAATTTCACAAACATTTCCTATTATAATCAGGTTGTTAACTGCTCTACGATTACAACGCATGCAATGTTCGCGTGATTCCTGAAAACGAATTCTTAATTTTAAGCATTTATACTCACCTATATGACAAGTTTATTATACCTTATATTTTGCATAACACTGGCTTTATTGTGACTGAATGAATGAATTTCCTATCTATAGATTTAAGACAACTATTTATGTATTTTTGGACTTATCACGCAGAAGGAGACGGTAAGAGTTACAGACGAAAAATTATATCAAAATACCTAGGCCCATTTAAGGGGTCATGTTTACTCCAGCAGCTCTTATAGTCCAATCATATAAGGGGTTGAACCTAGGAATGAAAGATAAAAAGTTATATAAGCTAAGCGCTGCACGTTCTACGCCCTCAAAGCGGTTCATTTTTTTTTAATGTTTAAAACAAACATTGTAGGGAATTTTATTCTCTACAATTGTTATAATAAAATAAATAGTGTTAAAGCTATAGCAAATGAGATATTTGCAAAAAAAAACTGATGATTATTAGGGCGGCACCGACATCCAAAAAGGGTACTGAAGTTTAAAAAGCATCTTTAGTGCAGGTTGCCCATTCTTACACAAAAACGGGCCCTGCACGCCAAATACTGTTTACTATGCACAAATATGTGCAAACTTGTCTAAGAGTACCTACATATACCTTTTTTAAGCGGCCAGTCCTCCCATGGAAAATATTCTCAAATATGCTAATGCAAAACAGTTAATTCCCGCCATGAGGTGACAAGTCTTTGTTTTTATTTGCTAAAACTTATTAGTTAAATAACACCATCAAATTATGAAACTAATCTATCCACAATACTTTGGTTATAAAACTTATTAAAAACTTCTCTATTCTTTGATCTAATTTCTAATTATTAATATATATTTTTATTATTAAGTAAATATACTAATTAATTCAAGTACATAATAATAATAATAAGTATATTGGTAAGTACATTCATAAAAATAATTAAATTGTATTTTATAATTACTTACTTCAGTTGAACAACACGCTCCCATTTTCTATCACACAGAAACTAAACCAATAAAAAAATAGAAATTAAACTCAATCTGTAAAGAAAATTACTGGCATTAAATTCTGTTTTATCTGTTGTATATAAAAACTAATAGATGATTAAGTAAAATATCATCTCACTAATCGTCACATCACACCATATATTACATTCATTACTATGCATTATTTATGCAAGTATACTTAACTTTGAACAAGTTAAAATGCATGCATCGACCATAGATTATTATGAGACAAGAGTCGTCAAACAACAAAAAAATAAAATTATTCGAATTTCAACTTTAAAACTTACATAACTATTTAAAAAATAAGTAAAATATACTAAAAAATAAGTACTCATTTATTGACAAATAAAATTCATTCCACCTTGAGCTGCCATCTATCGAAAAAAATATAATTATTAATAGTAACGTAACTTATTGATAATTCGGGGAATTTTTTTAGCAAAGACTAAAGAAGACAAACCAGTGTTGTCAAGTAAATATAAGAGTAAAATACATTTATGCATTTCTTAATGATAAATAGAGTCCGTGTTATTTATTATGAAGATATTTAGGAAAAATAAGATTACGAATTGTTCAAAGGAAAAATAGACAGAATTTTATTTAGATACAGAATGACATCTATCGTAAGTATAACTAGCCAGTAACAGAAAGGTAACCATAGTTTCATCTACATAGGTTGATATGCTACAAAGTCTAACATCTTCTCTTGAAGCTCATGGTTCCTTTCTCAGGATCTAGTATCTGTAAATTATGTATATACATTAATTTGTTGGCATAGCATCACCAATCTTGGTTTATAGAGTGCCTTGGTGAACATGTCCGCAACTTGATGTTCAGTATCTATCTTTGCAATCTTCATATTCCCATCAGCTATGCCTTCTCGAATAAAGAAATGTCTTAGCTTAATATGTTTCGTTCTGTTGTGGAACTCATATGGTGGATTTAATGCAAGTTTGATGGCTGATTCGTTATCTAAGTACAGAATAGGAATACTCGTTGGTTGTTCTATACCTTCAATAAAACGTTTAAGCCATATTATTTCTCTAGCAGCTTCGCTAGCGGCTACAATTTCGGCTTCAGTGCTTGAAATCGCTACTGATGTCTGTAGTTGACTTCGCCATGATATTAGACCTCCATAAATACATACTAGGACTGAAGTCGATCTTCCAGAGTTAGGATCACCACCATGATCAGCATCGCTGTAACAGATCAGTTTTTTCTTTGTATCTTTCCTGTAGGTAATGCAGTAATCCCTTGTACCATTCAAATAGCGAAATATTCGTTTCACTTTTGTAATATCTGTTTTTGTAGGAGTTTCTAAGTGTCTAGAGGCAACCCCAACTGCATAGGCAATATCGGGTCTTGTTCCTACCATAAGGTATGCGAGAGCTCCAACTGCTTCTCTGTAAGGAAATGCATTGTCTTCAGTATCTTCTCTCAATTCAGAATCTTTAACTATTGGTGTAGCGGCAGCTTTGCTATTCTGCATACCAAATCTTGTAAGTACTTTCTTAGTATAGGCACCTTGATGTATTTTTATATAGTTTACATGTTTTTCTATCTCAAGTCCCAGAAAGTAATAGAAATTTTTATTACTTTGGCCCTTAATTTTAAAGCGTTTCTGCAGCGTTTCGAGAAACTCATTAATCAGTACCTGTGATGTACCAGCTATCATGCCATCGTCAACATAAAGGGCTAGTAGTAGCTTACCTTCCCCCCTCTTCATGGAGAAGAAACAAGGATCTTCTCCAGCTACAAACCCTTGTTCTAGAAGAAAGTCTTTAATACAATTGTTCCAGCACAATGGTGCTTGTTTCAGTCCATATAAACTGCGTTTTAACTTGCATACATTGTTAGTTCCATCATCATATCCTTCAGGTTGCTTAACATATATCTCTTCTTTCAAGCTTCCATACAGAAATGCGGTAGAGACGTCAAATTGAGTAAGAAACATATTGTCGCGAGCAGCAATACTCAATAGTAATCTAATTGTACTCATTTTTGCTACGGGACTAAACGTCTTCTCGTAATCAACGCCTTTATTTTGAGAGTAACCAACAGCAACGAGTCTGGCTTTATACTTGTCAGTAGACCCATCAGAGTTCCTTTTAATCTTAAATACCCATTTACTGGATATAGCTTTGCGTCCATTGGGTAATGACACTAAGTCCCATGTTTCATTTTCTTTCAGGGAGTTGATTTCATCATCCATAGCCTTACGCCATTTTTCTTTATCAACAGACTTCATCGCATCTTTGAATGTCTTTGGTTCTTCTTCATGGTTATAAACATTTTCAACACAGTGTAAGACAAATTCGTCAAATCTATGTGGAGGATTTAATTTTGAGCGATCCCTTAAAGTGATTTTATCTATATCTACATTTTTCTCTTCATTAAGAATTTCTTCTTGAGATAAAGTATCTTCTCTTATTAAATTGTCCTCTGATACGTTTTCTTGATTTGTGTCAATCTGTGGTAAATTATCTATGTTTGAAGAAGTAACCTCATCTTCACATTCAGTAGTATCAAAATGTTCATAGTTATTAATTGGAACAATCGCTATGTTTGATTCGTTCGGTTCTCGATCTGCAAAATCGGGACAGACTTGGAGTGGGATCAATATTGATCTAGAGACCTTTTCTTCAGATCTAGGAGATCTATTGTCCTCGACAGGATTAAGTGTCTTTTCGTCAAAAATTACATCTCTCGAATTAATAATTGAAAGAGTTTTATGTTCCCAAATGCGATATCCTTCATCATCATTGTAACCAATAAGAATACCCTTTTTTGCTTTCTTGTCCAACTTTTTGCGTGATACTTTCGGTACATGAGCGTAGCAACTGCTTCCTATTATTCTTAGATGTCCAAGTCTTGGCTTTTTACCATACCATAACTCATATGGAGTTTTATCTGTGTTAGTAGGACCAGTACGGTTAAGTACATAAACAACTGTTCTTGTTATTTCAGCCCATAAGCCTTCAGGTAGTTCCCTTCCAGGAGTATGCATAACAGCTCTGACAGCTTCAACAACAGTTCTATTCTCACGTTCAGTTGAGTTTTGCTGTGGTGTATGCGGCATAGTGAATCTATGCACGATGCCCTCCTTTTGTAGAATTTTCTTTATATTATCATTTACGAATTCGCCTCCATTATCGGTGAAAAATTCTTTGATAACATGTCCTGTGGTTTTTACTTGAGCTATAAATTGTACCAATTTATCTTGGACTTCACTTTTCAATCTCATTAAGAATAAATAGCGATATTTTGTAAAATCGTCTTTTAATAGTAGAAAATAACGATATTTGGAAACGGAATAGACAAACGGACCACATACGTCACCATATATGCGTTCCCCAGGTTTTGACATCCCGTCTCTCGTTCCAAATTTCAAACGATGAGCTTTTCCATATATACATCCTTCGCAAACTGTCTTATCATTAGGATTTGATATTTTGATACCTAATTCCCGTTCTACGAGTTTTCTCACATGAGATTTATTTTGATGTACAAAGCTCTCATGGTAGAGCTGTAGCATGTTTATAGCATCCACTGAATTGACATTTATCTTGATCGGATTTGATGGTTTGTTACATAATCTCAGCTTATAAAGACCTCCATGTTTTTCTCTATCTCCGAGAAGAGCAGGTTCTCCATCTACAATCAATTGACAGCTGTTTGTTTTAGATACAAACGTACTGTCAGTTAACCAATCTTGAGCAGCTAAGACAGAGAAAAGGTTTTTTGAAATTTCTGGAACAAGCCATACGTCATTTAATGTTATGAGTTGTTTTCGACCATAAATATCTGCTTCAACTATTACTGATCCTTTGCCAGTAGCAGGAATTGTTTGTCCACTTGCTGTTGTCACTGTATGTGACTTGCTATCAAATGATTCAAAATCCTCAAATAAATCTGATCGATTTGTGACATGACTAGTTGCGCCATTATCAACATACCATTGATTACTATCACTATTTCCTATAGCGTTCACCTCAACAATCGACATTAGCATCATGTTGGCTTTGCATTTATTGTTGTTAGAGGTATTACCTTGTTTTGATGTTGATGGTTTTTCCATTGATGTTAACGGACGTCCATCTGATATCCATTTACGACAATCTTGTATATAGTGATTGTTTAGACCACAATAATTGCATTTCTTCGACTTATCTTTGACAGCTGACTTCTTTCGAAATTTAGACTTGCCTTTACTTCCGGTAAGCGTGAGAGCTTCTTCTACTTGACCGTGAGTCCCCTGAGACTGTAGTGCTCGTTCGAAAGAACACAGGTGGGCAGTCAATTTCTCTATACTTCGATCTTTTTTTGCTAGCAGCTTCCAACTTGAAATGAACTGGAAATATTCATCAGGACAGCTTTCTAGAGTCTTGCCCATAAGAAAGATTTCTGGTAGTTCTTTGACTCCTTCTTTCTTCATTTCTAATGATAAATCTCTCCATATATTTCGTAGTTTAGATAAATGCGTACCAATATTGTCAGCAGGATCCTTTACGAATTTGAAGAAGGTCATAATCAAATCAAAGGCTCGATCTTCTGTATCTCCTTCATAAATTCGGTGAAGTTCCAACCAAGCTTCTCTTGCTGTTTCGAAGCGCATCACCTTCATGATGTTTTCTTGTGTCAAGTTAGTCGTTATAATAAGAAATGCTGTACTATCTTCCTTGGCATACTTCTCAAGCTCAGCAGTCGTAGCTCTTTCTTTGTCTACGAAGTCTTTTTCGACGACATGTAGGAGACCATGATCTTTTAGAGCTAGTCTTATTTGAAATTTCCATGTGACCCAGTTGTGTTCATTTAGTGGTAAGACTTGAAACTTTGTAGTTCCGTCCATGGCGATAACTCTAGTTTATTCTTTTTCACACTTATGAAGAACCCGGTGTCTAATCTTCAAAATAAAATATTTGTGATCGACGGTTAAGTGCGATTCACTCAGTACACGTAACGTTCTGCTACCACTTTATGATAAATAGAGTCCGTGTTATTTATTATGAAGATATTTAGGAAAAATAAGATTATGAATTGTTCAAAGGAAAAATAGACAGAATTTTATTTAGATACAGAATGACATCTATCGTAAGTATAACTAGCCAGTAACAGAAAGGTAACCATAGTTTCATCTACATAGGTTGATATGCTACAAAGTCTAACACATTTTATTTTAGTTTGCTTCTTATTGCATGTTAAGTGTGTCTTGGAAATAAAATTAACCTCGAAAGGTACATCACTATGTTTTTTTGATGGGTGAAAATGGCGGGGTTACCATATAACCCCGCCTGAGCTAACAGTATACACTGGCGGAGCACCAGTGAAGGGTGATAGATGAGAATGAAAACAAACCAGTTAGCCCATCATGATGAATTCATCAGGAATTAACCATGATAGTTTCCAGGGAGAACCGCGAGGAGGTTAACCTGGTTAGGTATATTGCTAGCAATGGGATTCTCAGTCTCCATTACTAACAATCCTTTTTCCCCCGGTACATCACTATTTGCTGTACCGGACGTAAACTAAACAGTAGGTATTCCGTTTGGACACTACAAACGCCATTTTTGCTGTTATGTTTGATGAGTCTTCATAAAAGACAGAAGATAATAGATAACTTTATGAATTACTATACTACGTACCTATTTATTCCGTTAGTAACGTACATTTGATGCAAATGTTTTGGGATAACTAACTCTACGAACTAAGTTATAAAATATAGTTACACCTAAGATATTCATACTTTTTGGAGTACTGCGACAATACTATGGCGTTTCTACTATTGCTGTCAAATGGTTTTCTTATTTGCTAATCAGACGCATAGAATGTTTAAATTGTCAGTTATTTTATTTCACTGTATCAATTATAATGCTGTTTTCATTTTGTAGTTGTGACGAACCCGATCAAAATACCCATTTCAATGACATGTTTCCAAGTTCAAATCAATTATGGGGAATGTTAGGTACTATAGCAGCAACTGTTGCGTGTTGGATATTTTACACAAAGGTAATATTTATATAATTTCACATCAAATCGAGACTAGGGATTAGTCACAAAGATGAACGGACATCAAAATCATCCACGCCGGTAGTCCACAAGCTAGGAATTGCTGTTCCTTAAAGACTCGCACAGAAGCCTCCTAATAGTGACAGCTTACAGATGGACGGAAATAAGGAATACTGTTTATGCAGACTTGAAACCATACCACAGTGTAAAATTATATTACTGAAAATTCGCCTATATCTAAATAACATTTTCTCTAATATCTTCTATGTGTAATATCTAATCTTGGCCGTTTAGGCCGTATCTTTTGATTCCATCAATTAAGAAGCTTGATCTTTTCACTGCTTTAAGAGATATTAATTTCAACTTTATATCTTCACACGTTCCTAAAAAAGATCTTGACTGACTAACGGACGACGTGATCTTATAAGGGTTAGTTTTTTTTTTTCATTTGGAGCTTTCATTTCCGTAGAACCCTAAAAAAGATCATTATGGTGTAGAATTTGTGAAGAAGTCGCAACCGGATCTATTTATATTTAAAAATTATTTTACTCTACTACACGAATGTTGAAAAATGAGTAAATACATTATCTCGTTAGTACATGGGTGCGGCAACATAAACATGTTTACTACAAAGAAACTAATATGTAACCGATTGTTACAGATAATAATAAAAAAAATACAACATCAAAACAAACCACGAATCATATCCACTAGCTGTAGAGGACGTATCTAAACCGACAGTAACAATTGAAATAAAACGCTACATAATAATATTTCATTTTATTAATGTATAAAATACAAAGTAATATGGCTCATTATAATTCATAATAAAAATAAAATTTAAAATTTCCCCAGCACCTTCTACAACGAAAAATAATATAACAATATAATATGTCATTTGCTTACTTTTAATAATGTAAAGTATATATGTATTTTATTACTACCTATAAGTCTTGTCACAATGTCAGTACAATGCATAGCTATATGCTTTTAATATTAAACATTAGACTTAGGAGATAACCATTCCACTGGGATCAAAATATCCAGAACTGAATTTTGACAAGAAACAATTTGTTTCCCTATAATTATAAACGAGTTTTGCACTGTTTATCAAACAATGGAGTCAATTATAAGCAATTATTTCTCTAAATCTATCTCTGAAACTAAAGTTTCAATTTAATAATAATAAATTTGGTTTGAAGTTTTTACTGTAAGGATCAATAAGAATTAATTTTCTTATAGATTTGAATAAAAATTATTATAATTTTAATTTATGAATAGTAATTTTGTGAAACTATTAAAATAAAATATTATGTTAAGAGATAAATTAAGAGAAATGACACCCCAGAATTGGCCTCATTGTAGCATGAGTGCTTTATACTAATTATGAGCATTGACTGAGTACATAGGCGGAATGTTGAAAAATTAAATTTTTAATTGATATAAATCTCTCTAATGTGCAGTAAATATCAAATTGTGTTTTAGCTGTATGTACTGATTTTCATATATTTATTGTATTTACAATTTACACATAAAACATACGCAAATAAAATCTTATAATATCTATGATTTTAAACTGGAAACAAGATAAGATATATATTGTGGCAAGACTATGTCTCTAAAAGAACAGTGAATGAAAAAATACATTAATATGTATTATTTAAAAAGTCGAATGTGTCTCGAGACATAAATCTCTTGCAATCTTGCAACAAGTATTTGTGTTCGTCATCTACGCGTCCCTTTTTCAAAAGATATACTAGTATGTATTGATAAGGAAACACGGGAACATTGTGACGAGCAAAAAATCTTAATTTAACCCGTTCGATAACTTTCATGTCAACAAAACAATAATCTGCAGTGCAACAACTGCCTGGAGTCCTATAAAGAATAAAAATGTTTAATGTAAATATTTTCATAGATAGTTGTAAATATAAAATTACTAAAAAAACTAACTTCTAATATAAGGTACGTCTCTATTTTCAACTGACTTCAAAAAAGGAGAAGATTCCAATCCGGTGTTATTTTTTTATGTTTGTAATCTCATAACTCAGTCATTTATAAACTGATTTGGAAAATTCTTTTTTATCTAAAAGGATATAAACGTGTCTCATAGAATTCTTTTCGTAAGCAGTTCAGTAGTTTAGTTTTTAATTAACTAGATTTTTTAAACCATTGGTTGTGCCAAGATTGACGCTGGATTTTTGAGGAATACTGAATATTTTATATATATATATATATATATATATATATATAAATTATCATTTAATGATAATTTATAATAAAAGTTAAATGTATAGTTCCAAACTTTCTTATATAAACCACAGTCTAAATTTATGATTTTTGCATTGTGATGGCCACTGATGTCTCCGGATATGCATTAAAAAGTTTTGATATTTCAGTAAGGCAAATGGGTAAGACTTGAGACAATATGTTTTAAACTATAGATAGTTTACCTTGGATCGTATGTTACTGGTTTTGCTTTGAGTGTTCTAAATATCATATTGTAATATTGCCTATACTTCTTCTTCATTATGAGCACTATCTGTTTGCCTTCAAAGGGGAATTTTGCACTTAGTGCTTGTAATTCCAAATGCCAGAAAACAGCTGCCTTAGCGATTTCAACACTCGTGTTGTCCAATTCTAATATTTTTGGATGTTTCATCCACTCATAAATATTTTCCTGAAAATAAAAGTAAAAGGAAAATGAAATCGTTAGGAAAAAAAATATTATACTAATGGTTTACAGTCACCATTAAAAATAACACCAATCATGTAACCTCCACTAGGTTCCAAAAGAGTGTATTAAGGTTTCTTCAGGGTCGGGAACATAAACGTGACACTCCTAGTGATGCAAGTGGGGATCCATAGGCTACAATGACTATTTACAATCAGACGAGCTGTATGCATGTTTGCCACCGTCGTAATGTAAACAAAAGCAATAGTTACAAAAAAGCTAGGCTACATTCCCAGAGCGAGACTTTGTACAATAGTCGATTGCTTGGGTACCTCTGTCCCATTCGTGTTTCAACCGTGAAGCAGTTGTTTACATGACTGTGTTTCGATTTGAAGGGTGGGATATGGCGTGAATTTACTGGGTACAGAGGAATAACACCTGAGTCCTCAGGAATGGCAACGCATGGGGGTATCATGGGCGAAACAGTATATTCTTATGTCCATGGTACTGCTCATGTCTATAGGCGACGGTTACCACTTTCCATCAGGTGGGCCGTTAGCTTGTTTGCCATTCTAAGTTGTATAGAAAAAAATATTCTGGAAATATTTTTATTATAATAAGGAAATAGACTAGAATGTTTTAAGAACTGGGTTTTAATGGATCTATTATAATGTGATATAATAATATCCTTTAAGGCAGTCTATGGGGGAAGCTTATGTTCAGCAGTGGACGAATAATGGCTGAAACAATGATGAATATAATGTGATAATATTGTGGATCAGCAGTAAGTTTTTAAGTCCTATTGCACAAAAATAATCCAAAAGAACTAAGAGAAAATCTGATCTAAATAATAATAAACATGGTTCCAGTCGTGAACTGACGAAAAATAAATATATAACAGTTCAAAACGTCACTAATGTCAACAGAATAAATCCAGCAAGCATACTGTTATTTAATTTTTAGCAATGTTTCAGAAAGCGGATAAATAGCTAGTGCATATAGTTATTTAATACCATAATTTATGTGGTATTACGATAGAGGCCTAAAGCGGAAGTGTGGAGGTGCTATTAAAAGCACTTGATATATTTGAAACTATTCGTTTTATTGCAAAACTAAGTTGGGAAACTTAGAGTTTATTTTCAAGGTCATCAGCAACTACTTGGAAACCCGTGTTGAGTATACTATAATTTAAGATTTTAACTAAACTGAACTAAACTGATTTTAATAAAATGTCTATAGGACCAATCTAAGAAAATTATATTCTTTCAGACTAAAAAGAAAGAATTTTCCAAATCGGTTTATAAAGAACAAAGTAATGAGGTAACAAACATAAAAAGTATAACAGAATTGAGAACCTTTTTCTTTTTGGAAGACGGTTGAAAATACACAATAAATATAATACGAATAAAACTTACTCTCATAAACTTTTTACAACGGAAACTGTCATAAATATAGCTAACGTGCAATAGCCATTTGCCCGTGGCGAGAGCACACACCATCATCCCCGTGAATGTGTCGTTTGGCAACACTGCAATGTAGTGTGTAGCCAACATTTCCATTTTAGTGTTTTCAGCAACAACACCACCTAATTCATTAATCATTGAAACGATTCTGTCACGATCCTGTAAGAAAATTCATTTTAAATTTCATGACGATCTTCGAGGATTAGCTGCCGCACGGCTTCGATATTCTCTTGCGTCATGGCGGTTTTTGGGCGACCTTCACGTGGCTTGTTAGTGAGGCTAGAGTGTCCACGTTAAAATTCAAAATACCAGCGTTCTACAGTCCTAAGACATGATGCTGCATCACTACACATAGAAGTGATCTCCTCAAAGTCGCGATAATCCCCTTTAAAAGTTGTAGAAAATTATCGCACGCAAATTTTTCTTAGATATTTCCATCTTTACAACCGACTTCTCACCTTTGAATAGACCATACAATAAAACTATTCGACCAATCTGAAAACATTCTTTTGTTTTCAAGTTCTAAATTCAAAAAGATGGAAATGCCATATTTTTTTTATAACCGCGGGAAATTGGCAAACGACACGACTTAAAAAGCAGCCTTACATAATAGTAATAAACCCTTATACCACCAACATCGTCAAGAAATTCAAATTGGGAAGTATGAGAAACATGAATTACTAGTTGTATTCTGCGTGAATCAGCAGTATAAAGTACTCTATGTGCTCAGTTAGGATACAATCAACCTTAAGATACAGATCTGGCATAGTTTGGGGACTGATGGTAATACAGACTTTTTCTCTGTCAATATAAATTGTAAATTGTACTTTATGCAACTGTATCTCACTTGAATTATCTAATTAACATTGTACATTTTTATGTTTGTGGTGCAATAAATAATTTCGCAAATTTAATTCAAATCCATTCTGAAGTTTTTGTAGTATCATTACATACTTTCGCATTTAGTATAATAGAATTATTGGCGCACTGCGATCTACCACTAGCCATAGATAGACCAAGAAACACATAAAAACAATACTTACATTAATAAATTCCGATAGCATAAACACCTTTTTATCACATGCACATATCAAATTCTGCTTCATTTTCCATGACTCTTCAGAAGTGCCACTCGGTGATCCATAATCGCTATCTTGAAATAAAATTAATACTTAATAAAATTATTTCATTTAACGCGAATAACCCATATACAAGGTGTGTAACAAAACATAAAATAAGATAATAAATCAGAATCCAGTGATATTGTTCATGAAGCTGAAGAATTTTTCTCATGGAATTCGTTATAATATGAAAATATTTTTATTATAACGTAAATCCAACAAATTAGCACAAATATCATATAGTATACCTACAATAAAATGTAGTCTTATTAAAAACCTTGAATGAAGTGAGCGATTTACCGTTTATTTAACGTACTACTACTACAGTAGTGCGGTATTATAGAATTCGATCATTACGATATATCTAATAAGTAAAATGTACATATGGATAGCGTTTTATGGTAAATTATAAAAGCATGTTTGTGTTTAAAAGAAATAAAATGTACTTAAGTAATTGTATGATAATAAATATCCACATTATTGTCGCGGAAAATTAGTAATACCTACATTAAATAACCAACATAATTTTCTACTATTAAACTGTGGTGATAAAGACGTACAATCGAGTACCGTTCTAAGAGAATTTATTCATTCGTAATATTATCAGCTATTTTCTTTTATAAATACATTTAGCAATACTCACCTGATATTGGTTCTGGTAAAGAAGCTCTTATTTTACTAGTCACTTGCATTTTGCCTCCAATAGGACTATAACTAGACTTCTTTTTTTGTCTGTAACTCTGTAAATACTTCCGAAACGGCAGGTAATTTGAGGTTTTCGCTTTGCTATTTTCAATAAATTGACGGAAGCTGACTTTCTTTGGGGTGCTTTGTCTGCTGAAAGTGCTGTTAAATAATAAAATTCATGCAATATAGTATCTTTCCAGGGCTGTAGTTTAAATTCTCATTTAAAGGAAAATATTTCACATACTTATGGTAGTACCAATTTGTATTACTCCTAATTAAGACCGTTCATAACTTAATTACAAATTAAATATTGTTTTGGAAAATTGATAGATAATTGTAATGTAACTTAACATCATTATAAGTGCTTTTAAACTCCATGGAAAATAGGCATACCTAATTATGGTATCATAGATTTAATTGTGATTTATAAATGTAAAAAAAAAATTAGTGTCATTTTACCGGTTACAGCGATCCCTACCAAACAGCATTTGAGCAGGCAATAGTCATTACCAATATTAATCTTCATTTCTCTATTTGTATTTATGAAAATTAAATATTTCATTTTTAAAAATATATATTTATAACAATAGCAATAAAATTACTTTTGTTTAACAAATATTTTGTTTAATTTAAATATTTATATTAAAAATTAAATAATCTAAATTTATATCCACTGGTTTTACAAATTAGAGCATTATTAAGGAAAAGATCCAAAAATAACACATTGGTAAAAATAAGTATTATGCGTATAAAAGATTCCCATAGAAAGCAGAGAACCCAGATATATTGTAAGAAAAAGCTTGAAATATTTGTTAGTATATACTCGCAAAGCATTTGATGATCCCCAGGCATGCTAACACTGGACATTCAACTCACTCATTCCCCAATTTGGAAAAGAAAGATTTAATTGGACTGGATGTAGGCGTTTGCTTTTCTTCGATTTTATTACAGTCAATTTCTTGATAAATATCCTCAATAGACCAACCTATCTGGCGGCGGACTATCTTTGGTTTCCTAGTTTGAGCATATATAGGAACGCTATCCACACAATCTGTTCCTGGATCTGTAAAACCTGGTTCTACGGCTTGCTTCTCTACTTTAAAATGATTGACTTTCAAATGCTCTAAATATGCCAATTTGTCTGTAAAAATCTCGTGACATATGGGGCATACAAAATGGCGCACCTTTACATTGGTAGTACACTTGTTTAGATGTATAACATAGTCATCATATTGGTTGTATCTATCATCGCATAGGATGCAAGATACATAAACCTCAGTAGGTGTAGTGACACAGTCTAAGTCAGAGGCCACCAATGTCTCACTACTGCTGGAGCGTGGCAGTCCAATGTTTTCAATGGTGCACTTGACATGACAAGTATGCCCTCCAAAATTGCTATAAGACTCATTGCAATAAACACATTTAATTGAATCAACATCACTATCAGTCTCATCACTTACTTCTAGACTATTTCGTTGTAGCATCTCAGTATTTTTGTCTTTAACACTGTTTTGGTCATTTTCTCCCTCAACAGAGCCAAATATTTCATGCATATGGAATTCTGTACTAAATAAATCATTGTAATCATTATTCGAGTTCTTGATAATGTGTGATTCTATAAAATAAACCAAAATTATTATCCGTAAATAATATTATAAATGCAATAGTTGATAGATGTAGTGAGTTTATTTGTTTATTACTTTCTCACATCTAAACAGCTGAATTAATTATGGGGAATTTTGGTGTAGACAGTTATAGGCTGCTTTTTCTCCTAATCAGTGAACATATCTCAGTCATGCGGACAAAGTCACAAGTAAAAGCTAATATAAAAATAAATCATGTATCAAGAAAAGAAAAAGAGAAGAACAGAAAACAATGTCCTATTCTAGTGAATTACTATTCTAATAAAAGTCTTTTTGAATTTTAAAAAGGAACATCATCAGATGGAAATTCACCACTGTAGGAAATATTTACAAGAACATTGTACCATGCAGCATTAACATTTATTTGCAATTAAAATTTGTACAAATTTTATTGTGCAATAAAGTGTGTGTAAAATGGGTATAGTATTAATTTTTTCAACTGACTTTAAAAAGAAAGTGGTTCTCAATTCAGTTGTATTTATTTTGTTTGTTATGTCATAATTGCAGTTATAAACAGACTTGAAAACTTCTTTTTTTATCTGAAAAGATTAGTCGCATTGAAGTTTTATCAATCAGTTCAGTAGTTTATTATGTCAACTGTAAATTTACTTATTGAAAGTTTTTTTTTTTTACCACTTATAGTTACAATGTTAAAAATAATTTGTTTGTACACCATAATCAAAAGTAAGAATGTCAATGACTTGTTTAACTTGCTCTCATACTTTAGCTTACTGAAGAGTGGCAATGATTTGTTAATTTTTATGAAAATTTGTAACAACAATTGAACATTTTTCAATATTTTTGAGTAATTTAAAAAAATGCTCTGTAAGTATGAACACTCTTAGTTTCTAAGGAATTATTTCATTACACATTTTTTTTTCTACATTATTTTAAATTAATATATCACAATAACACTCTAATTCAGTCCTATTTCTACTTTGTACACACTATAGTGCATAATAAATCATCTTACCAGGAGCTTTCCTTAGCAGATTATCTATCCGTTCGCATTGTAACTTGAACAAATATGCAGTGCTCAGATTCTCTATGCATGTACTACATACACGATCTGAGAATCCATCTCCTTCATAAATCTATATTAACATAAAAATACTTACACGTCAATGACTAAAATCTATATTAATAATACATCATAGTCAAAATATAACAAATTTTTTTTGGAATTAAGTTACAAATGGAGAATATTTTTTTTATTGTAGAATAAAAAAAAAACACAATTGAATTAAAATAATTGTTCCTTTCAGTCTTTTTATCAAACAGAACTTTCATAATTTTAAAAACAATTTAGTTTCAGATAATCTTTTCTATCCTTACTAATATTATAAATGTGAGAATTAGTTTATCAACATACATGATGTCAGTAATTCGTCATAAATTGAAGATAAGTATATCCAAATAAGAAAAAAAGAGAATCAGTAGGTCCTTTAAGAAATAGAACATTTCTCTGTTCTCTGAATTATCATATAAAAGTAAGCCAGCTATTAAAGCAGTAAGAGATAATAAACAAACACATTTTCACATTTATACTATTACTAACTGAATTTTGTAGCTTTACCTTATTAATAACATATTTATTTATAAGTAAATATATTATTTATAAGTAAATCAGTGTATAAAGTATCCTATGTACCAAGACATAAAGTATGTACATTCCATATTTAATTTAAATCTGTTCATTAGTTTTTTCATAAAAGAGTAATAAATATTCATTTATCCATTTTCTCTTATTAATATTTTCTTTTTATGCAACATAGAATAGCAAATAAGCTAACAGACCACTTGATAGAAAGTAGTAATGGTCACCTATACACATGAACATAAGAGAGTATACTGTTTCATCCATGATACCCCCCACCCCATGCATTGCCATTCCTGAGGACTTAGGTGTTATTCTTCTGTATCCTGTAAATTCACTGCCATATCCCACCCTTCACACCCTTCAAATCGAAACACAGACATGGAAACACGACTTTCATGGTAGAAACACAAATAGGATGGAGGTGCCCAAGCAATCAACTTTTGTACAAAGTCTTCCTCTGGTAATAATAATATAATAGTCATGCATTATGTCCAAAAATCATTTGAATATTACTGCTCGCTTCTAGCCTCCACAAATTTTATAACATTATTTTTTTTATTAATTATTAAAATCGTTATTCCAAGAATTAAGTGTCAGCTGATAAATAGAAGCTAGAAAGAAACATCTAAGTTGATATACATAAGACCGGATTAAGATACTTTATAATTTCGTGGACATTTCTTTTTTTTAGTATTCATATAAGTTGATTTGATCCCTTACACGTACCTGAATATTAGTGAAAGACATAACCATTTCAGACAACTTTATTGTGTCATCTTGTTCGTAAATAGAACAAAAATCTCCAAGTTTTAAACACAATCTACATTTATGGAATGGGTTATCCATTTCTGACTGCTTTTTATATGCGTCAGTACAATTACTGAGTCAACATAATACCTTTTAGTACATCAGCAATGAATATATTGCATAAGAGTTTGAAGTAACTAAATAAATTCGACAAACAGATGAAGAAACGAACGAAAAACAGCAAAACTCATTTGAAAGATAAAACTTAACGGTTGATTCTTTGTGATAAAAGGCATACACACTGGAAAGCTGTCAATTGGATGTCAGTCACAGAGTATTAAGAAATTTATATGCTTTTTTTTTTTTTTTAGTACGTTTGTTCCGTTTAGAACAGGGAAATTTATATGCTTACAATATGTCATGGCGCATATGTCACGCAACAGAGTAAGTTTTAATATTCTTTCAAAAGTAAGTACAAAAAGAATGTAAAATTTGTCATTGACAAATAATTGACATATCAAACATATTATTTCTTACTAGCCTGCTAAGAATTGAGAAAAATGACAACTGATGGTGTATCTTTCATCCTCTTTTTACTAATTATATTTACTTAAAAAGAAAGGAGGTAACCATATGATTTACAGTATTTTATCATTCCTTCTATGTAATTCCTTGTTCTTAGTTTCAAATTGCGACCGTAAATTGTATTATTTATTTATATTTCTTTGATTACTATAGAACAATCAAATTGAAAAACATTCCCTTCAACAAAAAATATAGTTTTCTTTCTTTCTTTTCAAAATTTAATAATAATTAAAGATTTTTTTCTTCTAATTTTATTTTACATTACAAAAAATTTAATCTTTTTTTAATACATATTAGTATAATTTTCTATTATTTAGTAAAGGTTTGCTTTTGTTACAATTTCATAACTTTGTAAAAGTTATGAAATTGTGAATTGATTATAATAATTGTTAAAATAAATTGTAGTGTCATTTCTTGTGATTGTAATTACGGTACTTTTAGTGTTTAAACTAGAACTTTGTGTATTTATATTGTTCTAAAATACAAACTTTTATATTTATCAAACATAATGCAACCTGAACTTTTGACTAATATTAATATTTATCGTAAATCATTTCCTCACTTTGAGCGACCTAAAATAATAGGTTACATTGGAATCGAGAATATAAAATTTGCAAAGCATCTTAACAATGGAGAAGTTAGATTTGATTTGAACCTACATTTAGATAAAGCCAAACATCGTCCGCAGCATTTAGATGTGAAGTTAACAGATTTGTTAATATTCTTAAAAGACCATAAAACTAGGCTTGGGTATCCATTGGAAAATGCTTTAAATAAAGCAATTTTTTATTGTTACCGTGGTCTTATGACCTGCATTGCATGCACACCATATGAAAATAAAGAACCATGGAAAATTGTGGTTATATTGTATAAAGGGAACATTTATATGTGTGCTAGAGACACTGAAGAAAGTTACACTAGAAAACATAACATGACAGAAAAAGATAAGCGTTTTACATCATGGGGTTATAAATTTGAGCAGTTCCTTTTATCGGGTAAGTAGGTACAAATTATTATCTTAGATAATAGGACAATTTTTAATAAAGTTCTATCAAGGTCAGAAGGAAATATTAAGGTGATATTAACACTGAATCACTTCCTCTTATTGATGTTATTAAGAACAGTTGTACTCTCTTTCATAAATGGTTGTTATAATAAATTCCTGGCCAATTTCACTGTTTAAGGAATTTTCAAAGGAATATAAAATTACCATTTTATTCAATTGTTGTTATTTACTCTTTTTCTATTTCTGTTATCTTCTGGGCTTTAACCCAATTATTTGTGGTTAACATACTATTGTTTTCCATTTATCTATATTTGAGGTGAGAAAGATGGTTCTCATCAAATTACATAGCCGATAGTATACACTATCAGCTATGTAATTTGAACCACACATTTTATTAAAATTCTAACTGTACTAATTGTGAATGCTTCTGATTATACATCTTCATTTAATATAAATTATAATAATTTAATTTTTGTGTACAATAAAGTATAAATAAAAAAATAATGGAATAAATTATATAATTATATATGAAATTTAACTAAGGGCTCAAAAAGACAAATTCAAACATTTAGAAATTGTTTAGTTATTTATATTATGATAATTTTCATTTTCAGATAATCCAGACACAGAGCCCAATCCAAATGTGCCTGTTGACGAAACTGAAGAGTTCTCCTTGGTATTCACAACTAATTTAAATAACCACACAGTTGTCTATGGAGCTGAAATGGATGGTATCCGCTGTGATGATAGATCAATATCTCCACCCCCTGTAGGTGAAAATCCAGAAGCAATTATCAAATATCTATCAACAAAAGAATATGTTGAACTTAAAACTAACAGGCATATAGAATTCCATAACCAGGAAATAAATTTCAGGTATAAACTTTATATTATATCTTTATATGTGTATATGTATGTGAGTCTGTTGTGTGAGTAAAATTTATTTTTTTCATAAATAAAATTTTTCTATTACATTAATATTAATTACAAATGAACAAATACTTATGTTGAGTTCTATTGTCAAATTTAATATAATGACTTGTCTTATGATGAAAGGTTTTGTTTGTTTACACAAAACAATTTTTTTTTTTCTAAATATTTATCATTAAGAAATCACATTTTTTTTATAAAAGGTATAAAACCAATTAAAAAAAATATTAAATTTTCTTGATATAATAAAGGAAATGTTTTAGGCTTGTATGGAACCTGGACCCAGTCAATGTAGAAATAAAAAGCTAATTTGCAAATGTTTTGAAACATTAATATGTCTTATTTTACAATTTTGCTTGATTTTTGGCACAATTTATATACAAAATTCAACAGTTACAATGCAAAATCAAACATAGTGATACACTAACATAATTGTAATTGATTTTTTTAAATTATTACTTGATACTATGGCGAACAAGGTGATGGCCCATCTGATGCAAAGTAGTAACTGTCACTTATTCACATGGAGCATCATTATTATATATTATTATTTTCTAAAGACTTTACTTAGTTTACTTTCGTTACTACATCCCACATCTATGATGAACTCCTTCTTTCAGAAAGGCAGCCCTACAGAAAGTGGACCTGGTCTAGTCTCGATTGGCACACAAATTGAGATAGATGACATCATGATGAACATGATATCTACTTTTATCAATCATTCAATGATGTTTCTTTGAAATATTCACAGAAAGGTTAAAAGCTGGAAATTATCACCAAATGCGAAAAGCTAAATTAAACCTTAATATTAGGCTGAAAGGTCTCATCAAATGTAGTCTCTTACCTTCACATGCTCATATCCAAAACCTCGAATTTTTACCAGAAACTGAAATCTCTTATGTTTATCCTTAATAGCAGTCAAGAAGAAGGAGGTAGGTAACTTCATTTACAATAAGAAATTTACAATTACCAGATGAAAATTACAATGATATTGCCTTTAAACTGAAATATGCCCATGCGAGCTCGACCACTTGGTTAATTTATAACCACTTTACACCTTAACATATGGCTTACGTACTTTCTATTTAATTTTACTGTTGAATTTTATTACTATATTGACTTTTTCCTACATATGACAATGCTATGTAACAAAAGTAAAAAAAAAAATTGCCAATTAATTAGTTATTATATTGCTTTCATTCTGTTTTTCTGATAATCTTCGTACAATGACTGGGCCCGCTATAAAATATTTTGTTTTTAGGCATGTAATCTTATAATATCTACTTTTTTTTTCTCTACTTTACTCAATGTTTTAATTTCGGAAAGGCTCGACTAGTTTCGAATTCAATAGCAGCCTTAAAATAATAATAGCCGCCATAAATAAGACTCACAATAGCTATTATTCAACAAGAAATCTTTCCATTAGATTATACATGTTTACTAACAGTAGAAGACATCTTGGTTCTAATAGTCGTTAGAAGAAAGAGTAGGGATTATTGATGATAGTATTAATAGCCACATTGCTAGCAATTTGTCAGGTTAACCTCCACTTGGTCTTCCCTGAGAGCCAGCGTGGTCAATTCCTGCTAAATTAATCACGAGGAGTCGACTGACCTGATTATCATGTTCTATCATTCCTCACTAGTATGTATATTGATTCCACAATCGGGGTTATCAATGACTAAAACATTTCAGACGCTACAAAACAAAGAAATGGTGGTGCCAATCATTTCTTGTTGGAGTAGAGACCATACTTTGTGGATTCAGGAATGATGAAGGTATAGTGGAAGAATTGAAGACCTATAATATAAGAGATTTACCAAAAATGTCTCAGGTTAGTGTAGATTGCCAAATGTCTGTAGTTTTGAAAATAAAAAACTTAAATTATATGAAAAATTACCTTTTATTTTTATAAGCTTTTTATTAATATAATTTTCAAATGTAAAAAAACCAATGTGTCAAACTTGTGTTATTTGTTGTCATTTCAGAAATTTTGGGACCCGAATGTTTGCTTCAACTTTCTAGATACTTTTTTCACTTACGTCAAAAGGTGTCTAGCTCGAGAGATAAGACGAAAGCACGGTGACAAAGGCGTTGATAATTTGCAGTCTCTGCCTATCATAACTCTTCTTCTGGAATGGTCTCCAGGTATGCCAGTACGAATAGCTGAACACTACAAGTATGAAGATGATCCTATATTACCAGAATGGTTCATAAACAGCTAAATTATAAATTATTGTTATATTATGTAATTGTAAATATATGTATATATAAGCTGTTTTCAAAAGCAATTTTATTTTTAGAATATATAACTAGTTGACCCGACCTTTCTTATCAGGTGACAGGTGACACAGGATTTTTATATATTAAGAGCATTCATAACTTCACGAAGTGTGGCAACTTGACAGTTATGCCAATTTTCAAAAGCAATTTAATAATTTTCAATGTTTCTGATTAAAAAGTACTCCGATAGCGAATTGCTAATCATAGAATATGTTGCATATAAACCTGTCATAAAAACTTTGCACCTACCTAATTCATATTTTGCTTTGGATTTTTAAAATACTTTTTGCCATTAAAATTAAAATTTTTGGTGATAAGTATATTATTGCATGATGAATGTTTCAGTTAGTGGTATATTTCAAAATACCTAATTAATTTCTAAATATGTCCGACAGAGAATCTAACAAATGACCTCATTTATGCAAAGCAACAAGTCTACCTTAGTGCCATAGAAGCCTTCAAAATACTAATTATTGAAACTTCTTTATGGTCATAATGTAAATAATTTAAGTCTGGCCACATATATATGTTGATATTATTATATATGTTCTAAAGAATATTATTTTTATTGTGACCCTCTACACTAATAAAAACCAAATAATAAATAAATACAATTTACTTTCTTATTTAATTCTACATGTATACTTTTAGTTCGTAGGTATTTTCAGCATGCATTTTTTTCCAATATTATTTATCTATGAATCGGTGAATCAATATGATTAAGTTGGATTACGTTAAATCATTATTAATTTGTGAAATAAAAATAAAACTAACACTATGATACCATTTATTATCACTGTATAGCAAATGGTGTAAATCAACATCCATAAAAGACTAATCAACAACATGGATATTTTTACTTAAAATTATATATTATACAGTTAAAATTAAATCTTATTATACATTTATAAAAAAAATTAGAAATAAAAACAATAAAAAACAGAACAACATTTTTAATACAAATAAACAATGTCATGTATATGTCTACAAAACCACTATAGTATTTACATAACAATGTTTTAACGGAATCTCCATTTATGACTTGAACAGCCGTGTCTACCTTGTAAAATTTTAATGCACCGGAAAGTTGTAAAATTTAAAGAGGCGTAACATCACGCCCTTGTCAATGGCCCTATTTATTACAATGTTCATATTTTACCAGACCAGTATACCATTTTATTTAAAAATAGAAAGAGTCAGAAAAAGTAAAGTTAAAATAAGTTTAGTCAAGTTAAGTTTTTAAGTTTAAAGTCTCAGAATCCAGATATGTATCTGTATTATTTGCATATTAAAAGAGGTTATACCATTCATACATTGTCTTACTTTAAGGAATAGGGTGGGGATTTATCAAATATTGTGACAAGAGGAGCTCATGTGCCTAACGAAACACTAAAATAAATTATCAATTCTCATTACATGAGACCTAAAATGAGTATGATTTTTTTTAAATAACGTAATGTAATTAAAATATTAAAATAAAAAATTTAACATCATTTTATAATTCTAACAGAAAGACTTCTTAATATAGATACTTACCTGAAACATTAGACTCAAATATAAAGTTTAATATGTGGGCATTTTAAATAAAATCTATAATATACGGATGCTGTAAAATCTTACAAAGTGAATTAAAATATGCTGTTAACCTATAATGCAATCACTGGACTAAAAATGAAATATTATTTTAAAATAAAACTATGCACAAAATTCTTGTAAGATGTTATGGAGAAGGTAATGATAAATTTACACATTAAGGTGGTTGCAGCACTGTCATTTCCATATAAAATGAAATTAATAATAATTTTATAATAAATAATAATAACATTGTAAAAATTTTGCATTATCGTCATTCGCGCGAACTAATTTTCATTAATTTATTAAAGAAATGTTATGATAACACAAATAATTTCATTAGTATTACATGATCACAAACAATTTGCGATTTTACAACAATATTAGGTACACGTATAATATACATTAATTTCATTAAATTTACAAGAAACAACTACACTTATACGCAACTGTAATCCAGTTATAGCAGGTCATAGTAAAATTTAATAAAATTTAAATAAAAGTAAAATTTTTACAAAACTTAAAAATACAGATAACATTACAACAATAATTAACTTGGTGATGTATTAATTTGTAGAAAATAGTTACTAATAGGCAGGTTGCAAAGCATAATTATAATGCTATCAGCAACAAAAGTGACAAATGTTCAAGAATACTATTGCCTTATACTGCAGTTGAATTTGTGTACGATGCGTACGTTCATTTGTTGTTGGCTGTACCACAGATTTCTACGGTACAGATATTGTAGTACATATCTATTACTTGGTATCTGAGTCAAACAGATTATAAGGATGAGTACTCAGGAACATCAGTTTTTTTACTTAAAGAATATTTTAATTGTAATAATGGGGTCAATTGCTATTTTTTTTTTATTTTCTCTTTAATATTTTAATGTTATAATTTCGCGAAATTAGTCATTTGAACCATCTTAAAAAAATTAAAAACAAAAAATATTAAAATTATACAAATTTTGACTTCAATCTATTAATAAAAGAATTTTGGAAGGACGAATGTGAAAAAGAGTTCATATTCGTCTTTACAATAAAGATTTCGCTGTAATATCAAACTGTAATTTTAATATTAGAGATAGATTTAGAGAAGTGGCGCCTCAGCATCGACCCCATTATATAACAACGTTTTAATGTGTACAATGTCAATACTTAGTTCTTGTAAAGAATCACTGAATCATATATTGGTGCCGATTTTTAATGAATACAATAAAAACCAATAAATATACTTATATTCGTTGATTTTTATCGCAGGTTGTAAGGGAATAAACACCTCGTTGGCAATGTATGGAAATTAAACGCATCATTTAAAACTTAGATCGAGATATAAATCTTGAATCGACTTAGTTGTTATAAGAAATAATATACATATCGTTATTAGACAAATGCTGGTTGGTAACAGAATTAATAATAATATCTGAAACAATTCATAATGAATTAGTTAAAATCGACACAAATATATGATATAATTCGGGTATATTAGATATGTTGATAGCGATATATAAATATTGACCGCTTTAATTATGAATTATATAAATGGGGTCATTACGTAAAATAAAATATTGAGGAATATAATAAACACTAATTTATAAGTATTTACAAGTCACATTAATGTCTAACGTTATATAGATGTGCCTATATTATAATGTACAACTTATGAGTTAGTTAGGTACTAGTCGATTTTGGTATGTTGTACCAAATTGGAATAATACCAGTGAATCGGATCACTGAAGGTTTTCGTTGTCTACCTCTATCCTTTTTCCTTCAATATAACGTGAACATCATGCAAATCATTACTGCTGAAAATATCTACAATCTTTAGAACAGTCTTCGGTTTCCCTTACAAATAGGTATATCCCTGTCGAATCAGTGTTATTTGTACTAGCGTTGTAACGAGCCCACTACTAAGCTTCTATCATAATATTTATTGAGGCACAGTTTGAGAAAAAGGAATAGAAAATTGTTTTATGATTAAATAATGAAAGAAACATGAATATTGACATAACCCACAGCACAAAGTAACAAGTGAATATAATTAATACAACGTATAATATTAATTAGGCCGCATATAACGGAGCTAATTGACGAAACATGACAATAATAACTTGTAATAAAATAAAAATATACAATTAGGTATACATTAACGTGTTTTGAACAGCCTTTATAAAGTGTCTGTTCATCAATCACTTTGGACCACAACAACAGAAGCCGGCCCCCAAGTTTATTATTTTTACAGTAAATTAAAGTTGATTGATATAGGATTTGTGAATAAAAATTTAATATTTCACAGTATGTTTTTATAATAGTCAGGGCCGTGCCTGACGGGCGTTCATTGCGTGCACCGCACGCAGGCGGCCGAAATTAAGAGGCGGCCAAATCGTTACAAGTTGTTTACTGGGCCGATTTCGGTTAACCAAAAACTGATTTTTTTCCCGGTTTGATGCCCTGTGTATAATAATAAACATTAAAAATTAAAGTAGTTTTTTTTAATGTTATCCTGGGGGCGGCCATACAGACTGGCACGCAGGCGGCCATATACCCAGGCACGGCCCTGATAATAGTACCATAACATAGGAAGGTTGTTAACTCAAAAATCCTATATCATACAAACAACTAGGGGGTTTCATTTGCTTTTGAAATGTGACAATATTGTTGGGAGTATGTTTTGTTACAATTTTTCTCTAATTATCATCTTATTTTGCTGTTAGATTACTATCACGGTTAGGTATTTTAAGCCGGCCTCCATAATACAACAATGTTTTGGATTCCTCCTATAAAGCTCACTGCAGCCATAAGGGCAAATTTAAAATTTCACTTCGCATTTGATGCATATTAATTAAATTTTGTATATTAGTAAAATTCCTATGTGATAATAAAATATATTAATTCTTTGTGCTAACTTACAATAAATTCATTTTTATAAACTATAATATATACTATTTATAATATTTTTCTTAAGAAAATCAATTCTAATTCACTAAGCGCGCTTGGCACGCTGCATTGGTCTGGATAATAACTACAATATCTACTACACTATCATCGTTACGAAAATATTGGTGGAATATTTCATCTTCTATATCATCAACATCAACTATGGGTTGTGTCATACAACGTATACATATATATATATATGTATATATATAAAAATTTCGATGTTTTTTTCTATGGTTTTCCATTATCAGCTTATTATATAGTCATGAGGCACGCACATTTTTTTCTAGTCATATTACATATATATGAAGTAATAAAACACATCATTTTCCGCTGTTTTTAATGAACATGTCAATGTTCATGATTAGACGTTCGGAAATGTGATGCAATGTGGTTAAAATGAAAAGTTCTTAACCAATTGAATATTGAATTACGTATGTAAAAAGGAATAAACTGTTTGCTGTTGGATTATCCTATGCGCATGAGGACAGTTCCGAATGCCTTTCATCTACATGTTATCTTAAAATCAAATTTACTAGCAAATTCAATCCTAAATTTAAATGCACTTTGAAATTCTCCAAATTCAATAATTTTTAATCTTTTAAGATAGAAATTGCTCAGTTGTACAAACTACCTATTACAAATTACAAAATTCAAATATCTAGACAGGTTAATAATCGATAAAATTAAGTAATTCTGTATAAACACCCACGACACATACTTTTATGCATAGGATATTTCAACTGCAAAGGATTGAATAAAAAAAAATTAGAATCCACAGATTGTTATACAGTATCCTGTTCAGATTCAATAAAATGGTGCACTGATATAATTGAGTTTATAATGGATACTATCGTAGTATCTATATTCTACATACACATTCCATGCCCATTGGGAATGTTGATTTATTAGAACGATAACGTGTTATTTGAATCATTAAATTTCCTAGTTTTACTCCATTTACTTACTTTACCATTTATTTTTTTGGTGACAATCACCTCATTCGTTGTTATATCATCGGAGATAATACGAACGAGGAACCATAGATTCTACAACGGTCGACATTTAGTTGTCAAAATTAAATAATAGATACCTACTCGTAAATACTTTTATTTTTATTTCGACCACGTTCAATTAGTTTCTTTTGTGGTGACCTTTTGACCAATAACAATTGACATGCAATATAGCCGTTATAAATCATTATCACATTATAATCTGCTTTTTATATTTGCCATATTTAATAACTGAGCTTGACATATTATAATTCGGAAATTATCATTAAAAAATTTAGAAAGTATATCTTTTTATTTTAACTATGTTAAATACTATTATTTTAATAAAAAGATATACTAAGATTATTTACTAAACATGTCAAATATAAAAAATATATACGTCATACGATTGTGTCGACACGATTACTCTGCTTTATATAATTTTAGTTTCTGTACTGTCAAGTGATTGATTGAAGTTATAGATATATTTAAATAAATACATATATATATCACAATACCATGGTGCATTGTATATTGACTCATTTTTGGGAGTGTGCAAGCCATTATTTTAAATAAGGTATGCACAAATAGAATTTGCCTTCACTGAAGGCATACAAATAAACATTGTACTCTATAGAGATAACCAATATTTGGTATCTGTACAAACAAATTAACATTATACTATATTTACAAACAGTAATAAATAGAATGGCTGACTAGAGATCGACGTTGTCGAGGTCGGCCAGCGTCAAGGGGTCCAAAATATCTTCCTGCAACATATCGTAAGGTGGTGAATTGAGCTCTTGGTCATTGTCCACCACAATATCCTGTATTTGAGCAGAGCCACATACAGAATTACCATTAATGAGGTAATCTCTATTACTGTAACTAAATACGCTTCTATCCTCTGCAAGCTGTGGAGTGGATGGTACAGATTTTGAAGACATGCCGTTTGACGATATATTGGAATAATTGTCCGTAGCAAACAATTCTCTAGAACGACGCGAGTCTATTTGCAAATTGGGCACCGTGCGTTTATAAGGTAATGGCGTGCTAGGCACTGATCGGGACGTGTAATATTTACTCTTGTCGGCTTCTAACTCCGATAAATCGAATTCTATACTATTAGCTCGCTTCAAGAAATCGTCTACGTGATCTGTCCCAGTACTATCACTGGGAAAAGCTTGATTGAATTGACTGTTTCTATCGAGCAATTCATCGCCACTTGGTATTAACGAGCTTAGTTGTTCATCTGAAAGTATTTGTTGTTCTGGCAAAGGATCACAACCATTTCTCAAACTATCACTTGCATTGAGAAGAGTATCAGTAGCGCCAGCGTTAAGTACATCATTACTACTATCTATAGCATTATAAATTTTATCAAGAGTTTCTGGATTTAGGCCAGCTTTAGATATGTCACAAGTGTCGGCAAGAGATCCAAAATCACTAAATTCATTGGGGACAGGCGTAGGTGGGACGGATCCAACTGGTGTATTGTTATAACTTAGAAGTCCCATATTGTGCATGCCCTGTTTTAATGGCACAGATTGCGATCGGAAAGATGCATCCAACCCAGGTCTGTACACTGGCGTTTCCGGGAAAAATTGGCTTACTTCGCTTGATAAGGGATCAGCAGATAAGGGCTGTGTAAGATCTCCATTCATATGATCTCGAAAAGGGGCATTTGGCAAAAAGTTTAGATTCAAATTACTACTTCCATTTGGTATGCCAAATGATTGGTTTTTGTACTGTGAGGAAAGAATATTAGGCGACGGCGGTGCTGAGATTGGTTGGCAATACTTGTTTGGAACGCATACTTGTCTTGTGATGTCTTGTGGCATTTTACTCATAAATTTCTGTTCACTTGGCATTACAAATTGTTTAGAAGATGGCTCTACCATACCTAAAGACAATGGATTGCGTCTTTTTCGACCGTTATGTTTAGGTATTGGCCGTGAACAAAGACGTGATCTGGGTACTGGTGTATTTCTGGGACTTACAAATGGGCTAGCTGCAGTACTATGTGAAATTGGTGAAGTCTGTAAGGACCCTCCCATCATTATAGGTTTATTTACTTTAGTGGGACTGTGTCCCCTCTGCCCGAACCCCAGTGGTGATTTAGAATTAAAATGTCTAGGAGAATGACACCCATCGGATATTGGCACAAACTTATACTGTTGTGTTCTCGTGGTTGGACTTTGTGGTTCATTATGACAATGTCCATTATATATATGCGACCCCCCGACATTTGACATTAATTGATTAGGGGTATTATCATTCACATATAGTAATGATGTTCCATTCTCAGTTGATATTGAATTACCATGTTTGCTGACATTCATCGTTTGATGCGATAGAATAGGTCCATTTACTACTTCACCTTCACTGGTAGATACAAGCGGCTTAAATACACCATCAGATTTATTTGACTGTTGGTCTTGTAAATTTTCTTTTGGTGGTTCGGTTTCCTGAATAGGCACGTTCTGAGAAGCGGACCCACTTTGGTTTTTTAAATTTTTGGCCAATAATTCCCTTAATTGTGAAATTTTCTCATTTTTACCCTGACTATGTTCGTCGTGTGGGTCCTGGCCTGTTTCTAAAAAAGCCACTGCATTTTCAGATGTATTTGTTCCCGGATCAACCTCCACTTCAGCGTCGCGCTGATGAAAATAACGAAGTAATTCTTCTTCGTGTTCTTGGCTATTGCCTTCATTTAGATAATCGTCTAAATCGTGTTTATCTATATTACAGATACTAATTACCCGTTCTCTATTAAGAATTTCAGAATGCTTTTCTTTGCAAATGATGCCTGTTTTGATATTGATCCCTAGACCACAACATGAATCGGGCGTTGCTGGCTGCTCGGGTGAGTCCGTCCGATCCGGCGAGGATCCCCTCGTTCGGTTGGTATTTTTTTGTTTTGTGCGTTCGGATTTAGGGGTCGGAGCCTTCACCGACTGTGTGGGACTCGCCGCCTCCTGTTCCTCCCGGACCAGCGCCGCGGCGGTGCTTTTGGACCGGCTCGTTAAGTTTTTTGGATCCTCTAAAAAAGCAGCCTCGGGACGAACTGAGTGCTCGGCACTAACACCGACAGAAGTCGAGGCCGCGTCGGAGCTGGCCGAAGCCAGCCGCGCGGCAGCTAATTTACCGCCCATGATTTCGGCGGCCCTCATCTTCTTGGGCAGATACTCCGTACGCGGGAATTCCTCAGATGGCTGGTGCGAACGTGTGTCTGTTTGGGAAGAGCGCGGTGAGCTCGCTTGAGTCTCACTTTGGTAAGTTTCCAAGATGAGTTTCTTGCCCGGGAGCGGGAGACGGGCCGGTGGCGGCTCTGGCGGCCGGCGACGTTGCCAATCGATACGCTCCGTCGACAGGTCGAGAGAGGAGTCGGTACTCAAGTTAATGGGAAGATTGTGCACCGGTTCGGTGGGCACAGTGAGATCGCGAGGTGCGTAAGGTGGATCGAAGACGTAAGGATCTTGCCTATAATCATGTACAGGTATGGTGGAGTGAGGTGACTGGTGGGGTGTGGGGGGTACTAGCGGCGTGTGTGGCAGTGGAGGGTGGGCGCGCGGCGGCGGGGGGTGTCCCGAGTAGGTGAACTGCCCTCGGCCCTCGTACACAGGCACGTACGCCGGCTGATACGCGTACCCCGTCTCGGGCGGCAGCTCACTTTCATGCTTTACTGTTGGATGATGGCCCATATATGAAGTTGACGGGGGCGATTCACCGGTTGTTTCTTGGCTCTTATTTTTCTTCGGTCGTCCAGGTGTTCCGTGTGTCTAAAATATAAATAAATCCATACAACCACATTCTACTTATAGTCAGTATATAGTTAAATTGAAAGGAGCGTACCTGTATTTTTCTTTTCAATTGTTTCATTAACTGCCGACTGGCGGCTTCATCTGACGATCCTGAAATGGAACAAATGACTAGTTATGCATTTGTTAATAACATAGTCAATAACAAATTTTAATAATTTACGCGTTCATTAATATTTGAATACTTAATACTAAAATAGTTAAATTTTACTTAAGTAAACTTTATTCATATAAGCTACCCAAACTATTGTTTTTAACTCTAAACCATTAAAATAAAAAATGTAACTGACAAAGTAAATGTTTATATGTAGAATAGATAATTATATCATCCATTGGAAAAAAAAATGGGTGTTCTTAACAAATATAGAAGAAAAATAATCGTAACAATATCAAATGTCTTATTATAATGATGTAATAACGCATATTTGTAATCAATGGGACTTACTTTGATGCCGATCGCAAATTAATTTTGAACGAACAAAAAACCGTAACGAAAAAGTTTTTCTTACAGTGCAAAAGCTGCTTGTTATTAAGGAAAATACTTGTAGATATACGATCGCTGTGTGGTCCCAGCATAGATTGGTCATCCCTTCCTTTCTCGTAAGTGTTGTAAGAGGCGACTAAAGGAACTTAATGGTCAAGGGATGGGCAGCAGCGTTCCTCTTAAAATATCACTAACGCCTAACTGCGGTCGTCAAACCAGTTGCCAAGTGTGGCAACTACTGGAAAAACCCCCAAGGGAGGTCTATGTTTAGCAATGAATAGATAACGGCTGATATGATGATGACGATACGATCTCGCGTTCTAAATTAATTAAATTAAGGTACCAGAGGGAGACTTGGTACAAAAGTCGTTTGCTTGGCTACCTCTGTCCCATTCGTGTTTCAATCGTAAAGCAGATGTTTGCATGGCTGTGTTTCGGTTTGAAGGGTGGGATATGGCGTGAATTTACAGGGTACAGAGGAATAACACCTGAGTCCTCAGGAATGGCAACGCATGGGGGTATTATGGGCGAAACAGTATACGCCATTATACCTATGGTACTGCTCATGTTTATAAACAATGGTTACCACTTTCCATCAGGTGGACCGTCAGCATGCTTGCCATTCTAAGTTGTATAAAAAAAATGTGTCGTATTGATGTATTTCCACATTAATTGTTTCATCAAATAAGATATAAAGATACTATAGCACTTAATCTGATTTATAACTATAATAAAAAGGGTGAAATTGAAATAAATAATTGTATTTTTAGAGAATATTTTACCAGTGAAATTACATATTTTCTCAAATGAGTTAAGGGTTTTTTTCCAAAAAATTAAGAATTTGTTTCCTTCTTAGCAAACTCCATTAAAAAGATGCTTACGATTTTAATTTCCTCTTGTATAATTACTATATTTTTAAATGACATATTTTTCTAAATGATGTATCAAGATAAAACATACAGCAAATTTTAAATACGACCTTCAGGAGTACTATGAGCACATTTTCACATTTGGTACAGTTGTGTTTGTGTGAAGGTTAAACAATCATACAAATAGAACCGATTATGTAATGATATCGCTACAATTTTATTATATGTATATAAATAATGTATGTATGAGTACCATGTATCTGCGCCGGCGGCGGAGAGCTACTAGCGGGGCCCGGCACCGCGTGTTGCGCTCCAGCGGATACAATATGTCGTGATAACTCGGTTAGATTCGAAAACTTAATACCTACAAAAAAAACATGATAAGTTTATTTAATTATATACTCTTCTATAAGAAAAGTAGTTATTTTAGTGTATTTAAATTTAGTTACTAATAAAAATATTTTTCATTAAAGACTAGTTTTTACCCCCGGCTTCGTACATGTGACCGGTATAGAAAGTAGCCTATATCCTTCTTAATCCCATATAGTATGTGTATACCAAATTACATAGTGATTGATAAAGCCATAAAGGCGCTAAGGTAACAAACAAAGACACATACACATCTATATAAATAAAACAAAGTCTGGTTGGTTACACCCTTTATAAATTTAGAAAGGCTGGAAGACTTTCATGATGTATGATTTTTTGGATTCGTCTCGCCCCGAAAAGAAGAATAAAATTAATATTCGGAAAACACATGTAAAAAATGTTAGGCGGCACGAAGTTCGACATGTCAAGTAGTTTATAATATTAGTAAGGAAATGTAAATTTATTTTTTATTTTTAATCGGTTGTTTTACAAAGAGTTTCAGAATCATCATTATCCGTCTCCATCACTGAAACTTAAATTTATGTCGATTAACATAAGAATATATCTAAATCTCTTGCTTGCAAAAATGCACTTTATTACTGGACACACGTGTAAGGTGTATATTCATTATACATACCTAATTTAGTTTCAGCCCATTCACACACTATTCTTTCAGTTTCTTTCAATGTAACATTTATTTCCTGAAAAATAATAAATTTATTATTATACATTAGATATTATTTATACATTATATTAATACACATTTGTATTCGAAATTATCAGTGTATACATTTGTTTTAATTTTTTGCCTATTGGTTTAATTTACTTTTGACATTTCTATTGACATCTGACAGTGCAAAAATTTTATTTATTTATTGTTAATTCCGTATTAATTGTAGTAAGCTTGATATCGGTTTTTGGAGCAATATTTTAAATGACTTACCAGTACAAATTCAGTTGAATATTTGCAAAAAACATATACTACATATATATACATACTTTACCTATTAAAATCATTGATGTATTTAAGATTATTTGCCAGGTTTTTTTTTTTTTTTGTAATAGATTATAATATAATGCACCACTGAAGGATGATAGGTGAGGATAGAAGCAGTTCAGTTAAACCATTGTGACGATAATTGACCATGATGGTTTGCAGGGGGAACCGCGTGAGATCGTCCTGATAGTATATTAATGGTATATTATATTATACTAGCGATAATAACGATAGTATATTATACTAGCAATGTGGTTACTAGTTTCCATTACCAACAATCCCTTTTTCCCTCGTAAACTATAAGTTACTGTTTAAAGTGATAATGGAATGGTAATCCGTCTGTACTATCGATATACACTAGCGGGGTATTAGTAAAATGATCAAATGATAAATAAGGATGAAAGCAGGTCAGTGGGTCTATCATGACGAATTCGCCAAAAATTAACCACGATAGTTTCCGAGGGATACCGCGTGGAGATTGACCTGACATATTGTTAGCAATGAGGCTGTTAAGCCCCGTTACGAACAATCCCTCCTCTTCAGGTGACCCCTTATAAAAGACGCATATGTATTTTCGAACATCTCTGCGTAACTTTGCTCGCATCCTGGGATGAGCACGGTTTAAATAAACGATTAAAATATAAAATATATACGTACCTTAGAAGAATCACCCAAATCAGGAAGTTGAGGTACTTCTAATTTTATCTTTTTACGAAGACCCGCATAACAATATCTATAAAATACATAAAAAGTTTTATATTAATATAAACCTCTTCGTATTTTGCAATCCTAATTTTATAAACTATCCGTATTGTGTTGCCTGCATGAAATGAATTAAGTAAAAGTAACCTAATCAAGGATAAAACCCATCTGTGCAACAAATTCAAATCTAGCCGTTTAGGTATGACCGAGTAATAAATATTAAAATACAAAATTTCTAATTTAATAATAAGCAGCACTTGAATTTTTCTTTTTTTTAATATTATGTTTAAATTGTTTGTTGCCATAAATAAATAAAATAAATAAATAAATAAATTATTATTAAACAAAAATGCGGAATACATTTTTGTTTAATACAGGATATTTTTATCTCAGTCAAACGCTTTTATTTGTCATTTATTCTCTTGAGTTCACGTAGATAAAGTTGCGAGCTTTTTCATTAAATATTTGATGAGACCACGAACGGCAACTAAGTTTTGTCTCTAAAAGTTTTTTATTTTATTTTAGTAACTTTCATTAAATTAAGGATGACATTTCATTTAATTTATTAGGTATTTATTAGGTATATATTAGCAGTAAAACAGAATGACAATTGCCTTAATAAGTAACTATCATACTCATATAGAGATAAGACGAAGATTAAAAAGAGATAATAAATATACACTGACTACCAAAACAAGCGATAAAAATAAAAAAATAGGTTATAATAGCATTCAACCAAATATACAAATAACATATAAAAAAACTTTTTTGTTTCTTTATAAAAACAATACTACTAATTGTAAAATTTAGAGTTTTATAAAAAACACGTCTTTCATCACACTATGTTTAAGAAAGGTTTGAATATTAATTTTATATTTTGACTACGTTCCTTTCTCATTTTCCGTTTTTTTCACTGGATGAAATCACTGGATTTTGGGTGATTACGAAGTCTGAATACGTACCAACGCTACCTCGCACGTAACAACGTCTTCTATGTTCATTTAATGAAAGTAGATTGCCTAATAAAATTTTTAGTAATTGTTAATTTAGCACTCCAAGTACTGGATATTTAATCCGCCTTTTATTATAAATTTTCTTTGTTTGTTATTCAGTATGTAAAATATTTTTTCCTGTTAATTTTGTCAGTTCTTAATCAGTTGCAATATACGTCACTACTAAATTCGTCGTATCAATTCATCCCATAACAGTGTGTGCATAACGTATGTGCTGGATTCTTATTAAAATAGAGTTGTTATTTTGAAGTGCAATAAGTAGTTGCGTTGAGTACAACCATTTCTGCTATCCTGTCTTTATTACAAGAACTGTGTTAGACCAAACATGTTTCATTATAAGTTAACATAAAAAGAATTTCACGATCATAAATTTCTATAAAAATCGGTAAAGTAAATTTTATATTATTATATGGTATATCTATGCCTCATTGAGAGAATAAAAAAAAAAAAACTTCTGCGGATACTTCGGTGCGCGAGTCTGACTTACACTTGGCCGGTTTATTTAATAGTTACACCAGGAGGATTTGATAAATCATAAATTAGAGATAATTACAATTAAGAAACGAAATCGACTGATATTATGTAATTACATAATTGGTTTGCATCATATTCAGATTAGAAAACAGACTATGGTTGACAATGTGTGTGACACTTTTGCAGTCTCTCAAGGATAAATACTTTGTTTACCACTATTTATATTTATTATATACTAGCGACCCGCCCCGGCTTCACACGGGTGCAATGCTGATACTAAATAGCGCTACGTGCCCCCATTACTTTACTACATTACATTAGAAACCTCTAAAATTATCAGTGTTTGTCTACTATATTACGCATGTAATTATACATATAAATCTTCCTCTTAAATCTTTCTATCTATTAAAAAAATCCGCGTCAGAATCCGTTACGTAGTTTTAAAGATCTTAGCATACATAGGGACAGACAGACGGGAATCGATTTTGTTTTGTACTATATAGTTGTTTCCTGAAGTCGAATTAATTTTATAAGTAGGTGACTTAAAAGACAATGTCAAGTACATTTAAGACTTGAACCCAATATTTATTGTGATTTATATATGATTTTGTTTATTCTAAATAAAATTAAATATATTCTAAGTAAAGTATCAGAATGGCATAATAATATATCAAGAATCACCCCTTCTCCTATTTTAACATAGGCACTGATGTAGATAGAATCACATCATTGATAGTCATGTTTTAAACCATTCTCTATCACTAGACTGATAAGATAATTATAAAATAAGACAAACATCGATTTTATACTGAAGTACTCGAATCCAAAAAATGATAATAATAATTAATTTTAGATTTTTTTTGCTACATAAGCATAGACGGCTGTTTGATCTAAAGAAAACTAACTCCACCACGGTAAATACCACATACTATTTACTTTTTAAAAGGTTTCCAATTATTTTTATTTTTAAGTAACGCGATATCTATCTTAATTTCAAACAAATTTATATAAATATATTTAACTAATTGTTGCTTGTGGGTTTGCATGCGTGAAATTTTCTTCTTTAAGTAATAAAATAAACCTGTTCCAAATTTCAATTTCTAAATTTAGTAGTTTTGGCTCTGACTATTTAGTCAGTCAGAATAAAAGATTTTATAAATATTACATAATACGAAACTGAATTTTTAGCCATCATGTGGTCTCAGCGAATAATATAGTGTATAATATAGTAATAATGGAATGGGCCCCTTTCTTTCCCGTAGGTGTCGTAAGAGGCGACCAAGGAAACATTAAGGTCGAGCGTCTGTTTTAAAACATCACCAAAGCCTAACTGCGGTTGCCAATCCGTCTGCCAAGTGTGGCAACTACTAGCAAAACCCTTTGATATGATGATGAATATTGAATACTTATTAAAGTTTTCAGTTAATATCCCTCACTTTTGTAAAAAAAAAAAGATGAAAATGGTTCACTTAATTCACTGAAACATATATATATATATATATATATATATATATAGAGAGAGAGAGAGAGAGAGAGAGAAATACCGTTTTATTCATATAAATTATAAATCCTTTATAAGCCTTCTATAAGAAGGAAATAAAATGATTATAAAAATCTTTCTTCATAAATGCATATGTAACTCTGTAATAGCTATTCAATATCGATGTCAGATATAGATGATCTATAAACTTATCATAAACCTGTAATAACAAACAGTGTTATTCATAAACACAGTATATCGAGACGATAAGGCGACAACATCAAACAGCGGTCTTATAAAGTTGTAATGGACTAATGCCTACTATAAGAACATTTTAACCTCAAAATGAGTAATATCAAATAAAAATAGTATATTTACGCATGAAATTAGAAATCCTTAATTTTTTTATGATCTATAATATGAATCAATTGAAAATCTGCGAGTAAATTATGAAGAATTACATTATTATAATACGATATGCAAACCCATTTTAAAGACATGTTCAGTCAACATTGTATTTACTTAACCCTTCTTTACATAATGGTAGAAATTTCCATCATAACATTGAATGTCCAAAAATTATATAAATGAACAAGTTCACTTTAAATTGATCGTGTTTGGATACCTTTTTAATGTTCATTGCAGAAAAAAAAACATAGCTGTCAAATTTATTTTTTTAACCATTTTCCTTTAATTTTGAACATGAATTATTTCACTTTGACTTATTTCACAAGTAAAAAAATACCATATTTTTTTAAATTAAATATTATATTTATCAAGATATATAAAGATTAAACCACATATTTTGACAGCTAATTCTGTCTGTTTGTAGAACTCGACAAGTTTGCAACGTAATAATCAATAACAACATAATAGCATAAATCCTTCAATAAGCCTATTTTAGTTATTGAATGTTAAGGAATAATGCTGTATTACCCACGTTCAATAGTATTATTTGGTATTTTAGCTAAAGGGTTCTTTAACAAGATGTTTTATGAATAAAACGGTATAATTTTTAATCAAATGCACTTGTTTACAAGCTATTTTAAATCTTTTTTACGATTCTACTGCTGGGTTCAAAATGTTGGTATCTACTGAGAAGAACAAGCTAGAGCCAGTTACTCTTTTCTATTTAATTCGATGTAAAAGATAATTTTAAATATGTACTGTGATTATGATTAACATTAATGATTAGCTTTATTTATATGTATTATTTAATGTGAAATAAACAAGCAAACAAGAGCAGACCAGTCTCCACAAACAATAGTCGTTCACGAGTATAACGAATGAGCCAGCCATCATTCCGCTCATATGACAGTAATCAGTGTAACTTGACTGATTAGATACTACCATCTCACAAATTTCTACCATGATAGCGATGCAGACATAGTAAAGTTTCGCACTGATGAATGACACTGCCAGTACTAACTTTGACATGAGACAACACTACGGTACTTAGGAATGGCGAAGTTCGAGGATCACAACAGAGTAATCTGTGGCGTCTATGATGATAATATCTTAAGACTATGGTTACCATTTACCATTAGTTTATAAAATATAAAAATGGTAACAACAAGATAAATTAAATATAATAACAGTAATAAAAAATATTAAGTTAATTAATAGCTTGTCACTAATGCTTACAAATACAAACATGGACACATTATAAAATGAAACCAAGTGCATGATGATTATTATGTATGTTCGATTATTTTAGAAGGGAATTATTAGATTGTAAAGCAATATGTTATTAGTAATAAACCATCGTATATATGATTTTGAGGACAATACAAATAACGTCAATAAACATTAATACGGGGTTAGATATGCCCATGACCTTGATGGTTTGACCGCATCTTGCGCACACACACACAGCGCTATATTAGCAGAATATGTTCACGGCAATTTGGGAAGAGTTATTCCAATTTATATTTGACTTTTTAAATTATAAAACTAGTTTAAAATGTTTACAATAAAATTTCGTTTATGAAATAATAATATTTTGAGATATTTTTATTTAAATGTAATATTCGTTATGAAGAGAATTTACGTTTTAGTGACCATAAGTGACACGGCGTGTAATCCAGATTAGTCCATAATTTAAAAATATTTTTTATATATATAAATGATGATACTTTTAATGAAAATTAAATAAAAAAAAATCAATTAATAATAATTGTTTATAAGAAGTGAAAATTTATGTATGTCAGAGTATGTCAACAAAATACACATAACTTTAGGATTTATTCTAGAATAATTACTTTTGTTAAATTTTTGGATCAGGCTGTATACAACAACGACTTTTTTAAAATAAATTAGGATTGGGTACGCAAGACATACTTAAACACAACAACAATTACGTACGAGAAAGCCGTTACATATAGGAGAGACTTCTTAATGGACTTTGGCAATGGTCAACTTATTGATTGAAGTTATGATGAAGTAGGGCTGGTCTGGATAAAAATTTCTAAGTGTTTTTAGTCCGTTTTCCATAAACCTATTACATATCCTAATACGAGAATCAGACAATTGATGTTACTGTTTAGCATATAGAGCTCGAATCAAACTAGTAAAACAAGGCCAACTAGCTACTTAATATGGAAGGACTGTGCGAAATGCACTATCAAAATTACGGATCGTAAAATAACTTTAATTATACACAAAAACTACATAGCAGATACTACATACATACAACAGGCATGAGGAAAATTTTATTTTTTAGGCTAAAGAGTATATGTATCTTAAATTAACAGAAACAATAATAAAAACTTTACTTTTTTAATTTTAACATATGCAATAACGCTTATACAAACAAATATAACTTTATAGTAAATTGTGTAAAATGTATCTATTTGTGCGGTGTTACTGTAAGAATTCAATGTGCCACCACGCTTTTTATCGTTAGGATATCATAAGGAGCGACTAAGGAAAGAAACTTGTGTAATGAAAGCAAAATTATGAAACTATACAAACTATGCCCAGAGGCAGCGTGGTAATAGCAGTTTAATATACCTACTCTTAATAAGGAGAGTGATTTCAGTAGTGGGACGTTGATGATAATGACTCAATTAATAGATTTTGTTTGTCCATCCATCCATATAGATGATTCCCTCAAAAACCGATAAATACTAAAGTTTGGCATTATCGCACAATTATAATAACAGCAGTTGTTATTAACGTTAATTCATATATTTTGCAGTATTTGAAACTGCAAAATATATGAATTAACTGTAATACATATTTAAAAAAAATAAACTAACATTTAACTATACAATATAAACTATGAAAAACAAACCCTTGAAAGTATGTCAAAAGGTTGAAACTGTTCTGAAATTCAATATAACAATTCATAAAAGAGTTAAGAGTTTTTATGTATAATATATATAAAAAGAATATATATATCAATATTCTTTTTATGTATACGTCATGGACTAAAAGTCAGAACTCTATGGCTCGTTACTAATAAATGAAGCATTCAAATAGGTACAATAGGTCGGTTGCAAACACGTGCCTCACCCACACGGTGTCTAGTCTAGGTAATTGAGGTGTGATTTCATATTTTTATATTATCTATTGTAACATAACAGACACTGAAAGTAAAGTGGTAATAGGAAGTTCCAGTGAAGCAAAAAAATGAATTATAAGTTTAATAATCTCCATTTTACAGTATTAGCCTTATGACACGATTTCGTCCTTCCGTTCGTTACAGTGCTCTATTTCATTACCAATAATATACTAATAATATCAACGGTTTAAAACGGTTTTGTAATTGTTAACTCATTTTAACTTCATAAAAAAAGTTTTTTCGCAAGAGGATTCAAAATACGGGTTTAAAATTTCAAACTAAATCATCAGAGCAAATTAAACCTTTTTCTAATTTCAATGTTACGTACAACTTAAGTTTATTAAAGTAAATTAATTTGATTGCAATAATAATCATTAGATGCCTAATTCATACATACAAATACAATAATACTTTTGTAAAGACACATTATGGTTATATACCATAATGTGTCTTATATTTAAATATTAAGTAAACTAACATAAATTTATAAATCATTACATATTTTAAGTATCCGACCTCGAAGGTCGTTTAAATAATCAATTAGAAACATGGAAAATTGTTTAATTATTTTTGAACATAATGTCTGGACAGTCTTTAAAACATTTGTTTTTACGTGGTTTGTATTTCAGAAGATACGTAAGTCGTCCTAAGCCTATAAACTTTTGACACGATACAAAAAGATGATCTTTTACACGGTAAAAGTATTTTTTTTTAAATCATTTTATGAACCAACTTTGGGATAGAACATGAGAATAAAAGTAAGAGGGTGTTCTCATAGTCGTGATTAATGTTTTTAAACAGATTTTAGATTATATTTTTCAGATAAAATTTATAAAGAACGTTGAAATGTGGATTAATTAAATCCGATTTATAAGCATTCAATATTATTTTATTAGGTGAAAACTAGATTATGCAATTACTTCACTCATTATTAATCTATTCGTTATATATGATATATTTTTCTATACCACGTTGGTATCAAATAAACATACAGTTCCTTTGTTGGTCTACCTACGGCTAGGGCATCACGCATGTGTTGTCGGCCCTGACGAAATTACTCGATAGCTTATCTATAATTTCTCTGACATAAGAATTTCATCATATAAACATGTACAAATAATAGAAAGGTATTCTTCCACTTATTCGATATTTTTTGCAATGACTTAGGTGTCATCACAATATTATATTAAGTAGATACCTAATACCTATACTATTTTTATATCGATAGTGCCACTTACCTAGAGTTTCCACGTGTACCAAGGCGACGTGGTCGAACTGATGGGTACACTTGTTTCATAACTTTGCCAAAGTCAGCAGTTGATAATGGCTTCATATTACTGCTCATACAATGTGCACTGTTGAAACAAAATTTTATTATTTTTAAATAATGAAAATATTTTCCATAAGCCTTCGTCACATAGACAGTTGCGGGCACAACTTATAAATTATAAAGGTATTTTATTACAAGTTGCAATTTCAATACAAAGAAGTATATTTGTGTAGATTCACCATAATGTATGTACTTCTAAGCTCTATTTCTCTATGAAAAAATATGTCATTATTTGTAAGACTATAAATAAACATTTTAACTGAACTGTAAATGCTACAGGTTTTATATAATATTTGGATTTAGAGCTTAATGGATACATTGATTATTCTACATGGCCAATAGTTTAGTACTTTACACTTTGTACTAATAATGTTTATTACTGTACATCGCTTTTTGAGTGTGGTATCTTGCTTGCTTGTTTGCTGTGACGTATAAAAGATGGATGCCCTATATACCCTTCTTTCCTGGTTATATAGTATGTATATCTCTGAGATGTTTGCCTTAGTTGATAATATTCCTATAGAGTGCCACATTTGAAGCTGACAAATTATAATAAAAACTATTGTTTCCAAAACAAAAATTTAATAACAAAATATGAATATTGGACTTACATGTATTCATCATAGACATCTTGTTTTGGCAAAGAGACATCAGGGTCAACTTCTAAATGTGTCTGTATCCAAGTTACAGTCTGTTGAAGTTCAGCCCTAGAAAGATATGTTATAACTTATTAGAGAATTAGATTTCTAGTATGACTTGTCCATTAGAATGAACTCAACATTATAAGATTAGATGATTGTTAGATGAAGCTTTTTATATTATAATAGACAAATATATATAAATTAATACATAAAACACAAGAAAAAAGAATACAAGTTAAGGATTTCATAACATTTTAATGAATATAGTACAAAAATAATATAGCATAAAGAATAATTAAACCCAAATAGTAATTTCTTAATTAAATACAATTTAGAAATTCTATGCCATTCTATTTAACTATTAAATGTAATAATAATAGATAATTGATATTGTATTTAATCTCCCCCCCCCCCCCAACATTAATTAAAGTGATGTTAATGTTCCATCATATTTGACAATGAGTTTGAATTGTTGGATTTCATATTAATTTTGTACCAGGAAACAAAACAGAATTGTAAGTTGCAGTGATAAATTCAAATACAAAGCATATTTGAATTTAACACTCTTCCTTTTCTTTAATTAGGTTTCTTTTCAAATATAGTGGTAGAATGGGTACAAGCCCCATACAAACTGTATACATAAAAATGCAGCCATACCTGGAACCCAATGGGTTGATGGGTTGTTTCAAAGGATCGTGTGGAGGGACACCTGTAGGCAGCCGAAGGTAAAGCAACAATTTTTCAGCACCACTTAGAGCCTCCACAGCCTCCAGTAGCTGTGCTACACGTTGCCGACCCTCTTGGCTGCAAATATTATAAATAAATATCTTGAATAAATTTTTCATGTATAGCCATAAAATTTATAATAAAAATATTAAATTAAAAAGAGCACACTAAAATTTGTATTTCAAAATAGGGATGATTCTAAGATGCCCTTCTGTAAACATATGAATCTTAACAATTTTAATTTGATAGTTTATCATAACTATTAATGGTATAGAGTATTGAGAATTGATGTAAAGCAGTTCTAAGCATGTTTATTAAAAATTTTGTATATTTTTACTTTTTGAAATAACTTTTTGTTGAAATTTTAATTTTAGAGACAGAGAATGGTGCCTCCGAAGCAACTCTTACATTTCAAAGTGTATGTCTGTCCAGATCTTTAGTGTAACATGTAACCTAAAATGATTGATGTATTTTTATAAATGAGGTATATTAAGCTCTTCATCATTGGTAGTGCTTTATGTTACCACAATATACAAAATTAATATGATGCCCATAAAATATCTAAATTTATAATCAAAATATAATATTACATTAATTACATCATAGGCTACTACATGTATACACACTACATGAAAATTAAATGGGACTATTATTTGTAAGATAATTCAATGAGTAAACAAGTAGTATTTTATAAACCTATTTAATTAATTTGATTATATTTATGTTCATCATATGTATTTATTATCCTAAGTTAGGTATGATTATTTATGGTAAAACACCCAAGACACATGCATATATAATTTAGTATTCTGTGTTAGTGTCTTTATAATTATTAAATGCAATAGGTAATGGACTTTAAAACCCGGCATCAAATACAGTGAATTTCATTTATTACGATTTCGGTTGTAGCAATGATTTGCCTATAGCTACGTTAAACCTAAGTCCCTTGAATTTAAAGCATACTTTAGTACAAAATTCATGTGGCTATAGCGACTTTGGATGTAACGAGTTCAGGTATAACAACCGTTTTTAATTAATCATTTGTAACAAATTCCTAGAAATCTCATGCAGATATTACGACCAAAGTTGGCCTCTAAAGAGACACCAAGATTTCTTTCTTTCACAAACATTTCTAATTTTTAGTTTACATCCACACAGATGGTCAACAAGTATGGAGACCTTTACCTATTGTTTATAGATATTAGCTAAGTAGGTAGGGAAGTGTGTATGTTTTAAAGTTGAATTTTTGGTTTAGTTACAAAGTGATCTGAGTAGCAACTGAGTTTAGTAAACTTTTGGATAAGTATGACTGCCTCGACGCACATTTACTGTTAAAGAAAAGGCAGAAATCATTTCAAAACTGAAAAACAGTGAAAACAATGCTGATTTGTGCAAAGAAAAAAACATGTGTATGTGTCTGTATCTCTTTACTTTTGCCTGTAACGACTTCCGGATATAATGACAAAAATAGAGTGGTCCCTCACAAAATTTACATTACACTTAATATGAATGTTATTTTTTATTTAAAGTTCCCATTACCACAAGTAAAGATTACTTAATCAAACAACCGTGATTTCATTCAACTCGTCATCAAATTAATCATAATAGAAAATCAATTAAGAAATTATTTGTCTTTTCTAGGATTCAGACAGTTTAATAGGCTATTACTAAATATTATATGAAATGTAGTAAATATACATATTCCTTTTTCAACAGACTTCAAAAAGAAGGAGATCCTCAATTTGCCTATATTTTTTTATGATTGTTTCCTTTTAACTCCGCCATTGTAAACCAATTAATGTAAAGTAATTTTTTATCTGAAAGGATATACTTACAGATTGGTCGAATAGAAATTTTATCAAAATTGGTTGAGTAGTTCTTAGTTTTTAAATAAAAATTACTAGTATTACTATAATTGAATTAGGTTTATTTTTTTGTAGAACAGAATTTAAGTATTATTTATAATTTCTTTGTAATTTTTTTTTACAGTATACGATCTTAGTCTATAGCTCTTGTTCTATACACACAGTAAGAAATTTAATAAAAATGTTCGTAATAACAAAACTTTGAGTATATAAGGCAAGAAAGTAAATGTATTGACTTCTTATACTTGGGATAGAGAGATACAAGTTGCCAAAATACAGCATTAAGAAGAAAGTTTTAACATTGCATGTATGAATAATAGTGCTACAAACAGAATATAAAAGAAGTGACATAGAAGATTAGAAATGAATACCTGAGAGTATTCTCAACAATTTGTTGCATAGAAGCTATTTTGGCAGAGTCCATTTTAGACTCAGTTGTCCTAGCGGTTTCGACACCAGGGCCTGCGGTGGCCGACGATCCGGGAGCGTTAGTTGGAAAAGCGACACTTTCTTTATCGTAAGACGCAGTTTGCGTATGTTTTGGATGATTGACATTTTCCCGATGAAGTTTCGCGTCATCTAGTTCTTTTTCGGTTTTAACATTTTTCGCACTATCGTCAGCAGTCCAAGGTTGAAATGGAGTTGCACTATCCATTCTAACCCAGACGGGTTATAAAAATTATATTATCCAGATTCATATTGTATTTTTTCTAATCTGAATTCTAAAATGCGTAACTAAACTCCATTTTCTTGACATTTGATCAGCTGTGGGTGAGGTGGGACGAGAGGGGGTGTACTCGGTCTTGCTATTATTTGTCTTACATTTCCTACTATTTAATACTAAGAAATATCATCTAATGCTTATAAATATTAGCCAAATATCATGGAATTCGCAGACAAACCAGCTCATTATTTATAAGCGTTTATAAAATAAATAAGAAAAAGTAGTATAGACTATAAGCGGCAGTATTTATTATACACTAGATACTTGATTAACTTCGTGATAAAATTTCTATTTCGTAGCACAGATATCAAACTAGAAATATTTTTTGAAATAATATATTAAATTTATTAAAATAAGTTATATAGTTATAGTCAACAAATGACAATGGCTGTGTAATATAAACAGTAAAAAGTTAAATCTCAATAGTAAAAATATTTAACTTGCTAAATATCTGGCAACACTGTTGGTAGAAAAAGCTGTGTCACCTTTTTAATTCTCCTCTGGTGAGTAACTACTTATGCAGATTAGAGGCACAGAATACATCCAAAAAGATATGACCAATATTGCCGATAACTATGTAAGAGTTGTCACAAGGAAGTTAACAAAAATTTCAAAAAAAATATTTTTATCATTAAAGCTTATTTTTTGAATCATCGAGTTTTCTCTTTTATATCAAAATGAATTACATATAATCGACTACGAATAGGCATTTAAATGAAATCATTCGGATCGATAGTTTCAAAGTTACGCTGTTATTTTGGTCCGCCGTCTCCGCCGCAGGTTTTCCCAATTTTCAGATTTTTTTCATAGTCACCTTGAAGCGGAAATTATATCACCGGTGTTAGTCTTCAACTGTCAGTTAGCTTCGTTCAATAGCCAAATTTGTGGCGAATACTCTGGAGCCTTGATTTAACTCTATTGCCTGTTCAATGCAAATAGTAATGAATTGACGTAAGTCACGCTCTATATTGCCTATTAGACTACCTATTATTTTTGAGTGCTGGAACTAGAAATATTTAGCTACTACTGCTTAGACAATTTCCACTGGCTTATCGTGATTATAATCCGCTGTTTCACAGTTTATCAAATACTGAAAGCGATTTGACAATTCAAGCTCAAAGCTCTCTGGATTTTCGATAAGGGCATGCGAAGGTCGGAACGTAAACTTCATCCGACGAAACCTTTCTAGTCTAATATTCAGGTTTAATATTAGTTTTTTGTTGCCCGGTGCTAAACTTCGTTTCATCGTCTTTTTTTGTCCAGTTTAGCCTGGAGAAATAATTTCATTTAATTGGTGTCGTTATGCACCACGTAGAAAGCACTTGTACTCGTAAGTATTAGATGACGTTTTTTTTATTTTACTTCTGTCTACATAAACATTGATGATTTGTTTAGTATCGGTAAAAATGTACGCGATATTACAAAATAAAAGTTAATTATAGTAATAACTACAGTACGTAACTTTAGTTGACTACTTATTTGACCTTGTAAAATAGATTATATAGGTACGCTTTGCTGATTTAATTATTAACTAATATTTTTTTACAGCCTCAGGTTGTGGAATAAACTTCGTACTGAGGTTTTTCCTAGAGACTACAGTATGGCGTTCTTTAAAAAGAGTAAGGTTTCAAGGTTTAAGGTTTTTTAAGGTTTCTTCAGGGTCGGCAATACGTACGTGTTGGAGTTTTATTACTGGCTGTTGACATTGAGGATTTTTAGAACATATATTGTATTTACATTTGTTCTGTATTAGTTTAAAAAAAAACGTGTTTTGTGTTTTTTCACTAAACCGAATATTTTATTTTACAAATACGTATATATTTTATTACTGCATTTTACTGCTTACATCAGCACGTGTAACCTCTAACGTTACAGGCATCCATAGTTTACAGTGACTATTTACCATCAGAGAGGCTATATGCTTGTTTGCCACCTTTGTGGTATAAAAAAATGTCAATTTTTAATTATCTATGCATTAATAAGAGTTCCAATGGAGTTTCTACCATCAAAATTCTTATTAATGAATTTGCACTACTCACTTGTCATAAAATTAAATTTTAAATTGAAGTATAACAGATTAAAGTAACTAAACTCATCGTACTTATTGTAAATACATAATGGGGGCTTAATGCGATGAAAAAGCTTTTACAGATAAATAGCATCTGGTCGTGGTTATGACAGGATTGGTGCAATCCACGTTGAAACGTTGGCAAGAAAGAAGCAGGTATATAGGTATTATTTACCTGTAAAAGCTTTTTCATCATGTTAAGTCCCGATTGTGTATTTAAAATATGTGTAAACAACGCGAAAGTTCAAAATTAACAGATTGTACTTTTTTTTATTGTTTGTTTTCGTAAATTTTGAAAATATTATAATATGAAATAACTAACTAGGTTTTTTATGACAGCTGTCGATATCGATATTTTTGATGACGGCATATATAGATAGTGATACAACACTTAATATTTCATGAATTTTTTATTGTGTTGTTATTTCGAAAAGGTAACTTGCATTTCATATTCCGGATTTCTTGGATATAAGGCCACTGCCAACTCTTGTAATGGTTCTTTATTAGACGGAATCTCCTTAATCTGTGGTTACGTGATTTGTGGTCTGTTTGTGATCTGTGGTGCTCTTCTCTTTGTATTTTCCTTTTGATACTTTTGAACCACATTCTTGTGGTTTTTAATTAAAATATTTATTTTTCCTATAATATGGAATAGTAACATATTAGAGATATAAACGTAGATTACAGTAAGTTGTCTAATATTAGTTTTCTTTAAGTAAATCTCCAAATAGGAAATTGAAAGTTAAACTTTCAAAATTTGTTTTGATATAAGGAATTATAGTAGTTTTAGTATTTTGGTTTGTTTTTCCTTAGTTATATACTCTTTGTTGGTAGACAGAAATAACAGAAAGGTTATTTCTGTCTTTTTAATTAATATTTTTAGTCGTTTATTTACTTTTTCTTGTTTCAGCCCTAGTTTAATCGTCATTCATCATTAGCAATAATATCTCCAATTTTTCATATTTTTGTTTTAAGCAATTATGTCAGATGAAATTGATATTGAAGAACATGATATACTGGATAATCCAGTAATTAAAAATATCTTTCCTGATCTGTCTGTATTAAAAAAAGAAATTCTGGATTATGATGAAGGTAATTTAAATTGTAAATTAAAACTACAAGAACCTTTCAAAGCTTAATATTTAGTGCATGTGGCGATATTGGGAATTTTAATTAAATAATAATTAATTTTTTTAATGGTTAATAATGTAACCCTGCCTGCGCTATCGGTATACACTCATGAGAGTTGATAAGTGAGGATGAAGCAGGTCAGTTAGCTCATCGTGACAAATTTAATAATAAAAACTACATTGGTTTCATTCAAGAACCTCCTTGGTTCAATGGCAAGCAATATGCATTCCAGCAGCGCTTCTCAATATAAAATAAAAAAAAATAGAATAAAAAATGACTGATTACTCTTTTGTCTAAGATACTATTAACATTGACTGAACTTGCTAACTGACTAATATTAACTAGTGTAGGTAACCAAAATCCTAGTCCTGGTCTTCCTTAATATTGATCCTGATCCCGGCATAGTTTAATACTGGTGGGTGCTAATACCAATTTCCTATATTAGTTTCACATGGCAAGAAGGTCAACCTAGGTTTATTGCTAGCAATGGGGTTGCTAATTCCCATTTATAACAATTCCTTCTCCCCCCATGTAGTGTATTGTATAAGCTGCTTTTTTTTTATACAATTTGAAATGGCAAATTGTCTGACAGCTTATCTGTTGTCTTTAGATATGAATAGTACCACAGATATCACAGAATATACTGTAATATTGACTGTATTCCTGATTTGTTGTTACTCTTGAGGATTATTAATTTTAGGTAGATTTAGGGATATGTTATAATATATAACTTCTCCACACACTTATGTAATATTAAAAACATTTTTGTAACAAAGCATTGGTTCTAAACAAATGTTATATTCTATATAAAATTATTATTAATTAAATATTTTCAACAATTAAATTTTATTCTGGGGCTTTGACTACACAGAATTTGGATTAAGAACTTGTTTCTAGTTTTTATAATAGTATCTATTTCAGTTCCAGATTTAGTCACAGACATAACTTTAGAAACAACTTCAGTAGATGTGAAGAAAACAAGTGATAATCCAAATGTCAATGAGTCAGAAAAAGTGACAAATAATCGATTGAACAATATTCAAATAAATACAAGACATGATTTTAAAATTGCTGAAGACCTCAAACAAGAACAAGATAATAAATTACCAGTAAGCAAAAAATTGAAACAGTTAGAAAAACATACTAACAAAGTATGTTCAGAATCCCATATGAGTAAAAATATGCTCAGTACTGTAAATTGTTCAATTAATTTTCAAAAGGAAAGTAAACCATTACAAAATCTTACATATTTTAAATCTAACCAGTCACATAGTAATAAAATTATATTGGGTTCCAAACCTAGTATAATCAATAAGCAGAAAGATCACTTAAAAAATTTTGGAAAAAATCTAACTAACGTCTGTGTATTAGTAACTGATTGTGCGTCTTCTTTGCACAATAGTGATAGATATTGTTCAGATTGTTTAACATTATTCAGTACATACATTGAACTAGAAGCTCATAAAAAAACTGACCATCATAATTTTTCTAAAATACAAAACAAAATTAAGAAAGAAGTGACTAAAAGTGTTAAAGATCATATTTGTTTAATTTGTAATATTTCTTTTTCCACAAAAAATACTTTGAATAGACATCAAACAGACTTTCATAATCTAAAAAATAATGTTACAATATCAAACTCTAGTACTGTAATATCACGAAAATATAGTAAACCTAATAATTACAGTTCTAGAATACCTTTGTCGGACATAAAGTATGGATGTTTTCACTGCAGTAAGTCTTTCCTTGACCAAAAATCTCTAATTGAACACCTTTATAATGTTCTTCAAATGAAGAATTCTAAAACACATAGTGAGGAAAAGCTGCAGGAGAACATTAGTAATGATATGGAAATATTAGAAAAACATACTGATGAAAATTATAAAGAACAGGACTCTGTAATTAATAATAATAAATGTACAAAAATAAAATTTGCAGTATCTAATAAAAAACAAGAAATGGATGTGAATTTAAGACAAAAATATGTAAAATATAAAAATAATGAAAAATTAAATAAAGTCAATATTTCAGTGAAAGTTAACAATCCACTAATCAGTAGTAAATTAGTAAGTCTGACTATACAAGACAAAAATGATGAAGTTTTAGTAAATAATAGTGACTGTAATAAAAAACTTGACACTTCATCAACAGATATCCATGATTGTAAGAAACGTAAATTACCAATACTAGGTAAAAAGTGCAAAGTTAACTGTAAAAAACCTAAATTAACACTACCAGATAAAAAGTGCAAAAAAGTGATTACTAAACATATACAAAAAACTTCATTGTCTTACAATATGCATCAAGTTAAAAAGGCGAGTGAAATTACTAATAGGACAAAACTATTTTATGAATGTAAGTTTTGCTCTCATTACTTCAATAAATTAAAATATTACAAATTGCACCTACAGAATAAACACAAGGTTAAAAACATACTGAAAACGGACAAAGTAGCATATAGTCCTAAATGTAAATACTGCCCTAAGATATCTAAAGAAATGATTTTATATAATGTTCATCTGCGAAAATATCACAAAGAAAAAATACATGTAGTTATTAAAGACATAGAAATAAACTCTAAAGTTGAAAAGAAATCTGAGAGAACCCAACAAAATTCTTCAATTATATCTAAGTGTACAACGGAAGAAAAATGTAGCAGTAGTAACAGTAACATATCAATATTAGAACTCCTGATTTTGAAATCTGTATTATACAAATGTAGTAAATGTGACATACATTTCTTATGTTTAGAAACAGCATTAAGTCATGTTGATCATATGGAAATTTCGATTAATTGGAAATGTACCATTTGTTTGAAAATATTTAAAAAAAGTGATGAAGCTCTTCATAAAAAACAACACCTGCATGTGAACACTTTTTCTGTATATAATACATCTGATATAGATGTTGCTTTAATCTTGTATAAATGTACAAAATGCACTATACATTATGATGAAAAACATTTCCGACGTCATTATTCGGATTGTGAATTAAAATCACCAAATGCGAGTTATTGTATTGTTTGCGATATTTTAATAGACAATAATATCATGAAGTCTCATGAGTATGATCACAAGCACAAAAATTATGATCTGAATAATTTCACTATTATTGAATGTGATCTTTTATGTGAGGAAGCGAATGGTGCTTTCAAAGAATATGAATCAAACAAGAAGATAAATATTAAACTATCAAAGAAAAGTCGAATAATGACACACATAACCGATAGAATGTTACTCGTAAAATCTTTCTGTAATACTTGTAAATGTTTTGTCAGTGATGTTGGATGGCTACGCGAAGTACACCTTCAATCACGCTGTCAACATCTAACAAAACGGATATGTATTTACTGTGGACTTCTTTTAACTAGTAAAACTTTAGCCACTCATAAAAATATGCATAGACGAAATCCAAAAATAACTTTACAGGATTTCAGATTTTATGAGCTTAATAGTAGAAAATTAATTAAACCTCCGATACCAGAATATCCTAAATGTGAAATTTGTGACATACATTTCATGTCTAAATTAGCCATTAAGAATCATTTGTGCAGTGAAAATGAATTTTTGACGTGTACCGTTTGTTCTATAAAATTATCAAAATCGATTTTTAAATTGCATATGGCTTTTCATAATTATTTATTAAATAATAAATCAAAATTTTTAAATCATAAATCAGCCAAATTACCAGTCTCGGAAAGAATTGATTCTAATACAAATTTACCGAATATAAATAATAATTTACCGCAACCATGTAAGTTGGAAAAATTTATAGCTTTGTACCGTTGCAAGAGGTGTTCTACAACTTTTATTATGTATGATAAAGTGATAGATCATTGTCATCTACATTATAATAATCGAGAACACGAGATTAAAACAGTGAGATGCAATGATTGCGAATTAAGTTTTGAAATAGGGTGTTACGAGAGCCATAAGATATTACATGATCGAAAAAATACTTCTTACAAACGTCCACTTGAGTTTGATATTTTTTATTTTCAATTTGACAATGATATTTGGACAAAACATATATTTGGACCTCTTTCGCAAAATCAAGTAAAAAAAATTCTTAGACAATCGATATACAGATTTGAGCACCGACTTATAATGAATATTGTTCAAGAGGGATCATCTGACATTACATTATATAAATGTAATAAATGCAGTTGTATCATAGAGCCTGAACTAATATTTAAACACATTCAGATTAATTGTTTAGATGTGCGAAAATATTGTTGTATTTTTTGTGGCTTGAGTTTTATTTCTCTTGTTTTTAAAAGAAATCATGAAAAAATTCATAGTCATCCGTCTATTATCTTAAAATCCTTTAGGGTAGTCTTGTTTAATCAAACTCAACACAGAACGTATAATTCTACGTTTAATGTATCATATCAGTATTATATTTTGTATCAGTGCAGAATTTGTAATATCACAATACAAAAATTTCAAAGAAGTAATCATAAATGCAATAAAAACGAATTAATGAGTTGTACTGAATGTGGATTATTATTTGACCAAAATGAATACGAATCACATATAACTAAACACAAGGATGTTGATAGTTTCATTTCAGAAAATATTAAAGTTATACTTTTTGGAGAGGTATCCGAAGATGTTAAAAAAAATTATAGCAAAAAATTACTATCATTTCGTGGTGCTGTTTATGATTACACTTTTTATAAGTGTTCAAGTTGTGATATCTGTTTGAGAAATATTAAATCTACGTTACTTCATATTTGTGCTCCTACTAATTATAAAATCAAGTGCTCCAAATGTGGATTGCACTTTCATTGTAATTGGTACAAAGCACATAATCAATCTCATATTGTTGATCCAGGTTTTGAAATAGAAAATATGAATATTATTTCATTTGATGCAAAAATTTCGGTATCGATTAACCCAAAAAATAATAACTTAAGTAATTCGGATTCTCCTTTAAAGCAGTTAACATTAAATTGCACAGAATCGACACGAGACACCATAGTACATATAGAAAAGTCAAATCAAATTGTAACTACTGGAAAGGAAACAGAGGAATTTGAAGCAAGAATAAATGATGTGGGAACACATTCATCGGTAAAATTTTTTAAATGTACCGAATGTGGCCTTAATTTTCTGGATGAACCTAGTATCAAAATCCACTTTAATCATTGTGGACCTAAAAGTAAATTATCGAAACAAAATTGTACTAAATGCAATTTATTGTTTACTCCAAATATTCTTTTTACACATTTGTTAACTCATCACGGACAAAAAAATAATGTTTTTAAATATGAAATAATAGAGGTAACTAAGACTATGAAATAGGCTATTTGACTGGTTTCTGGGAACTATCTTAGAATATTTAGTGGTGTTCATAGAGTCCCAATAAATAATAGAGTCCTTCAAAAAAATAGCAAATAAAAAAGTACAATTACAAATTGGCCGCCGAAACGCAATTTTGAGCAATATGGCAGCAGTGATATCACATGGAAGTAAACAACATCGAGTGTCATACACGTATGTATCAGTATTTATTTTTGTTAATTTTTACTGTTAGCCAAAACAGAAAATGTACAAATGGTGTGTTGTACCAGCGTGCACAAATACTACTATAAAGACACCGGAAAAGCTCTTTGTTAGTGTGCCGAAGAAGCCCAAAATACGCAAAAAGTGGTTGCAACTCGCTCGCAGAGATCCACAGGCTATAGTGAATGATTCAACTGTTTTCTTTTGTGAAGATCATTTTAATGTAAGTACGTAAAAGTATTTTTAATTACCTAAATATTCTTATTTGCGAGTATTTAAAGTTAATATTTGAATACTAAAATTATATTAATTACCAATCTGAAGTTAGAATTTAATGTTGTCATTAGAGTCATATGTTTTCAGTGACCTGTCATTAGAGAATAAGTGTATTTTTTTTTAAATTACTTTAATATTTTATTACAGATGGAGAAAGACATAGCAAACTACCTTCAGTACAAAATGGGATTCAGCCAGAAATTATTCTTGGTGGATGGAATTGTGCCTTCTAAATTTCACTGTCAACAAGATCGCAGGAAAAGAATGTGTGATACTAGTACTTCTCGACGCGCATTTGTGAAACGACAAAGAACCCAACTGGTTCAAAAATGCAAAGAGATACAGTCAACTGCAACTGTGCAAGATGTCATTATTGAAACCCCTATAACGACAGGTATGTGAACTTAGTAACTAAGGTAATGTAATAATTGCCATATAATATTTATAATCATATCTACCTTTCTATAACTATCTATGTATCACATCATGCTAAATCCCTATAAGGGTAGGTTGATCATAAGTTCATGTAATATGGGTTTTTGATGAAATAAAATACTTGTCCATGCCCCAAGTTTTATAATAAATTCAAATAATACAATGGTGCATTAACAAAATTTTGAATGTTTGACCTTCTAATGGTTAAACAGTCTATGTCTATGGTTCTAATATTGCAAGTGCGAAAAATTTAACTTTTATTAAAACTCCTATAATGCCTGATCTTGAACAATTAGTTTATCTTTATTGAGAGCATCATGTCAATTTGACAGCATTCTAATGAATATTATTCAATATGATCACCATATTTATCCTCACAACAGACTCATGATCATCATTAAGTACCAGTAATACCATTGCAGCTTAAGGAAGAGAATGATGAATATTGAGTTCTCATATTATGTTCTATTTAATCATAGGTTTTTTGAGATTGTTTAGCTTTTTTTTTATTATGTGTTTTATAAATAAATTCATAAGTGTTTTATTTTTTCAGAATCACTGCAAGCTTGAGTCAGCACTACATCCACAGAATACACTGTTACTGACAGAACCCACCATTGCTGCTGAAAAATCGGTCCAGATTAATTTTAATAAAAAAGTTAATTTTAGAAGCATTGCATTGCAGATGAAGATTTTGACAAAAGATGTTTCTGTTTCTTTTTTCAAATAATCTACCACATCTACACACTTCTCCATAAAAGATTAATTCAAATTGTTTTCATGTAAAGCCTAAATTATTACTAATATGAAATAGAGAATCATCTTTATAGATGAAGAAAAATCAATATATGATATCTTTGTATATAGAGTCTTCAAGACAACAAGATTCATCATCATTCACAGTTGCTTCTTTCTCAAAGATTTTTGATTCTAGTACAAATACTGCCAGCACAAATACTGATATAAATAATTTGAATTGTTTGCAGCATGATTTGAACCTTATTGCTAAAAAGCTTATGATGCGTATTGGAATCTCAAAAATGTTATTTTATATATAACAATAATGTAACAAGTATTGTAAAAAATACTAGTATTATATTAAATAGTTGAAAAGATTGCACTTTGCAACAAGACACCAAGAACATCAATGACAGATATGTTGTTTACTTCAATGTTACGTCATCATACGTTCAACTAATCCAGATCGTTTTTGATTATATGGTACCAACTAACAATATAATAGGTATGTTTAGGGGCTTTACGTACATACATACGGCTTTTTAGACCGTACCTTTTTTTACTCTAGTCTATGCGGATATTATTAAATAAAATATAATTTTTTACATTGCCAAATAGCCTATTTTATAAACGATAATTTTTATTGTTATTAAATTGAGTTCGATTCTATTGAATTTCAAAAGAAACGCACATAGTATAGATATAGTAGCATAAGATAATGAGATATGGTAGTGCCCTTATTTTTCAGTAAAATGCTTTTCAGGGATTTGTTTATTTAAGTTGATAAATTGTTATCTAATTAATTAGAAAAGGATTGAAATGTAAAATGAAATGAAGATTCTATTTTTTATAAATTCTGTATGTAGATACCTAAATAGGGGTCAGCACAGGGAAAATTATTAGTTGTTTATGTAATATTATTATATATTATATTATTATTGTAGAAATATTATTATTTATTACCCGGTAGTGTAATGGCTGCACATCACAGATTAGTATGAGTATCTGCAAACTGCCACTATTTAGTAGGAGTGGCGTTGACTGACGATGTCGCCGAGATTTTTATTAGAGACAATTGCGATTCGATGAAAGGTAATAAAAAGCATATTTTTTTGTACAGCAATATATATTATCCACTACCGACATCGCATCGATTTCATCGCGTTATCATTGTGATTTCGTCCTTTCATTGCTATTACGCTCTAGTGCTGCTGACTTTCAAATCGCCGCGATGTCACTCGGTCGACGTCTGCCTACGTTGAAAAAACGCTTTTGTACTTTATTACACAAAATACCTAACATATTACGTACTAATTTAGTAGTTCCATGTTGTTTGTGGTAGTGTAAATCACTAGTAGCAGATCATCCCTTTATATGTGGTACAGTCTACAAATGCTTAGTTTAAAAATTTTATTTTCACAGAGTAATTGCTACTTTAGTTACAAGTCACAAGATGACATAATTAGAGTTTCTTAAGTATAAATAGAATTTTTTTCTTTCCTGTCCGTAACATCATTGACACGGTAGTTCCAATATAACGCAGAACTATCATAGTGCTAGTGCAAAGTTTAGGTATTTCACTGCTCATTGGTTATTGCGAATTAGCATCTGAGTGTACCGCTATGCGCTGCGAATTAATTGTGATCAAACCGTGTATTCATGAGGTATTAATCCAACAATCAATCTACAACGTTGGTAGTATTTAATCTAGATTCTAGGTAAATATTAAAGTTGTGTCTACTGACACATTACTTTCTTATAATTTTATATAATTGTTATTTTTGTTTTAAAGGATTATAAGGTACTTTGTAAATAGTAAAATATTAAAGTTTCATTATTTTATTATTATAAGTTTGTATTTTTTTATTCAATTTATTTAACATTCCATTTCTTTTACATCAGAGTAGGTAATTGTATGTAGTGTACATTATACAAATGTTTCCGTTTTAATTAATCCGTTTACAGTCGTAACCGACCGCAGTTCTGTACTAACTAACGTTAGTACATAACTGCGTTATGGAATTCTGAATTTTTGAAAGTATTCGCAGATGTGTAGCTAAGTTTAACTCTTACTAAACACTGATTACGTTAGGTGTTAAACATTAGTATTAATTATAACTATTAATATGGGTTACAATAGCAAAATTATGAAACGACGTAAAGAGCATCGTTTCAATACTCCAAAACAGAATAGTTGAGGTAAAAAAAATCTTTAGAACCTCTACAATTACCTACATAGAGATGTAGGCTCCCTCTGTGTCCTCTACAGCTTATTCCATGGGAAGTGCTCAGGAAAAGTTCATTCCCTTATTCTACCTTCTTTCTAATATTGCATTTCGAGGATGGGCTAACAACTGGACCCATACACGGTAGACTGCTTGCATTCACGTACAAATAAGTTTGCTTATTCGTATGTCAATTGTACTGTAACAATGTGGAATGGCATTTCCCGTGACATCTTTCCTTCGTCATATAATTTTGGATTCTTCAAACGTAGTGTAAAAAAGCACTTAGTGAGCCGGTATAGTGCGGCTAATCATTGAAAGTGGTGGGAAAGGGATAGTTATTAATGCGAAATATCAGACCCATTGCTAGCAATATACCCTATCAGGTCCAGGTGTATTCATCACAATAGGCTAACTGACCTGGCCTTTCATCCTCACCTATCATCTATCACTGGTGCCCCGTCAGCGTATACCTTTAACGCAGGCGGGGTTACCGTTGCATTATCATCCATTGTAAAAAAAAAAAAAACATTGAAACTGGGACGTCCTCTTTTCAAAAAGAAGTTCTCAATTTTGTTATATATTTTTTTAATGTTTGTTACTTCGTAACTCTGTCAATTCTAAACCGGTTTGATTTTTTTTATCTGAAAGGATATATTTACAGATTTTGTCCATGGAAATTTTATTAAAATCGGTTTAGTATTTTAGTTTTGAAATCAAATTAACAAATTCGTCCTTTTATCAGGACAATTGACGTAGTTTTTTTTTGTAGAACACAATTTATAATTGTTGGTTTGTCGTATTCATTCATGGACCATATTGTCTCTATTTTCGCTTAAGATGGTGTAGTCACATGTCGAGCTATAAAACTAAGAACAAGGAATTACAAATCTTTGCTATAAAATTAAAAGATAAAACTGGATTGAGTATGTTACTCAATCTACCAAACAGACTAATAGGTAGCACATATGAGATAAGAGGACAAATTTTCCGTCATCAGCGCATCTGAATAACTTAATGAGTATTAACTAACGGTATAGACCGTATTATTACATATTATAGTTACATATAGATGTATCTATAATATGTTAAAGATTATCTCCTAGCTCTTAACTATTAAGGAGTTGTGCCTTCCATCATCAGCTCAGCAACATGAGAGGATGACTATCAAATACAAATATGCGAATAAGTTTAGAAAAAAATAAATAGGTACCTATAAAATTTGAGGGTTGTCGTCAATTTTCCTGAGATCCCGTTATTAGATCCTGACCTGGTAACAATGGGACCACCTTAGGAAGATGGTACTCTTAGAATAAAAAAAGATTTTTTAAATCGGTCCATAGTGATGGAGAAATCGATCGACGGTATATATTTTTTTATGTGAACGTACATACAAACATTGAACATTTAAATTGGTTCAAAATTAAATTTACTATAGAAAGTAGTAATAATAACTTTAGTTCCTCAATCGCTCTAAGTAGACAGCGCAAATGCTAATTGCATTTTAAAAATATAAAATACCATAATCGTACCGGCAATCGTAACCGTTTGTTGTTATAAGGATTCAAAATCGTGTGTTTGAAACTTGCTTGCTATTGTAGATACTGTAGCTGCTCAAATGTTTGCTCTCATAGAAAATCACAGATTAAATAATAGAAAATAAGGATTTTAAATCGGATATTTTCAACCTCTTTTTTGTTGCGGCACATATTTAACGATTTCAAAATTTGGCGGCATACAAAGAAAAAGATAAAATTATTATATACTTCCTACAACACACTGCATAAATAGTTTATGACAAAAATTTTAAATATTTGCAAAATTTGGCGGCACACTTTTAAAATTTGGCGGCACACAAAAGTGCCGCGGCACAGTGGCTGAGAATCACTGATTTTAAATCATAGTCTTTAACAAGTAGCTTTACTACTTGCTAGCATAGTATTATATTATCTGTGCTACTTGCAAAGTTTTATAAATTAAAACCATTAGACATTAGATAGGTAATCCTTTAATAACACAATGACAATGCACGTCATAAAAACATACATTTAGAAAAGAGTAGCACAGAGTTAATAACACAAAGGTTACTTGCTTTCATACAGAATAAATATATTTGGGTACTATATGTCTGTGATTATAACGTAGCAAAAATAACGTAGTAATTACTTATGTGATAGGTATAATGAAGTAGGTATTCTTAAAAAAAAAGTATAAGAGTAAAGCAGTCTTTTATATCACAGCAATAAGTTAGCCCATCGTGATGAATACACCTGGGATTCAGCATGATAGTTTTCAGGGAGGACCACGTGGAGGACGACTTGACAGGATATATTGCTAGCAATGAGACTGGTAGTCGCATTACTAACAATCCCCCCCCCCCCCCCAAACAAACAAATGTCTCATTACTCTGTGGCATAGTTTCTCTCTAATCTGTTTCGTAAAGTAGGTACCTACACTGTGTTTTAATCTTAACAATTCGATTTAAGAGACATTATATTATTTTGTATTTCTTTGTTATTGAATGTTGTATATATTGAATGTTTTATTCTTTAAAATTAAGTGTCCATAAATTTTTTTCTTAATATATACAAAGCATCGGGAATGTTAATACGTATTGAACTGATTATATGCAATATTAACTATAAAAATTCAAGATGATTTTCTCTGATCGTTTTTGTCAGTGGATTGGACATTTAAAGTTATCCCGTGTTGTAATTTGTGTCTCTGTTATTTTATTCCTAGTACCTTTTGTTACTCATTATTATTTGTCTAAGGTAATGCAGTACTTTTATAACTGAATTTTTATATGACTTACTATAAAGTTAAATTACCAAATTTTTTGAGCCGGTTGGAAAAAATAATAGTAATAATTAAATATCTGCTTCATTATAATTTTTGTAATCCATTATTTACTGCTGAACCTAGATCTACCTCCTCATACCTCCTGTATAAACTGACTGCTTGTAATGCTTTTGATTTCGTTAATTCATATCTATTGTTACCCATTGATTATTGATTGTTTTTGCTATGTAATTGGTCCATTATGACTTCAGCTTATATATGTACAAAAAGCAGCATTGGTTACAATTTAGCTATCAAAATTTAGAATTACCAAACAAATATGAATAGTAGAGCTATTTCATGGATATGCTATAATTTTATTAGCTATGAATTATTATAGAATTTAATGAAAATTTAAACAAATAAATAATTGAACTGACCATAAAACATGGTTTACTGAAAGAGATATCTCTTAAAGTTGTCTTTTGTTCACATTAATATGTAAATTTAATATATAAATGTTTTTCCGAGTGCAATTAAGATTGTATTATTTCTATAAATCTTGTTTACCTGTAATTAAGTTCTATAAAAACACTAGTATAAATTTGTTTAAATAAACTATATTAAAATATATTGATTTCATACTTACTATAAAAATGTATATGTTTAATGTGTATGTCTTATATATAACATCCTATTTTTTTGGTAATGCTCTTGAATATAGATGAATGTTCATTACTAAAATGGAGTTCTAAGTGTTACAACCTGGTTAGAAGTTGGTTATAATTTTGCTTAGCTTTCTATTTTTATAACACAGATGCCAATTGGAAGTCTATTTAAAATATGAAGAATATTCTTCTAGAATAATATTTTGGAATTTTACAGTATGAATCAACATTGGGATCTTTGGGCAGCAATCCAATGCGGCACACTTTGGAAGCCCTGGGTGATTTTTCCACCATGAATGTGGTTGATCTTAAACTTAGAATCGAAGAGATGCTTAGAATCAAAGTGAGTTTTAGCAGTAAGTCACAGATTCCTCATGATAAAGCTGCATTATTATAAAATTTTTATAATCAAAAAGTCTGTATATACCAGTAGTAATAATAGTTTCTTATTATAAGTAATGGCTAAGGATACTAAGACAGTTCTTAGAATGGATATCTGTTTGATAAAATAAAGCATTTTTACAACAGTTATCTGTCTGAGAAAATGTTTGTTGACATTAGAATAAAAGTCAAGAAATAAAAAAAAATATATAAATTTAATAATCTTATTATAAATTTAATAGTTAAATTTGATTAAGCTTGATTAAAACACTGTTTTGGAAAGGACAATGAAAATGCTGGGAAATATTTTCATGTCATTATTTGTTCTCATCTAACATGTGGTGGAACTGGCTGTTAATAAACAAAAATTAAATATTTCTTTTGATGCTGTGAGATTTAATACTTTTTATTTTATATAATAGGATGATAAACAAGCTAGATATATATTGCACCACAGGTATCACAGAATGTCCTGAAACATTCACTATATCCTCTATGCATGTGTATTTCTGGGTACTACAGTGTTATGCCTCTGTGCTCTGCATTTTCACCTCCATATTCCACCCTTCAAACACAAACATGAAAAACAGCCATGCAAGCACAGCTGTAGAGGTCAGAATCCACTGATGGTGGGGGGAAGGGATCGTTAGTAATGCGGGCTACCAGTCTCATTGCTAGTAATATACCCTGTCAGGTCGACCTCCATGCAGTTCTCCCTGGAAACCATCGTGCTGAGTTCCAGCAGTATTCATCACGATGGGCTGACTGACCTGTTTTTTCATTATTCACCTATCTTCCCTCACTGGCGCCCCGCCAGCGTATACCGTTAGCACAGGTGGGGTTATCACTCCATTCATCATCCATTAAAAAAAACCACTGATGGTGAAACTTATTTATATAATTAAACAGATTACTATTTAATTAAGTATCAATTTATTAAGATAGATACTATTGACAATATTATTACTTATTTTAATATTTTATGTATTAAGTAACCTTTCTTTTAGGCCTCTGTGTCCACTGAACTGCGGGAGTTGGAGGCGCGCCGCAGTCGGTTACAGCGTGAGGCAGCTGCGGCCAGCGCTAAAGCAGATAGTGCAAAAGCAGAACACGCTCGCGCCGCTGCTGAGCTGCAACGGCTACGCGTCTCCGCCGATCAAGCACGGCTTGCACAGCTCGAGGCGATTAGACGTGATTCTCCTGAATTAGCTCCTCCTATACAAATACTTCCATCGCGACCGCCTCCTGTCTTGCCCACGGTGAGCTCCTCATCCGAAGTCCATTGCCGAATGTTTTCTTGTTTTGACCATTCCCGTTGCTCCTTGACGTCGGGCTTTCCTGTCTACTTTTATGACCCAGATATCTACGCTCCACTGGCTGGGGCAGAAGTGGATGGTTTTCTTAAAACAACTCTTCGTCAAACACTGGGCTATAACGCGCACCTTACACACAATCCGAATGAAGCGTGCATTTATCTCGTCCTCGTAGGTGAAGCTTTTCCATTCGACAAAAATCCCTCGTAAGTTACTTTCTTATCAATCTTTTTTTAATTATTCTATAACTGTATAATATTTAAGTCGTACATTTTTAATTTTAGGTCAACTACAGAATCATATAAATTGTTGCTGAACGAAACGGCGGTTAAGAGTCTTCCATTTTGGGGAGGCGATGGTCGTAACCATGTATTATTGAACCTAGCTCGACGGGAGTTGGCAGTCGGCTCTGGTGATGCTTTTCGAGGAGCGTCTATAGGCAGAGCACTTATCGCTCAGTCGACATTTACGCACGAGTATTTCAGACCCGGTTTCGATATCGTGACACCACCTGCTCTAGGTCCGCCAGGCGGTGACGTGTGGGTAGATTGCGCACCTATAGCACCTGCGAGACGCAAATATTTACTCAGGTAAGTTATTTTAATTTTAAATATAGATAAACAATCATTACGTGTTTAAATGTTTATTGCTAGATAAATTTACTGCTCTTTAATATAAAATGTAAAAATTATTATATAATTTTTTATGTTTAAATTAAGATATTTTGATATGCATTCATAAGCTACGTTTAGTTTTCAGGGCTCACAACCTCCAGCAAAGGGCCGAGATAGAGACCAAGACAAAAATCTTATTGAGTACCTTCAAGGAATAGAGAAGGCTGCGCCCTCACAAGACATGTTCTTTTTGCAATTTGAATGCGACCCACCTGTAGAACGACGTGCGGTACTGCACATCGGAGATTGGGCGCTTTGTGGTACTGACCGTTCGCGACGAGCGATTCTACGGGATTCCACATTCGTACTTATATTAGCCCCTGCTGATCGTGTCTACACGACAACTGCATTATTGCAAGCGAGGTTATACGAAGCTCTAAGGTCAGGAGCTATACCCATTATATTGGGAGGTGACAGAATTCGGTTGCCATATGATGAAGTACTAGATTGGCGAAGAGCGGTTTTAACATTACCGAAGGCACGTGTCACAGAATTACATTTCTTGTTACGGGCCATATCGGATGCTGACTTGTTGACGTTTCGGAGACAGGGTCGCGTATTATGGGAGAGATATCTCAGTTCGGTGCAGGCGAGCGTAGACTCTTTGTTGGCAACTATACGAACTAGGTTAAACATACCAGCACAACCGGCGGCGCCAACAGTAGGATTGCCCGCGTTTAACGACTCATACTCTCCACCGAAGTCAGAACCTCAATTGGTGGAGGCAGAGCAAGACGAGACTTTGGGTCCACTCGAGGCACCATATTCGAGTCCTGCTTTTCGGCGGAATTTTACTTTGGGATTATTACACGGTTACGAACTATGGAACGACTGGGGCGAGCCGTTCGCATTATATCCGCAGTTGCCGTGGGACCCAGCGGTGACATCGGAGGCGCGTTTCATGGGATCAGCTGCAGGCTTTAGACCGCTGGGTGCTGGAGCCGGCGGGTCCGGCAAGGAGTTCAGCGAGGCACTAGGTGGTGACCGTCCACGTGAGCAATTCACTGTTGTCATACTCACGTATGAACGTGAGGCAGTACTGGCTGCTGCGCTGACGAGACTTAGAGGCCTTCCATATTTGAATAAGGTTTGTATTTGTAATGTTAGTCATGTCATTTTGTTGTTATAGTGTATGGACGTAATATTTTATTGTCTTATTAACTGTGATAAAACACACCAATGTTTAACTTGAACAGTCACTTGTGTATCTACTTAATGCATATGCAGGCAAATGTGTTGTCCTGTGGTAATTGCTAGACAGTAGTCAGCACTTTTACATTTATTCACTTTGTCTGTTTGGAACATTTTTATTGTTACGTTTTTTATGATATGTAGAATGGCAAATAAGCTTACGATTTACCTGTTGGAAAGTGGTAACCGTCGTTTATTAACGTGAACATTATCACAGATATCTCATAATAAATATGCCTTTTGGACTATATTTTCTCTTGGTAAATAGAGTTCTTTAAATAGATAGATAAGCACTTTATTTGAACCATTCATGACACACGTAAATTAACAAATGAATTCATACAATCAAATTAATTACATCTTTTGAAATATAAAACAAAAAATAAAATATGAAAATATGTTTTCGCCATGTGTGTCGCAGTAACTCAAATAAATAAAAAAATAGACGTAGCTAACGATTATATTATAGTATACGAGTAGTAAACATTTTATAGTATAAGTAAGTATAGGTAAGGGTGGTGGTTGTTTGGCGGGGGCAGGTGGTGGTGGTGTGGAACGGGCCGTCGGCGCCGGGCGCGGCGACGTGGCCGGAGAGCGGTGCGCCGGTGGTGGTGGTACGCGCGGCTCGCAACTCGCTCAACAACCGCTTCCTGCCCTTCCACCTCGTCGACACCGAGGCCGTGCTCTGTGTAGACGACGACGCGCACCTCAGGCACGACGAGATCGTCTTCGCGTTTAGGTGAGACCATAAACTGTGTAGTGGTAGCCATACACGATCATGATGTGCTATGTGGTTCCGGCGTAGAAAGAGCCGCCCATTCCTTTCCCGTGGGTCTCTTAAGAGGCGACTAAGGGAACTTAATGGTCGAGAGACGCGCAGCAGTACCCCTGTTTTTTTTTTAATCAATGATAATGGATTTGTAACTCCGCTTGTGCCAACGGTACACGCTGGCGGGGCATTAGTAAGGGGTGATAAGTGAGATTGAAAGGGCAGGTCAGTTAGCCCATAGTGATAAATACACCCGGAATTCAGCACGATGGTTTCCAGGGAGATCACGTGGAGGTCGACCTGATAGGGTATATTGCTAGAAATGGGACTCATAGTCCGCATTACTAACAATCCTTTTCCCCCCTAGCACCCCTGTTTAAACACCAAGGCTTTACTGGTGTTGCCAATCTGCCTGTCAAGCGTGGCAAAACCCACTAATAGGGGGAGCCCTATGTTCAGCAGTGAACAATTAACGGCTAGTATGGATACACGATCATGAAATGTTTAACCCGAATTTACATATATATTTCCGAGCCACTTCTAATATAATTGGCAAGCTACTACTAAAATTTCAATGATGTTTATAATAAATATTATTTAAGTTTTTTTTTATTGTTAATTGAATCTTTTTTATATCTCTAATATAAAATATATATAAGAAAGGTTACAATAACAAAATCAAATATTTTCTGCGTCTTTGTTGATACAATCGTGGCTGGCGATTTTGATCGGTATTTGAAGTAGTTTTATAGTGAATTGATTTCCAATAACAAGAAAGAATGAATATATTTGGTTATTAGCTTAAACTATACGAGGAAAAATTTCTATCAATTAAAAATTATTGTTTAAGAATGACAGTTATACACAATTTTATAGCGTATTATTAATTACGGTGGATCTAAAAAAGCTAATAATTGTCAACTGTAGGCATGAATAAAGATTTGTGCTATGTAGATTATAGTACATAATTACATTTGCAGGGTATGGCGTGAGCACCGTGATAGGATCGTAGGATTCCCCGGCCGGTACCACGCATGGGACCTCAACTACAATAATGGATTCCTCTACAATTCAAATTACAGGTATCTAATCATCTTGCTTGTTTTGAGTATTAATCCGTAATGGCTTACTATCGACTTATATATCCTAAAGGTAGATTTAAATCTATCTGGATATATTGTTTCTTCAGGATCGGCAACACGCTAGGTACAGTAACCGTTTACCATCAGGCGGGCTGTATGCTTGTTTATTGTGGTATAAAAAAACTGTGTGTGTCCATTTAAATCTTCGGCTAACCAGCTGTTGATTAAAAACACTGTTAATAAACGAAATTACTTCCAGATACAACGGTGTGTTTAATACCTTCCACAATTTGTTCAGTCAATCTTATTCGAGTTTCACGAACTGCTTGAACCTGTTATCTGTTGTATCTGAATATCTGGAACCTGTTACGAACATGAAAGCATTGACCGCATATTGATAAGTAGTCCTGTTTACGTAGAAGCATTGAAATCTTATGAATACTGTAAGTCGTAGAATACTGACGGATCTGACGAAGATTACGTATAAAGATCCGTTACTATTCTACGACTATGACGATATTTTATAAATCCTTTTATTAGTACATATTCGTACTGTACGGATTCTGGTATGAATTAATGAGTTACAATGATGATGTTAGCTGTGAGCTGAGCATGGTGTTGACGGGCGCTGCGTTCGTGCACCGCTACTACTTGTGGGCGTACTGGCGCGCGCTGCCCGCCGCCGTGCGCGAGTACGTCGACGAGTACATGAATTGCGAGGACATCGCGATGAACTTCCTCGTCGCGCACATCACCAGGAAGCCGCCCGTTAAGGTACGCTCTAAAATATTATATTAATATTTGTAATAAACTGGCGCTATCACATACAGATTCATTTAATGCTAGTTCGACAATGGCGGGGGGAAGGGATTGTTAGTAATGGGCAGGTTAGTCCCCATTGCTATCAATATACTTTATAAGGTCGACCTTCACGTGGTTTCCCCTGGAAACCATCGTGACTAATTTATCGTTGAATTTGTCACGAGGGGTTAACTAACCTGCTTCTTCAGCCTCACCTATTATCTCTCACTGGTGCCTCGCCAGTGTATACCGAAAGTGGTAACCGTCGCCTATAGACATGTGCAGTACCATGGACATAACAGAATATACTGTTTCGCCCATGATACCTCCCATGCGTTGCCATTCCTGAGGACTCAGGTGTTATTCCTCTGTACCCTGTAAATTCACTGTCATATCCCACCCTCAAACCGAAACACAGCCATGCAAACACAATTGCTTTACGGTAGAAACGCGAATGGGACAGAGGTACCTAAGCAATCGACTTTTGTACAGTCTCCCTCTGGTCCCTTTTTTATGTGCACTTGTCTTTACTGTTGCTTATCTCACGTGTTTGTTTTATATTCCGTAACTATGTGTGGAGACCTGTTATTGGTTATCTGTTTTTTATTATAATTTATATTTACTATTGTTGGAAAGTCTTCCAAATAAATAAAATAAAATACTAATAGTGCCATACATTCTTACCAATAATTTCGCCCTTAAGTTAAAATGCTCTGTGTTGTGAGGAACTACGCAACGAACATCCAGGGTCACAACCCAGAATACAAATTGATGAACATGTTTTTCCAAAATCTTAAATGTCATTATATATATATATATATATATATATATATATATATATATATATATATATATATATATATATATATATATATATATATATATATATATGTCTTTCGATAATAATTAATCTAGAATTATATGAATAAAGTACACAGCATTTTTTGGTTAACAAGTAATTTTACTTTATCAATTGATGAAGTTTTTTTTTATTATTTACGACTATTTGTATACATAATGAATAAAAAAGTAATAACATGTTCACAACTATGATTCCTAATAGGGTAGTCAGTGGCACTTGTTTATTGTTGTCATTGTGATGACCGTACTACTCAGCACGCCCACATTTCATTATTAGACATTTTATTATTATACATATTAGAATTGTAGTGGGCGAACCTACAACTGTCACTCAGATTACAAAGTAGTAAACACAAAGTGTTTTGGTCTGCATATCGTCCAAATAATTGCAGATAAACTGTAAATTTTTTATATAGTCCTTTGAGCCGGATACGAACCAGTGATGAATAGATATATTTAATTTGCAGGTGACTTCAAGGTGGACATTCCGCTGTCCAGGTTGTCCAGTAACGTTATCAGCGGATGAAACACACTTCCATGAGAGACATAAGTGTATTCAATTTTCTCTCAGGTAAGGAAATATTATTATATAATAATAATGCATAATGCAGATTTGAACATAGCTGCCGGTTTACTACATTTTTTAATGGTTTTTGCATGTATGTAAGTATATCCAAATTTATAAAGCAATATGTAGCCTAAAAATTTTGTTAAATTTTGATAAATGATGTGTCTGTTAATTTGTTATTATTATTGTAATGAGATTATTACGGACCACATAGTAACGGTATAAAATGAATATGGCGGCCACAAAATGTACAGAACTCATTTTACAGTCTCTGACTTTATTAAGTTCACTTGTATAGGTATGACTTTTGTAACATTTATTTCTAGGTAATGGGATACACCCCACTCATGTCAACGCAATACCGCGCCGATTCGGTGTTATTCAAGACGCGGATACCCCACGATAAACAGAAGTGCTTCAAATTCATATAGTGCTGTTACATGAAATCTTTGATCGACAATACTATGAGAACGCTATTTATATCGAGCGCGGTTCTTCAATGATTTCGGAGAAATCGAATAAAATGTTTACCTTTATATATTAAATGATTGTTAATTATATAAATAATTAGTTGATCCCGCGACTTCGTGTGTATAAAGTTACTTCATAGTTTTATACAGTATTTTTCACCGTTATTATTTTACGCCATCATTGTTGTTAAGTAGATTAAATAATATACTTGCCACTAGATGGCTTTGATAAAATAATAGTTTTAATCTCTTTGGAAAATATTGTTTAAAATTTTTAGTAGTCTATACTTTGTTTTCAGTTTCGTGTTTTACCTGAAAATCTAACACATAGATACAAAATAAAAAAATTCTGTTCAGTATCTAATTTCAGTTTTAGTTTCCTTACCATTTTATTATATGTAAAGAAGCTTACAAACAAATACAAAATACAAGTAACAAGTTCTAAACGTTGAAGTTAAGGGCAGTTTTAGAAAATATAAAATTGATTCATATGTGATTAGTTCGGTTTTCATTTATTGCGTATATACACACCATTTTGACAATAATAGAAATATTGTGAAATGCTTTTAACGAAATAAATTTTATTTCTTACGATTCGTTGTGTTCATTTGTAATAAGTAAAGAGACGGCTAGGTAGCTATTTTATATAGCAGTGTTTTTATTAGTTATTATTCAGTAGTAATCTAATGTCGAATTGTATGAAAAATACCTTATTTATGTATAATTTGTATTTTTAGGTTCTTTTTATTTCCCAAACATTATTGTTACATAATTAAAAAAATATATTGAAAGGGTTTTATTAGGAAAAAATATTATAATAAACTAATTGTATCTATACGTAAAATATTGTATAACGATACGAAATAATAGGATCAATATAAATATTTGTACAGAGTATTAAATTTGTATAGAAAAATATAATCTAGTATTTTAAATAATTTCTGAATGCACTTCGTCACTGTGTCGCTGTTACATTAACTCGATATGGTGATAGATTTTATTGCTGACTGTTGAAACGAAAGTATATTATGAATGTGTGATGAATGATGGGTATGTGTATTGTGTAGTATCTAAAATTTAAGAGCACTAGTCCTTGTGTTATGATTTAAGACTGATTAAACATTTGAGTAGTTTAGATTCTTCGTTTAATAAACATAATTATTGAGGATATAATTAAAAAAAAAAAATGTTTTACTATGATCTTTCTGCCATGAACATATCCTGGTTTACGTCTTCTATTATTCTGGAATTTGCAGAAGTTGTATGAAGTGTAACTATTAAGGTTATTTTTGTTGTAAGTGAATATACATATTCTGTCTAAATCGATTTTTTGAATTGTTCTTTTGGATTGCATTTACAGGCAATTTATATTAATACTTTGTTTAGGCTATATGTTAGTAAAATGTTGTGTGTGCTATTATTGTGTTACTTTGAGGTGTATCGGGAATGTATAACGAGCTGACGATAGGTACAAGAAAGTGTTCAACTTTTCCCAAAGAACAATGGATGAAATAGAATATTTTTGAGACTTTGATATTAATTCACCGGTTTGTGTAAAACTCACATTCATTGACAAAAATTCAGTTTGATAACTTCACACATTTTGTTTGCAGATAGAGTTTCTTTTTATATATATGTACCTTGTCTTGTGCTACGTATGCTGCACTTTTGTTCGACGAGAAATAATTTAGAGCATAAATTTTGGTCCGGTCATATATAAAACTTCTAAAATGGCATGTAACATATATACATGTGCAAAAAAAAGCTTGTGTAAAAAAGAAATTTTGTCTACGACATCTCCATCGTCTGTTCAGATCTTTTTAAATTTCATTGATAAATTTATATGCTCTTTACAGTTTATATATTTTTACTATATAATTAAATCGAATATAGGTATATACTGTAAAACAATATGAATACATGTTGTTATATAAATTACAAAATTTAATGATAGTAATTAATCGAAAGCTTCAAATTTGATGAATTAAATATTACGCAACGAACATAATTTTATGTTAATTTGTGTTTTACAGTTGTTAATAACACGTTTAAGAATAAATATAATTGTTTGTGTGATTTTCATTTGTTTAAGTAATTTTGTAAGTACACTTTATTTATTATCTGCATGCAGAATGATTTGGCACATTTGGAAATCTGGTAGAGCCGATCAATACAATCATAAAGATGGATGATGCATGTTTCTACCTCAATTATATCAAAATTAACTGTGTCACTACTAAATTACTTGTCTTGATGTTACAATTAGCACTGTACGAGTATGTAAACCTCGATCTACTCTAAACTTTTTCAAGAGTCCTGTTTTTGTCAATCCTTTAAAATTTTTTTATATAAAATGTAACATATCGGTATCAAACTTTTTCTGATATCAATTAGGTATTCTAAAAAAATATTCACATATGATGTACATTATTTGTATGATACTTATGTTTTTTAGTTTTAAAGGACCAATAAACTAGTTGGGTTTATGGGATGGTAGGGTTAAAAATTAAATAAAGACGTGCATAAATGACTAAATTAATGTTCTATATGAAAACGAAAAAATGATTTTATTTCTTAATTTTATGTAAATAGAGAATGGCTCTACCGATCGTGTGCCAAATCATCTCTTTTATTAGCTTAAATTTTTATTGTGCCATCTTGAATTAAGCTTCAAATTTTACCTCATGCATCACAGTATTTACTTGTAAGTTATGTTTATCTAACGCAGTCTTTTTTTATTTGTAAGTTCATAAGAGGTTTTGGTTTGGGAATAAATAGATTTTTCATTAAAAAGCAGATAATTCATATAAGTCCAAAATATTAGTTATGACATTAATATTTTCGTTAAAATGAATATTTTCTCGCCAAGTAGCTTACAATGTAAGCAGAGAGAGAGAGAGAGAAATTTGTTTAAAAAAATTTTTTGTTTGTTATGTTTATGATATAATATTATAAAGTTGATATCATATTTAATCCCATTTCATCCTCTACAGTACTTTATGAATAAAGTGTATTTATATATAAAATTATATCATGATAAATATCTAATAATATGTATGTACATAAACAGGAATTTTGGTTTATAATCACGTAGACATTTGTTTTTAAATTGAAATGTTTATTAGTTTAATGATTGCAGAAATGAATATTTAAATAAATGTACATAATTTTATTTGGCATGTTTTTATTTAACACTGTTCTACTTAACGGCGTAAATATATACAGAAAGCATTGTGTGCAAAAGGTCTTTATTCTCAAATACATCTCTTGCTTCATGTAACTCTCTACTGACTTCAAAAAGAAGGAGATTCTTAATTCAGTTGTACTTTATTATGTTTGTTACCTCATGACCGTGTCAGTTGTAAACCGATTTACAATTTTTTTTATGTGAATATACTAACAGAATGGTCCCATAAATGTTTTATCAAAATCGGTTCAGTAATTTAGTTTTTAAATTAAAATAGTATCGTTATTCGAAATTAATTCAAGTCGGTTTTTTCGTGGAATACATTTTTAATTATGGACTTGTTTAAGGTAAATGCGCCGGTTCCGCAGACTTAATTGTGACTAGAATTGTGTAACAATTATTATATTAATATACGTACTATACATAGTTACCTATTGTTATTGTGTAATAATACTACTACAAAGAAAATAATACATGCATATCAGGTATGTTTGTCCTTAAGTTAGTCATATGTTTCATAGTACTGCGGTGGTCGAGGGAATTGATACAATAGAGTAACCGCAATGCGCTTCTGGTGTTAATTACTTAAGCTACTGATGTGATAATATTACGTGCCCCGTGTAATTGTATATCGCGCAAACGTGACAGTCGTATTAACCCGACGCCTGGTGTAAAGTGTAATCCTCACATTTATATATTTGTCCTTACAGTATTCACATAAAGTAGTTATGTTATAATAACTGCACATTTTAGGTAAATACTGATTGTACTTCGATATTTTGTCGAGAATAATCAAGTATTGTGGGGACTGGGTCCCTTAATGTGAGTTATAAAAAAAATATGTTACCGTTTATGTCAATAAATTTGTTTTTAAAACATTGCTGCTTCTCTAATTTCTATTTTAATCTTTTAGAAAATCGAACTTTCGTGCAAAACAATACGACGTTATCAAAATTGATACTGTAATCGCGTTCTAGCCATGGAAGTTGATTCTGGGTGTGGGTGGTTTATTAAGCATGCGAGAAGTTGCTGGTTCTATGGTGATCCAATGTAGCACATCGAATATGCTTACGATTGTAATCCTATTTCGAGTAGCCCGAGGAAATCGACGACTATTGCTGTTGTACGAGGTTTGTCCGGAAAGTACGTATAAAAGTTTTTTAAAAATTTTATTTTACAATTATTCAGGTAAATCAATTTTATCCCCTTCAAAGTACTCCCCCTGTGACATAATGCACTTGTGCCAAAGCCGTTTCCACTGTGAGAAGGCTCCTTGAAAGTCCTCTGGTTGTAGGTTTCTCAGCTGCCCCGTCGTAGCTTTTTTTATCTCATTTATGTCCCCCAAATGCCGCCCCCGAAGTACCAATTTGGTTTTTGGGAACAAGAAGAAGTCACACGGGGCCAAATCCGGCGAATAGGGGGGTGTTCGGTCACCGTAATGGAATTTTTACTCAAAAACTCACGGACAACAAGAGAGGTGTGGGCAGGGGCATTGTCGTGGTGAAGAATCCAACGCCCCTCTCGCGCCAATTCTGGACGAACTCGTGCCACACGAGCTTTGAGGCGTCTGAGCACATCGACGTAGAATTTTCCATCAACTGTCTGGCCTGGAGGGACGAATTCTTGATGGACAATCCCCCGAACATCGAAAAAAACAATCAACATTGTCTTGACATTTGAGCGGGATTTTCTTGATTTTTTTGTTCGTGGTTCCCCGGATGTCTTCCACTCTTTGCTTTCACGGCCATTCTTGCCGAGTTTCGAGAGAAACTTGATTACGACGCGCTGCTCTTCAACGGAAGCGGGCTCCATGCCGACGGGGTTTCGTTAAGAGGTAACTTCACAGATGGCGTGACAAGCCAGTTCGCACCGCACGGCGGTCAGACCAGAACTGAAGCATTGTTAGGGACATAAGGAAGGGGTCCTGCGCTTACCTGGCCTCCCCACTCCTCTTTCTCGCATTCCAGAACACTTTTATACGAACTTTCCGGACAGACCTCGTATTGCATTTTATGCTACTTAGAATGGTAAACAAGTTTACGGCCCACCTGATAGAAAATGGTAACCGTCGCCTATAGACATGAATAGTATTAAGGACATAACAGAGTATATTGTTTCGCCCATTATACCCTCCCATGCGTTGCCATTCCTGAGGACTCAGGTGTTGTTCTTCTGTACCCTGTAAATTCACTGCCATATCCCACCCTTCAAACCGAAACACAGCCACATACACAAACACAATTGCTTTTTGGTAGAAACACTAATAGGACAGAGGTGTCTTGTACAAAGTTTCCCTCTGGTATCTATTAATGAGGTCACAAATGTCGGGTTATAATTGAAATAAAACAATGAAATAAACAAAATATTTATATGTTTATTGAAAATTTTCTTATGCTATATATTTAATGTGAAAGATAGTTCCACATAAAGCTACCTAGCGAGTTTTGCAGCTCTGATACAGAATAATTCGAATCATAATCGTACATTTTGAACACGTATTCGTTACCAAAATTTTTCGTGCAATGTTGGTATGTTTTTATAAAGACACTTAACATGCTTATATAATCTACAATAAAGGTACATAATAAGTAAAGCTGAGTAATTATCATCTAAAATGTATATTTAAATTCTTAAAAAATTCTTAATGTATCTTAAACTTCATTAAATAAAAATCTCGAATAGTATAAAACTTATGATTAAATATAATTTAGGTGAACTTGGTTAGTGGTATGCAGGGTGGTAGGTACGTGGCAGTATAAAGATGACCCTATTTACTTATTTAGTGGATATACATTATGAAAACAACAGTTTCCTATATAAACTACAGTGGTATTGCTATTATTTAAAATAGGTACATTGTGCTAATGCGAACTATATGGAAAATACTTCGGTCCGTGATTTTATTCGTGTAAATATTTATAAAATTTCACATTTTGGGGCTGTATACCGAGTACTCAGACCGACTTAGTATAAATTGAATACAATTTCTTATTTGAGAATCATTTTCACAAAGTCAAACTTGCACTACAATGCTCTAAAAATAAATTTGCATTAAATTGTGGCAACAAAAATACATAATAAATAAGCAGTGCGTGATTGCTTTATTTAAAAATTTCAACCTCATGCAGTTGTCGGTAATATTTTTGTAATTTGTTATTATGTTGTGAAAACTAACAGCTTTTATTATGATATAGTTTACGACCTTCTTACACTTAAATTACTTAATAAGTATAAGTAGCATAACACACTTTTAGGGTTTTTTTTTAATACAAAATATAAAAAAAAAAAAATATAACGCAATACTCATACAATTTTAGGTATAACTAACATACATGAGATAATAAAAAAAAATGTTAGTCGTTTTTGGTGATAGGCAGTGATCATAGAGCGCTATTTCTTGATGCATACTGCCATAATGAGCAAAAAATTTTATTAAAAAATAACACCGAACATATTACAATTCATACTTAACAGAACAAAATCCAGCTGCATTTGATGTTCTGTTCTTACTTCTTAATAGCTAGGTTGTTCCATTTGGATTTTCATAAGCGATGCGTAGTGAGCGGGTAGTGCCGTGTGTCGCGGGGCACGGACACGCCGGCGAGCGGTGCGGCGCGGGAGGCCGCTCCCGCTACGCGAATCCCTCAGGCGAGGTCTTCAGCTTTGCTGCCGTCCAATCGCTTTAACTGTTTTAAACATGTATTGTTAGTTTTGTATTTGGATTATCGTTGTACATAAGGCATCCGTTAGAGAATAGGAAACGATCATTTATAATTAGTGTTGCCAGATCTAAACCAAAAGAGTTTGGAGAAAATGTAAAAAAACAATATAGAGAAGATAAATGCTTAATCAATTATCTGATACTCGGGTTATGAGTGAAGAAAGAAAGACTCTGTTTTCCGCACTTAGCCTCCCATTTGGGCCGTTGTGCGTGGTTATGAGTGAATAGACAAATAGTATTTGAGAGAACAATCCAGAATAAGCAGATCGGAGTCAGTTCAGAAAACTGTTTCTGCCTATTTTCATTTCTCGATTTAAAAGAGGGTAATTTTAAATGAATTAACTATTTAACAATAATATTTAAATATGAACTCTAACAGGGCAACACTGTCAATTCAATACGTAACATCTAACATTAACTTTTATTTAACACAATTTTTATATACAGTAATTTTGGGTGAATTTCAATTTTTATACAGTATAGAATGACAGACAATCGTAATCTATAGACATGAACAATAACAATCGACATTATAAAATAAGCTGCAGTGGCCACGATTATACATATGTTGCCAGTCCAGTGGAATAAGTCAGAATTCATAATTAGTGGTGACTCAAATTCATATATATTTACATATACCTATATTTAAAAAAAATGTGTGTTATGATAGGTAGGTATGATACGTATAAAATGTACATCCTTTACACCTGATACAGGTGAATAAAGATTGTTTTGTAGGTGTATTAATGCTGTTATTATGTATAAACATGTATTGCCTACTTATAATTATAGGCTTTACCGGCAATTAGGTAGTCGGCACAATTAAAAAGAAATTAAACCTTATGTATTAGAATGCTTACGCCTTGTTCAACGGTCCACGCAGCGGGCGCTAGACGTCCAGTACGCTTGTAACGTGATATTAAAGCTTAGATATACGGTTAAGCATATACTTATTAAAAAACAATCCATTTTATTTTATATTCAAACATTGCTTTAGGGTTGAGACGACGCGACCTTGCTATTGTATGCTAACTACCGATATTAAATGACTCTAAATTATCAAGCTTTGCGAAGTCGTAAATAGCTTCCTGAGTTAGATACTATCTACCTACATTAATCTAATAATATCTGTTAATTTCGATTTAGATTAAAGGTACAATAGGGTGGCTTTATCTAATAATACAGATACACGTCCTTTCTATGAATCTACCGGTACTATCACAAATTGACTTGATAACTATTAATATTTACTAATTCAAAAATATGTTTTATGAAATAGGTACAGGAATATTACATCTATTGTATATAAGTATTATATAGTATCACAGTTTTGTTCACAAGTTTGCTGTGTGGCCCAGGCTAAGAAAGAGCCATCCCTTCCTTTCCCGTGACGGTCGTAAGAGGCGACTAAGGGAACTTAATTATTTAGAGACGGCCGCAACATCCCACTTAAAATATCATCAAAGCTTGCCAAGCGTGGCAACTACTGGTAAAACCCCCCTTTGGAGGAGATTCATGTTTAGCAGTGAATAGTTAACGTAACGTAATTATACAAGTATCATAGATCACAATAATTACTCGTAGATAGTCTTATGTTATCCACAATCATAGCTTGATTTATAGAATTGAACCGGGATCTCGTTTACGCAAATAACAGCAACATCTTGACCACTGCGCCATGGGCAATATTGTTATACTAAGGCACATGTGTAGACATTCTATTGTTTCGCCAATTGAATAATTGTAAAGCATTCCAAGCGTTAGATGCTTTTAATGTACTTATGTTACATATAAATTCTTTGAGTTTTGTGAGTAGTACATTGAATAAAAATGATATATCTTGAAATATTTAATTTCCTAGCTATTAGGTATTATCAAAGCTTTACTTCACCGGTGGTCTTTTTTGTGACATGGTAATTACCTCCTTCTCGTCGCCAGCTACCGGCCTGTACTTAGGAGTTTCTACCGGAGATGCTGAGAAGCCGTGAACGTAGAGCAAGGCGGCAGCCACACCACCAGCGATCGGTCCAGCCCAGTACACCTGCACCAAACATTGTAACTTTAGATTATATAGACAGAGTGTCTCCATACAAATACTTCGAGAAAAACGGGTCAACTTTTTCATACAATTTTGCGTGATAAATAGTTATAAGTGATTGCTTTATAAATTTTATATTTATTTTGTCTTATAAATTCTGCTTTTTTTAATGCGTGAATACTCATTTTATTTATTAAATAATACGTCAAGATACATTTTATGCGTAAGTATATAGAATACTGATAAAAAAAAAACGAGTCAGCTAACACAACAAGACAAAAAGTTGACCCGTTTTTGAGGCTCGATGTTCTATCTTATAATCTAAGATTGTAACGTTAGGAGCACCTCTTGTAATTAGTCCATAATGGTACTCACTTGGCGTACCCATATTCCATTTCCGAATAAAATAATATAAACTATTTTATACGCCGTTTATAAACATTCCTTGAAAATTATTACTAGGTACAATATATGTTCTCACTGGGTTGAAACTGTATTCCTAGTGCTTAAGACCGTAGGGTCTTAAGTACTAGGAATACATGGGTATCGATGCAATAAATGATTCAATTGTATTATCCTATCTAAGCACTATCACTGGTTTTTGGGTTCGACAGGATACATCATCTGGCTTAACGTGAACGCTTAGTTAGTGACTGATTTATTATAATTTCTTTATCGTTCACATAAATACAGTAATAATATCAGTTATTAAAAATACCTAATATCAGCACAGGTGAATTTATTTCTATTTATGTGAATTTTTTTATGATATGTTTAATTAAAATATTAAGATTAAATTGACATAAATAATATGGGACTAGACTTAAAATTGAAGAAAATCATGTGTTCTTACCCAGTGGTCAACCCATTCATTGGCGACAAGCGCGGAGCCGAATGATCTAGCAGGGTTCATGGCTGAGCCGGTGTAGTCGACGGCGAGCAAGTGGCCAAGAGTTACCGTCAGTCCGATGGTCAGCGGCGCTGTCGCCTTACTGTCAGGCTTGTTGGGGTCGCATACCTGAAAGCATAATAAATGATATACAAAAACCCTGTTTTATGAAAGAAAGGCGTAGATGGATCACTGTTGAGCATCTTTATTGTCTTATTAGTCTAGCCAGCAAGCTACTTGGGCAAAAATCATGTTTCTCAAATACGACTCGTAGTTATTAATGTTTGTTGGAGTATTCGATTTTTTCCAAGGGGAGGCGGTCCCATTAAAAAGGCGCGTAAATATATTATCAGACATATCTTTACGCGTAGCTGAAAGCTTCATTCGTATCCTGGGATTAGCACCAAAATATTCTGGAGTGGGCACGGCCTTTACGGCCCCTTTTCCAATACGCCTATGTAAACGTTCATAAAGAAATCTATTCTATATAAGATCTTAAAGAAAATAAACTTTTAGAAAGTATAACTTAGGTAAAACTTGTACGTACTCAATAGAATAATTGACAATTTCAAATCAGCAATTGCTTCAGGAATATGTTTTTTATCGTCCATATTTTATGAATATGGATAAAATTGTCAACTCCACAAATAATAATATATGTGCGCGGCATCTCTTGTGCCGCTAGTATTTCTCAGACCTAAGGTCAAAATACCTCATACATGGAGCTAATAGTCTCAGTTGATTGTTGATTTTACCAGAAAAGATAATGTTTACGGCTGCAGATACATAATAACAATAAAAATATTAATCTCATATTACCTAAGTAAGTCATAAAGTTCAATTGTTTTTACCTACATATTAATTCTGATCTAATGTAGCAACACTAGTTACTAACTGTAGTTTTGCCACTATTATCAAATCGCAGCTCTAGCTCAAAAAAGTCAACAGATAACCATAATAGCTTTGGGGGAAAGGGATTGTTAGTAATGGAGACTGAGAATCCTATTGCTAGCAATATACCCAACTAGGTCGACCTCCTCGCGGTTCTCCCTGGAAACTATCATGGTTAATTCCTGATGAATTCATCATGATGGGCTAACTGGCCTGTTTTCATTCTCATCTATCACTTTTCATTGGTGCTCCGCCAGCGTATCCCATTAGCGCAGGCGGGGTTACCATACCATTTTCACCCATCAAAAAAAAAAACCACACAAGCGTTAATCTCTGCAAGGTAACTATGTTGAGTGAAAAAAGACACGCTATTTCTAATGAAAACTTTGGGTAGGTATTTATTGATTATGATAATATTTATGGTATTACATTTCGCGAACAAAGTAGATATTTGTATCGGAGTTCAACACGCGATTCGTGAATAAAATACGTTCACAAAAATTAAGCATCTTTTGTTAGACAAATTACCCATTCTATTAATTAATCTGATTAAACTTTACGAAATTGCAATATTTCTGTCGTATAAATAGAGTTAAAGATTTAACGAGCTTTAGGTATATCAGTTATAAGTAATGGACGAAAATGGAATAGTAAAACAGTAGAACTCGTCTCGCTGTTGCTTTATGTTGGCGTGGTAATGACAAGGGATGATAGCTGAGGTTTATCCTTATAAGGCTATACAAACACTCGTACCTACAGTTATTTTAGGGAGTCGAAGGTTTTTAATTTTAAATTTGAGCTATTTTTTATGCGACAACCTTCGTACATATATTTGTTATATTGACTATGTTATTCATTTACTGTGTATGTGTGTGTGTGTTTTTTTTTATATATCATATTATATTATACATATATGTATTCGTTACTAGTTTAGTTGTTTAGTTCCATTTTCTTTGCCAATTTTAGTTAGTATATTCTTTGTAAAATTTGGGGAGCGGATGTTAGTAACGGAGACTAGCAATCCATTTGTTAGTAATAAAATATATTGCTAGTCAGGTCGACCTCCACGTTGGTTTGGTCTGATTACTTTTAGACGAATGGATCACGTTGTGGTATTAATTAATAGCTGAAATGTTGCTGTTGATAAAACCAGTGAGAATACGATAATAAGGTAAGATCAGAAGTTTCATTGTAACCAATTCGTCAAGAATTTCTGTAAAGGATAAATTGTCCATTACTGAACATGGGTAACTTCTATAAACCGGTCTAAGGAATGGTCCACACCACCCAATTCTTACGCTAACATAAACCTATTTTTACTCAAAAAAAAAGTTCATTATCTGATGAACGTCTTATCAAATTAGGCTTGACCATCACTAAGTCATGTATTTATGTTTTTTAAATATAATACTTAGGCGATATATAAAGTAAACTGTCATTACAAACGTTAAATATGGTCTAGTTAAATGACCTATTCACTATAGGTACATTAAAAGGGCCTAATGATACTAAATGGTAATCGTGTATTTAATCTTTAACGGCCAATGTAGTTAATGTAAGTAGCGTACTTCTATGTACAGTTACTATTTGATCATGGAATTATACATAGACAAAAACTAAAAACATTGTTATCTATCGTTGTAATGTTATTTAACTAATGTTAAAAAAGTTTGTCCTCATCGGAAGAGAATATTGGTAAAAGAACCTATTTAACAATTATTGTGTTACTAGAAGTCAAAAAACAATATCTGCCTAAAACATAATTACCTAAGAACTTTTATGTAGATGGCTATAATAATTTAATCACACCCAATTTATTCATACCTCGTTATACGATTGTTCGATTAACAAAATTAAAAATCAATCAGGGAGATATTAGGTAATATATCCTTTAATTCTATTAATATATATGAAAGTTTTTAAAAATGTTTTAATATATCTGTAAATATATATACATTATCATTACGCCAGCCGTTAACTGTTCATTGCTGAACATATATTCATGTTTGGTAGGCGGGTTGGCAATACTATATATACATACATACATAGTCCACACAAATACGCGCGCATGTACACACATACACATACATGTACACATGTACACATGTAAGAAGATAAATATTCAATAAGATTAAAATCAATGATAATAATGTAAGTAGTTAGTCATATAGGTGTTAACTGTCATTACGAATGAATCATAATAGTAAAGAAAAAAAAAACATTGTTACAATTTATCATTTATGTACCTAAGTAGATAAATACCTGACACTTCTGATTCCGAAGGTTAATAATATAATATTATATATTCATAAATTATACCAGTTTTCAATGTCGGACAGAAATGTAATTATGAAAAGTTATTCATCTACAATATAAAATTATCGATGATGTCTAGGTATTGAACAATATTTAAGAATTAAATTCCACATTTTCCAAATCTAATTTAGTCAAAATAGATTCTTTTGTATAAAAAATAAAGTAAAAATGGCATATCATTCGGCCGGATATTAATTTACTTTTATTATTTGAAACGTTATATTCAGGCATAGATAATATAATACGTGCCTAGATACTAAGTATTATAGTTTTTTTTCTCAATGTTCTGTACCTAAAGTTTCCTCTTTTTCAATAGACTTCAAAGAGAAGGACGTTGTTTGTTGCCTTATAACTTCGTTAGTTGTAAACCGATACGGAAAAATATTTTTATATCTGTAAGGATATACTCGTACATATATAATGGTTCCATAGATATTTTATCAAAATCGGTTCAGTAGTTTAGTTTTTAAATAAAAGTAACTGGATTTGTCATAGAGTTGTTTTTTTTTTTTTGGTGAACACAGTCTTTATTATATTGTAACTAGTGCAATAAATTATAAACAAAAAAATATAGACATGAAAAAATGATTTCAGATTTTTTTGATGATTTCAAATTTGAGTGGGCCTAGGTCTAACAAGTTAAGTTGATGTATCCTTCGCACGGATATTGTCTTAGAAATTCTTCCTGAGCCTCTTTCATTGAAATTTTGATAAAATCATAATATTCGTAGTTAGTACATTGTAAAAAAAAAAAAGAATTTTCCAAGTCGGTTTACAACACATACCGTTATGAGGCAATAAGAATTAAAAAAAAAAAACATACAACCGAATTGAGAACTTCCTTTTTTAAGTAGATTAAAAAAGTGTATGTCTTTTTTGACTTGGGTATTTGCTCTTTTTTACGTGTTCTTTTTTAGGTTATGCATCACACTTTTTTTTAATTCTTTTTTAGACCGATATTTTATTAATTTAGAAGTGCCCTATTTTGTATATAGGTTGTTTATTATTTTCAACAATTTTTTTCAGTTACGGAATCACTAGGTTTTCGTAACTAAAAGAGGACAAGATTTATTAAGTACAGCTACGTACCCCACAAACAACGAAGATGAGAACAAATCCAAGGAAGAACTCAATGCCGAATCCTTGTAACGCGGTGACGTCAGTCCCCAGTGAGGTGAGACCCAACTTCCCAGCTGCACGTTCCGGAGTGAACGCCTTCAGCAGACCAGAGCCAGCAGCAGCGCCAGCGCATTGGGCAATCACATAGAGTACCGCCCTCACTGGTTTTACACGACCTGCTGATGCTAGTCCGACGGTCACCGCTGGGTTGAGATGTCCACCAGATATGTGGCCTATCGCCTGAAGGCAAAAAAAAGTTTGTTAATAAGGTTGCAACATTTCATTCTGTATTTATTTACTGATATCCAAGTAAGTAGAGATTAGAGAGAGACTAGAAGGAGGTTTTGTATAAAAGTCGTTCGTTGGATACTTCTTTTCCACTTTTGTTTCTACCGTTAAACAACTGTATTTGAACAGTACATGAACAGCAGTATAAATTTACAAAAAAGGTCGCAATGTATTTTGTAAGATCCATAGCGCTGTTCACGTATAGTGACGGTTGTCACTTTTCAACCGGTGGGTCAGTAGATAATAGAAGTAAGTTGGTATTTTTTCATTATTTTTAGGGCCTGTCAAAATATAAATCTTTATAATAGCTTTTAACCGCGACCTTGTTCACGTGACCGGGATATTTTCACTGAGCTGGATAAAAGTAACCTACTTGTATGTCTTTCTTTATTCCAAAGAGTAACATGCCATTACTAATTAAATAATCGAAATGGTTATACGAATGAAAATGTAATTTGTATTATTTTTTATCTTAAAATAATGTTAGAACGCATTATAATAAAACAATTTTAGAGCGCTGGTGTCACATTAATGAAGTGTTTAATTTGAATGATGTTAATTCATGGTTAATGTAAATGGCAATATTTGTCACGAGATTATCCAGGGTGAGGTTAATGGGCATAGAACGTTTGCCCTACCTACTTAGTGTAATTAATGATATAACATGAACAGAAATATTTATTGCGGTGATTAGTTAATTACATTATAATTTTAAATAAGTATGTTTTCTTTTTTTTTCTCATATACCTATATTGCTTTTAATAATTTGTCTCCATATTAGATTTTGTGAGATATATCTAGAGTTATGTATGTAGCAGTGTATTGTGTTGTAGCAGTAATGTGTTGTTCTCATGATAAATAAGCTGACAGTCCACCATGATAAAGTGACAGTGGGGTTATTGTGCCTATTGACCTGAAGAGCACCATGGGTATCACAAAAGAGCTACACTGGTATCTATTCTTATGCGTTGCCATTCTTGAGGCTACTCAGTAATTTCAGTCTCGGCAATATCATTAGGTTTGGAAACTAAAGAGTTTAGTGCAATTGTAGAAATCATAGACAAACTCTTGGTATTCAGGAATCTATGCTAAAGTTTTTTGATTATGATGTGCATATGAGTATAATATTTCAGGGTTTACTGGAAGAGAACTCTTACAGAGTTAAGCTCGCCTATTGTATATTTTTATTCAAAATAAATTATAGTAATGTAATTTTTATTAATAAAATATAAATAAATATAATACTTCTATTTCTAAGTATAGGTAATGGATAATAAATATTATTAGACAAGTCGATTTCTAAGTTATCACATATCTTTCCATTTCAGATATAATCAGTAACTTTAATTATAATTTATAATTGTAAGCAATGACTCAAAGTAAAATAAGTATAAGCGTGAATAAAACATATCTTTCAACATATAAAACAAACGAAAATATAGGTTAAATAAATATTTAGATAATGCAGGTACGGCGATGGTCTTTGCACAATGTTAACTGCGCGTTATTATTACCGATCTACATTCACAATGTGATAACGTTATCTCCTTCTGTTTTCCATTATATGGGTTTCATAATAACAAAACGCAAGTTACACTCATTTACGTTTGTTTACTATGTATTTTGTGTTTATTCATTGTAAAAATTTTACAGGAAATAAAAGAAAAAAAGAATCTTCAGTCACTTTAGAATTGTAGAAAATATCGCATACATATAAAATAAATAATCTCTGCTGTGTTCCCACGTTATTTATCCATTACCCATTTTTATCCAACTTCCAAAGAAAAGACGGTAACTTTTTTCAGACATGCATAGAAAAATCTGGCTTTTAACATGACACATCATGAATTTAACACATTACGAACTTTAATAAAAGAAATGTTTTTGGATTAGTTTAACTATAAAAATTTGTAAAATTTAAGAATTGTTTTTTTATAACATCGTCATAGTCACTAGGTAACTCAGTCGATCTTTTGTTTATAATTCTTTGAGCAGACTTATAGGACTTTAATGTTATATTATATACTTTAACAGTAATGAAATAGCGATAATACGTAACGTACCGATACAGCTGCGAACACAGCGAGACCAAATGAAAGTGCGATGAGTACGATGTCCGCAGGTGCGTTTGGACCTTGGCTGATGTTTATGCACGCACCGCACCCGAATAAGTTCAGCAGCAGATTACCTGGAGAAACATATAAATCCCTGTTATAATAATGTTATGATTGTCAAAAGTATTGTAAGTATACATCAAAATTATCATTGTATTAGTCTATAAAAACACTCGTAACAACGATTTTTTTTTTATCGATGTTCGACTCGGGTTTTCATCAGACAAATGTATTTTGCTATATCCATCTTAAAATGACTTATCAGCAGTTGACAGCAAAGCGTGATTATTATTTATTCTGTGTATAAGTTGTAAATTTTCACTTTAGGAAGAATATAAATAGAATTTGAACAAAACAATATTTCTTGGCTACTGCCATTCTCTAACTTTTATTGTTAATACTTAATGATATTTTAGGCTTACCGATGAATTCAGCGAGTAATGCCTTGCTGATACCTGCAGCGCCTCCTGCTAGCTCGTCCAAGCCAAGCTTTGTTCCGAGTTCGCCCATGGTTCTGTAAAATAATGTTTCAACTGTATTGAATTTAATACATATGTCTCTGAAACTCTAAATGTCATGCAATCATTATTATTAAATTATGTACAATATTATAATTATTAGGGAAAATGTTGGCGTCGTGTCGTATCAAAAGGTGAAGAGACTCGCAGAAAATCGTAGTGAGTGGCAAGAGCTCTACCGACAAGAGCACAGTTCTTAAATAGGATAGATAGATAGATTATAATTATTATTGAAATCTCTTTTAGATATAAGTTCGCCTTTGCTAAGATTGTTATTAACATATTGTTGTTACTGTATGTTTTAGTGCATTAAAGAATATATATTGAATTGTGTACAATAAATATATTGCAACAACAACAATTTTTTTTTAAATATTTGATTTGTATTAAAAATGTTTTTCAGCATTGTATGATTACATATTTTGTTGTTTATTTTAAAAATAATTGTTTTGCGCAATTTTAATTATTGATAATGCTGTTAAAATAGAAATGTGTGTGAGCCAAGTATTACGAAATCGAATGTCAACGTACACAAATATCACCAACCAATCTTGAAGAAGTGAGAGATGAAAATTTCTTGAGTTGATATTAGGTATGGAACGAAAGATCGCCTACCGGTCATAGAAAATTACGTGGGCACTGTTTTGTAGGTTTACCTAAATTACGCTTAGAATTGTGGCATGGACTTTTTCAATAGAAGGTTCTTCATTTTTAACTTAATATTTTGTATTATTATTAACATAAATAAAGTTTATAGTAATATTGTATTACAAAGTCATAATTAAGGATTTAACAGCTTTATGTAGATGTAGGTACATTATTCTGAAAAAATACATTACGTAAACATTTACTGAATAAGATATTGTTTTATAGAAAAAAAAATGACTTCAATCTTCACTACAAGCATTTGATCAGGAATAGATGAACATTTTCGTTGCGATTCAAATAGATTCCTAAATTAGTTCAGATTTGTCATTGTTAAATTAGAATTGAAAAGAGCCTCCATTAAAGTTGGTTGAAAAAAGTTCCATGTGTCTCCATACCAACATAATAACGTAATATAAATTTATTGAGAATTAATAATGTATTTATGTAACATTAAAAATAGATTCTAATAAATGTGAAGCTGTTAACTGAACCAGAAAGTGTAAATTGAGCACACCAGTTTTGGAGTTTACAATCGTTGCACGCCGTTAGTTCGGTAGATCAGATAACATTCATTTTTTACTGGACGTACTCCGAGAGTGGTACCTAGTTGTAGGTACTACTACTACACAGCGTAACAATGCGGCAATGGCTTAGCAATAATTCAAAGCAAGTGGTAGCGGTAATGGTGGTGGTGGTCACGACCGGACACAAATTATACTAATTGCTAACTTAGTTGAACGGTTCGCTGATCCTGGTTTTGTTTTGTCCTGTAATATGCTCCGGAAAAGTAGCATTTCCGGACAATAAGAGCTTTATAATAATTTTGTTAGTGATACGCACAAACGCACTAATTTACTTGTTTAAACTAATTATATTTCATAACGGGTTTAATTCTGAGGTGACACCACATAAATTTTTGCCTCTAAAATGTTAATTTGTTATTTTAGGGACATTATTATTTTACGGACAATTAAGAAATTAATTTTAAATAATTCTGACACAATTATAATTTGATTACTAATGGTCCTTGAAATGATAATTTTGTTATAATATTAAACGAAAATTTTGTTGTAAATAAGTATAAGTGAGGAACTCGCACAATTACAATTGTTAATTTTTCTGGTTTGACTCATCATGGTCCTCATATATATAATATTTTGATTTTATTTAAATTGTAACATCTTTTATAAGAATGCAAAGTTGGTGTAAGGTATAGATGTCTACACCTACATCTAAAAATATTATATTTTTTCTTTACAGTGGGGTAAAAAGTAATTAAATTAAATAGTTAATAGTTATAGATAAAAAAATTAAGAAAATATAACTTCTAATAATTTCTTTTTTAATATTTTAGCTATTAACTGTCCACTGCTGGACATAACCTTTCTCCATAAGTAGAGTTTTGCCAGTAGTTGCCACGCTTGGCAGGCGGGTTTGCAACCGCAGTTAGGCTTTTAGAGATGGTTTAAGAGCGACGCTGCTGCTCATCCCTCGCCATCTTTAGTCGCCTCTTACGACACCCACGGGAAAGAAAGGGGTGGCCCGTTCTATACCGTGGCACACACGGCGATAATAATTATCAAATTTTTATAATCATCTAAAGATTATTTTATTCTATTTTGATGACTACATAGTTATTTTTATTTGTATTTGAAGTTATTTTAACTGTAACTTTTGTTTGGAAAGTGTGAATTTGTTTTTTTCTCCTGTATATCAATGAATAAATCATAATTGTTCTATTATTATAATAACAATTACTTTAGAAACCGTTTTTCGTTATAAATTTAATTAATTGGTCGTAACAATATAAATCGAACGTTATACATACATTGCGGCCCTGACCATGATTTTTATGCAAACGCGTTAAATAAGTTGGCAAGAGTCCATATAGGTACTGCTTGGTCGGTTTACGCAGACATTACGAGGCAAAGACATTGCAGTTCGCCATGACCGAATGTATAAGGTCGCCTTTTCTCTTTAAATTTATTGCTTATAATTGTAATAGAAAAACATTTTCTATTTCTCACATATGTATGCTATTTAAAGGGCACTTTATAAACTATTGACACTTTTTTCTTTATGTTAATTATGTAAGGACGCTGGATTGAATATAGATTTTGAAAACTTATTTTTTTAAATATTTATGAGTAATTAATCTGCTGTAGAAAAGTAAGATGTTTAAGAAATGCTTTATCTTATAATAACGTCGCTCGTAAATTTGTTAAAATAATAGAATGTTTGGTAATTTTGTAATCATAAGCTGTACTATAAGTAAATGTGTACTTGTAATAGGGTAATGTAATAGGTGTAATATCTAAATAGGACCTTATAATAGTATCAATCGTTCAGAGTGAAATTAGATAATTACGTTTTTTGATATCTTTCCGAATCTGATTATTGATATACTTTTTATATTAATAGCTTTGAATATTTCATTTACTCAATACAACTATGTCGCTACTATTTTTGTGGCAGCTTTGGTTTCAATAAAATATGTACCACTATACATTTTATTAGCGTTTAATAAATTGTATCTTATCAAACTAGTTATCACACCCTTCATGCGAGTAACGCATGTAAAACTCAAATAATGTTAAATTATTACACAGACTAACGATAGATGTCGGTTACCCTGTGTATTTGCTTTTAAATTTGACATAAACGTGTTAAATGTTAAAGCAAAGTAGTTGAATATGCTGGTTCCTATTTCACGCCTGATATAATAATTTAAAATGCACGTTTGGATGTCTCTTGAGTTATGTTAAATGTGGTAATGGAATTTAACCTATTTTGTATTAGATAATATTTTATATTACCATATATTAGCACTCTCGGGAATTTTTCGTAAATAGAATATAAAGTTAACAAACAGCTTTAATTTATGCAATTTCATACAGGCAGTATTCCATGGCTGCTCGAATTATGTTTAAATAAAAAAAAAATATCACGTTGGTTTTAGTTAGGAACTCTACTAGTTAGTAACTTGGGATACATAATATTAATACTACATGATCTATATAGAAGTAATTGACTAAATGATTAACGAACAATAATTATTTAAATTAATGCTTGGGACTAAATGTGACACGATTATAGGTAAGTAGTATTTACAACTATTAATTTAACTATAACATTAAATTAAAGTCTGTTTTGATATTTACTTCTAATTTTGTTAGCTATTTTTAAAAGTACTTATTAAAAAAAACTATTCAGATACAGATAGTCTTACCTATGCAGTTGTCTATATGCCTATGTTATATAGTGTAAAAAGACGGATCTAGATTTTTTGCATTTCTTGCTTAAATGAGTAGGTATATATCTATATGAATCTATGTCAGTTATTATGAAAAATAATACTATTTTTGACTTTTGACCAGTATAACTTGATGATATTATAAATTTAAATTAATAAATCGAGCGAAATATGGAAATATTATAGCAAGTCGTATGACTTGTCGTCTTAGAGCTTCCTAAGTAGTTGTAGAGGTATGCTCCTAATTTTAAATTTTATTCAAAATGTCGATAATCTATAAACTTTATTTATTAATTATTATTTTCTCTGACAGTGATTATAAATCTTTTGAGAAAATAAATATGTATAAGCGTAATGACGATATTCATAAAAGTGTTAAAGAGACTGAACAAACAATGGTCTGCATGAACAGCAAACAGAAATAAAATTTTTGTTCATGTCCTTGTGCTTTAAGCTGTCTTGTTAATTATAAAAAGTGTAAAGATTAGTAGATAGACTTATTTTTGTATATACATAGCAGTAGTAAAAGACGTTGAGAAACAAATGTATTTTAGATCAAAAAGTGTATACCTGTTTCACTTATTCTAACGTTCTGTTTGTGTATTAGACAAAAGTATATGAACTCACTCAGAATTATATCTAATCATTTTGTTTGTTTTTTGTGACCTAGACGAACTACCTATTGTCACATATTTGGAATATTTAGACATTAATAATTTATAGAAGGATGTTAGTGCACGCACACAAGCACTGCGTCAAGTCCTTGATATCTGGTGACGGAAAAAGATCATTATGTCTGGCATCGACACGTTATGATTACTATGACATGTTGTGTTCACACTAATATAATGACATGTTACACACATATATTAGGCCAATGATCCTAAACTTGTTAAAAATACATGAATAAATCATAATAAATGCCCGAACTTATCACATAATCACAGCGCCACTTAGTCCTAAAAAAAGGGCTTTTACTAATGAGAACTAGACATCTGATAGATAAATTTTTATATATATATTTTTTATAATTATATACGTACAAGATAGAATTTATACAGAGTAATAAAAACAGAAATACTCATGCGTTCAAAT